TCGGACTCTTCTAAGCAAGAACATTGGGCTTAGAAAGTCCAATAATCATGCTTTAAAGATACTTAGACACATAAAGTTACTCAGATACTCAGTTTCATAGCTATATACGTACTAAAATCCAATAATCATGCCTTTTATACTTTAAAGATACTTAGACACATACACAGGCACACAGTTTCGTAGCTATATATTTACAGTCATAGAGAAATGTACAAACACATGCATAGATACCTAGATGAATAGATGAAGAACTTTGAGCTTAAAAGTTCAATAATCATGCCTTTTATACTTTAAAGATACTTAGACACATACACAGGTACACAGTTTCGTAGCTATATATTTACAGTCATAGAGAAGAATATAAACGCATGCATAGATTACCTATATGAATAGTTGAAGAACATTGAGCTTAAAAAGTCAAATAATCATGCTTTTTATACTTTAAAAATACTTAGGCACACAAACAGATACTCAGTTTTATAGCTATATACTTACAGTCATAGAGAAATACATAAGCGCATGCAGAGATAGCTAGTTGAATAGTTTAGATTTATGTGTGGTGATTAGTGACCGTTAATCGATAATTATACAGAAATCGTGACATGCGGTCTGGTGAGATGTAGGTTTCAGAAAAACATTTTCTTTATCGTGCCAACGTTTCGATCTTTATTGAGATCATCTTCAGGGCCTGGGATTTACAAACAAATACATTTAGGATGTGGAAAAACAAGAATGAACGCTTATGAAATAACAAGATAGTTCCTCAAAATATAATTATTCAGGGAAGTTATTTGTGGATAATATGTTATAATTTTACTTAATAAAGCATTTTTTAAAACTATTCATAATAGTTTAAATGTTACGGAGAGGATCGACCAGTTTTTTCAATGTTGAAAAGGGTCAGGTTTATGGTCTTGAATGAAGTTACAAATTTATGCCTACAAAAAATTTCAAAAATTGTGAGATGCGGTCTGGTGTGATGTAGGTTTTAGAAAAACATTTTCTTTATCGTGCCAACGTTTCGATCTTTATTGAGATCATCTTCAGGGTCTGGGATTTACAAAAATTGTTTACATTTAACAAATACTTGTAGGATGTGGAAAAAAGTGAATTTATACAATACAAAAAATATATTTTTTATATTCAATCAAAGTATTTCTATTCACTCGAAGTGTTTGTCTTGTGTGTAATTGTGCCATTCTTGCATGTTGTGTTGAGAGTGCCAGTGAGATTTTGCTGTTTTATGCTTATATACGTTGGATTTTGAAATACTTTGATTGAATATAAAAAATATATTTTTTTGCGTTGTATAAATTCACTTTTCCACATCCTAAATATATTTGTTAAATGTAAACAATGTTTGTAAATCCCAGGGCCTGAAGATGATCTCACTAAAGATCGAAACATTGGCACGATAAAGAAAATGTTTTTTTGAAACCTACATCACACCAGACCGCATCTCACGATTTCTATATAATTAGTTTAGATTTATGTTTTGACTTAGATGCATAGACAAAATAGTTAGATACAGGAAGATACATAATATGTCCTAATATATAATGTATTATAGTGAAGATAGGGAAATGTAGATTGTTATACATTAAGATGAGTAAATAGATTCCTATATAGATTTAGAAAGATGGTTCAAGTCCTCCCCATAACACTAATTTTTCAACTCAACCATACTTTGCATTAAAAAAATCAAATAATGTGATTTACTTATTTACTCCTATTACTTTGTTTATGGTAGCAACTGAGACATATAACATAGATTCATTCATGAGCACTTTGATGATGTGATAAATAAATACATTATTATATACATCGATAAATACTTTTATTCAAGTATAGATAGACATTAAACAACAAAAATTTCATGCTTTTATATCATATCTTCAATTCTCTGTCTAATCATATTCCCAATTTTTGTAAATTATCATTCTTGTTGTTTTGAATGCTTATTTAAGACAATTCTGCAAAATCTTTTTTGAATATCTAGTCTGTTAATATGGAGTATGGATGGGTTGTTGATCTGTAGAATTGAAAATCTCTAATTTTATATCAACAAAGAAATGTGAGGTGTTTTGTTAAAGTCTACAACATCCTGTGTAATTTATAAGATTAAAGGAACCCTGAAATCTTAATTGTATTTAAGAGGTAAAGAAGAAACTTGAAAAATTAAGTGACTAAGCAATAAAAGTAATATAATTTTATATATTAATAAAAGGATTGCATTTTTTGTATGTGTAAAGAAATACTGGTATTCTATAACTGCAGGCAGTACATTCCAATCTGATGCTATCTATTGTCACTAAACAATACTAGCGGAGGATTTTAGCAGTCATCACCCTGCCAACAGAAACAGAAAAATTTCACAGTTCAAATATATTAATAAAAATAAATATATAAATACTCAATTAATTATACACAATTTTTTCATTTCAAAACAAATTGTGTATAATTAATTGAGTATTTATATATTTAATAAAAGCTGATAAAATGTAGTATAAAAAATAAATATATACATCCACCCTTAAAAAGTATTTTATTAAATTCTAGCAAAATTACACTCAGAGTTGTAATAAACAGTTTATTTAGAATATTCATTAAGAAAACCCTAAATTTATTGGTAAAATTATTAAGAAGCTACTAAAAGAAAGGAGAGAGAAAGTAACAAGAAAAAACCGCCGCATTTAAGCTTTGGTCAAAACCACAACATATGTTATAGCCTTGTTTTATTGTAGAAAACTTAAAAATATATACTATAAAATAAAGTATAGTACAATTTATACATAATACCTATCTGTATTTTTGTTAAGGCAAGTTATACATTGCAATGCTATCTGTTGTCCCTAAGCTGTATGAGCAGCATCAAATATTGGATTTATCAGTCTAACAAATATTTACATTATAAAGATGCAAATTTGCATTTTACAAGCATAATAATAATTGTTAATTAACAATCAGCTTCTTATAAGACTTTAAATACATTTAATCCCAATTGGGGAGAATTGTAAATGAAAAATGGAATAAATCTGATTTTTCTTTTATTGAGGAAATTCAAAATTCTTTTATCAGAAAGGAAGAGACTAGAAGAATAAAGTGAAAAGTCAAATAGGAAACAAAAACTTTACTCAAAATTTACCTTCGATTAATTACAAAGGATTTGCATTCGGTAGAATCAAAAAAAGTTATTTATGCAAACAGCACGGTAGCTATTATATCGATAAAGAATTTTAAAAATCATAGCTTCTTGTGCAAGGACATTAGGGTCCAAGCAAAGCAGCACAGCAGTGAGAGAGAAGAATTGGCTTTACATTGGGTAAAATTGCATTCAGCATTCAAGACAATGAAGCTAAGGGGTTGTGCAAGAACATCTACTGGTCGACTACAACTGAAATCCCTCATTCCTTATTAGAATACATTTTTTTGAGGAGACTGTTAAAAAAATGGAATCTTGCATGGGGTAGTTCAATAAAAGGGGAAGAAACAAGAACATTTTTTTTCCATTTTTTGAAGACTGGGTTGGGTTGACCTTTACAAGCGCCACACCTCAGCTAATGGAAACACTCACCAGATATGTACATAACATGAAATACATACACAGATTTGGACTTGCAACATCGCCTGCTTGCGTTTATAGCCCCATTCAAGGATCAACTCTTGATCCACTGCCCAGTGTTGAGGGATGCAAAAGTGAGGGTCATTCAGCACCTCATCCTATCGGGCATAGTCCGCACCACTAAATTCACCTTGGTTCAAAAAGAAAACTTTTTTTATTTACTACAAAATTTTTCACCATTTTATCAATATGTAATGACCTTAATCTTATTTTAAAAATAAGATAAAAAATGTATAAGTACTTCTATTACAGGTTATACTATTTGCGAAGTATGTAAGGAAATACAAAATAATTAATTTAAAAAAATTCAAAGGATGTGAAATGAATGAAACTCAAAAGAGTGCTACCATCTCATAGTACTAATAAATTAAATATACAAAAGGTACTAAGCTTTTTGCATGTTAAGCTTCAAAATAAATATTTAAATCAAGTAAAAATTCTGAAATAGAATTTTTAATTGAAATCATATAGTTGCACATTTCATGATTTATTAATTTTTTATTTAAACCATGTACTCTACTTTTAATTTGAGATTGTTTTTGAAAAATAATCACTTTTCTTGACGCTATAAGTACTCTTCTTATTATTATTATTATTATTATTATTATTAATTTTTAAGGGCGTTTTAACGGCTAAGGTCATCTTATTATTAATAAAATAACCTTTGGAATTATGAGTAATAGAGTAAATTTCTCAGATAAATAACTTATCAATTTTATTTTTTTTAAACTAATTCTTGTTTTATTGAATGATTAATTGAATATTGACAAATTGAAGTGTGTAAAAAGTTAATTAATATTCAGCTTGATAAATTATAAATTTGGTTAACCACATTATTAAACAACTGTGAAAATCAAACTATTTACTGAAACGATTTTCAAAAATTAACATTCTCCGATTATGGGAAAACATGATATCTTGACCAAATAAGAAAGAAATAATAAGAAAAAATATTTATTTGCTATTCAGGAAATATTTACAATTAAGAATGACAGACAAATCATGAAAGTTAGTATTGTTATAAATTTTAAGGAATTTAAAAAGATATATAAACCCTACATTGAACTTAAAATAACCTTATATACCAATTTTATCAAAAATAAAGTTCAACAGAATTCAATATTTTTTTTTAAGAGACTAGAAAAATGGGATCAGTATGTAAAATAAAATTGGACACAGAAATAATTATTAATTCATTAGCCCTTCCTATGTAAGTTCCCAATCTATATAATTTAAATTTATTTGCTATTTTTTCTGGTGATGTCAGTGTCTTTCTCAAGAAACTTCAAATTCCGTGATGACTGGAAAATACATGAAATGACAGAAAATATATAATTTATATATCTGTGAGCAGTAAATAATTAAATGAAAATATGACTGGTGGGCAAAATAAATATATTTGTCTGTTTCTTTTTATACAGAAAATAGTTGAAAACAGTTAAGAGCAACAATTGTAAAAAGAGTTTATCACAGAAAAGATTACACTATTTAATGAAGTGAATTTTATAAAAAAACAAAACAAGATTTAATATTTATAAATTATGCAACTAAAAACAGCTATAATCTAGAAATAAATTAACAACAGGACTATTATTAAGAGTGTTACAACCATTAAAGCTATTAGAATGTATTTATCTTCTATTGCTCTCTTCTCTATAAGGCGCATAGTCGTATTTGAGAGGCCCAAAGTACTCGCAATGTCCATCATTCGCTTACGCGCCCCCTTCAGGGTGTTTCTTTGGTACCTCATGTTTTCAAGGATTGAAGAACCAGAGTTCAGCATGTCATCCATGCCTCGGTGGGCATTCTAAAAAGAGAAAAACAAGCGATTATAATATTCAATATCAAATGTCTTGTTAATGTTGCACACCTGAAGTGACATGTTATGTTGAAGACTATGATCAATCATTATTGTGGTGTCTTCTTCGTTCAATTTACTGTTATGCGTGAACCGTCTGCTGAGAAGTTCAGCCCTTTCGTTCTCTACTTGCTTCCGTTTGTATGCTTCATACTGATATGCCTTTAGGGCGGTCTGAAACATTAATTTCCATTATGAATATCTGTCCGATCAAATAAACTAATAAACGAAATTGAGAATTTTGGATGATGCCTGTATTTCTTAAAGACAAGAGGTTAACTCCTCTGCATAATCTCAGTTAAAAACAGATGTACTGCCTTTAGAAGAAACATTTGAAGCATTTTTGGATAACCTACTTAAAGGCAAAAATAGATTTCAGCTTCATCACAAGTTAAAATCCATGATCATAAAAGACAGATTCAAGAGCTTCTGCTTCAAACTGCAAAAAATGAAAGAGTAGCAAACCCCATTAAGGATTGGCCATAAGTGCTTGACACACAGGTCAAAGCCCGCACAGGTACCCCTTATGCAGAGAAAGGTTGCTCCATGTGTCTCACAAAATAGAGGCGTGTCATTCCTTGACTCCATACAGAGAGCGTGCAGGCATGCTGCCAGATATAAGAATGGTCCTCAGGCACAGTAACGTGTTTGTAAGTCCTCTGTTCCGTTTTTAGAGGACACAAAGTTTTTTATTGTATATAGTTACAAGCTTTTGCCTGCGACTTCGTCCACCCAGAACTCTGTTTTAATGTACCTGTATATGAGTAGGTTGACAGAGGAATATCCAGTACCAAATGAGTGCAATGCATGAATGTATTTATTTGTGCGACTAGTATTAGGCTAGATTATAGTTTGAATGAGTTTAGGGCTGAAATGGCCTAGTTGTCGACAGCCCCCATCAGAGCCTAATGACGCCCATTGGTAGGAAAACAACGATCTGGGCATCTGGCTTAACGGGTATAACAACAACCCAGCACATAACAAGGTGGGTTGGAATTTGGGCATCATCTGCGTTGGAGCGTCGAAAAGGAACCACACGAAGGTCTTCCTGAGCATCAACAGTCGAAAAACCAGCCCTCCAGCAAGGTTAAACTTTTACACAACCCAAGCCCTTAGCGGATACAGAAAGAATAGGGCTTATTTACACCACTTTGGCATCATGACCGATCCCATCTGCAGCTGTGAGCAGGTGCCTCAGACCAGAAGCACATTTCATTCGAGTGTCTTTTGTTTAAACGTCGACGTTCTGAGCATATTAAAAGGTGTGCCCAAGAAGGAATATTGTGGCCTATGAATAACACATTTCTATTATAACAAGGCTTATGTAAATATTTTGTTTATTTTCTTAAAACTATTGACCTTCAGTTTTTGTAAATATTACTTATGCACTTAGTAATTATATTTTTGCTTAATTTAAAATAAGTTCAGTTTGTTTTATATATAATTAAAATAAATTAAAAAAACCTGATGTCTAGACAATAGGGACAATACATCGGGGAGTAACAGCCCTTCAGAGTAAATGACGTAATAGCATCTAGGAAAGTGCTTAAATTCTTAAAGGAAAGCCTACTTTCTATGTAAACTAGATTAAAAGCGACTCCAGACATGTAGTATTCACCAAATGACGGTTGCCACCGAATATTTGCCAAGTCTAGAGATGCTCGTCTTGTCATTTGCCAAATAGCATGCCTATGTGTTCACACATGCGAAGTTTGCACAACCATCCTGTTTGTGCGGAAACAGCAAATATTCACTAGGAGTCCTCAACTTAAAACCAATCTTAATGGACAACAGTGAAGTGGTTACCGTTCTTTGTAGTAGCTACAAACTAGACCACAAATCAGTCACAGAGTGTGACTACATCTTACTTTTGATCCGTTTCCAATGAACAACTTTCCAATTTTCGCGATTCGGAAGATAAGCGTTCCAAATTATTGGTTCACCTTGATCAAGGAACTCCAAGACTGTTATGTTGTGCCAACAGAAATAAACCTATGCTGTTCTTTCATTAATACATCTATACTAGTTAGAAATTGTTTATTATTAAAAAATAATAACTGTTGATTGATTATTACCGTTGATTCTGTACAGTACAGTTGATGACCGAATATTTTAGAAATTTTCGTGCACTTTGAAGAGGACAAGAAAACCGACAATTAGCTGATCAAGTGAGCACCGAATATTGTTGCTTAACAAATCACCAAGCACCCATGGCACAGACCTTTGCTTGGCCTTCGGCGAATCCCGCATGTCTGGAGCCACCTTAAGTCATAACTAACTTACATAACATTAAGAAATGATGTACCTAGACTCAATAAAGTAAATATAAAGTATGACTTAATAGATTACATGGACAGAAAAGTTTTTTTAAAATCACCAGAGACACACAGAATTATAAACAGCATAGATTGTATTCTGTGTCGCAGATGTGACATACTTTTGCAAGCACCGTATAACATCAGACTTTGTTATGAAACACAGGCAGGGTCAACGACGTTACCTGCAAGTGTTTGTTGTCATACTTGAGCTGGTCAATCCGAAGTCTGGCGTTTTGCCTCCTGGTGACGGGTTCTTTGTGTACGAGTATGTCCAGCCTTTCACAGTTGCTGCAGGGCAGAAATGATATTTTATTATTCGACTATCGACCGTGTAAAAGTTCAAATCCAAAATCCGACCTGGTGATTGTGTCTATCCTCGCCTGGATTTCAGCTTCGATCGAGTCAGTGTCGCTCCCCTTGAGCTTCTCCAGGCGTTGGAAGCAATCGTGGGTCTCCTGGACGAGCCCGTTCGTCTTGTGATACAAAGATTCCATGCCGAAGCTTTTTTGTTCTTCGAATGGACGTCCTTCAAAAGTTCGAACAGTCCACCGACCGACCGACGAGCCGAAGTGTTACGTGTCACCAACTACACGTGCGATTATCTGTCAACGAGGTTGATATTCTCCCACTGGCCGCTTGAAATGATAAGGATATGATTTTAAAAAAGTGCCGCCTCTCAAGTCGCCCCCTGGTCCTAATGAAATTCAAAAATCAATTTATTATTGCAATTTTAAATCAAGGATAGATATTTAACTAAAGAAACACGAAGCTATTATTTAAAAAAAACCACTTGCCACTATGGAACGGGCAAGGAGTTAACGTTCACTCATCACTGTTACAAACATCAGTAAACAAAGTCGTCTTCACATCGTACTTAAGTAAATCAAAATGTAAGGTCAACACATTCAATAAAGCCCCATTAAGCAAATAAGGTATTTCATGATGTCCTGTCAGGCATCGAATCATATCGCCAAGAAGTTTTCAAAAGTCTTCTATTCCAAAGTTTCAAATTGTGATGGTAACGTTAAATTAAAACGTTAGATAAAACTCCGGACTTTGGCAAATATGAAATTTGGCCTCGGCTACAATGAGACGTTGCACTTCGCTCAGTCTGGGTAAGATCAATCAAACTTCATTTGTTGGCATTTTCCATGTCTAACAAAAATCCTTATAATAAAATATAATAAGCGTGGCAGTTACTTTTTACTGACTTATATAAGCTCAAATCTGCACATTATGTACATATGTACACGTATGTGTACAGCGTTGAGCCTATGACTTTTTGCAGTCCACCGACAATTCCAATTTTACTACTTTACAATGAATTCAATTGTATACTCCATCCTTTAACCTAATATACACTGATGGACAAATTTAATGCACGACTCAATTTATTTAGTTTCAAATAAAACCTATTATCTTTCTACATTAGTTACAGGTAATTAGAAGCTAACATAGTCAAAACAAACAGTAAATAATACTTTGTTTGCTTTGTACAATTTGCACAAAAAGTAGCATTATGCCATTCCATTCTGTTACGATTAATGATCGTTTTCAATTAATCTGTTTCCTTCATTGATTTCATTTGATATTCATAAAAACTGTATTATCAATTCTTGATTATATTGTTATTTTTATATTAATCCATATATGTTTAGCGGTCATAATTGACCATATTAATTATTATTTTTAACTAATGTCTTGGTTAAGATGAAAAAGTTAGTATCACTTGAACTGTTGTGGCAAGTGGTTAGAGCAGTGGCGTATTTGACCCAAGGTCATGGGTTCAAATCCCACTCATGGAACTAACTTTTTCATCTCAACCAAGACCTTAGATAAAAATAATAATTTTGAAATTATTATTGTTATTCCATTCTATAGGTCATTTGAGTCTAATGTCTAAAACCTTTTTCAATGGCTCCAGTCAGGCATTTGAGTGATTATGACAGTGACAGTCATAACGTTATTAGAGGAAGGATACTTTCAACGCAAAGTCACCAGGAGACTGAATGTAAATCTCTCTACAGTAGGAAAGGTTCTTCAGTGCTTCTGAAAACCGGGCTTAACACTGGAAGGCTAGGACAGGTCGATCTAGGTCTATAGATGGGACGGACAATAGATTCATCCGTCATCAGGCTCTACAAAACCACATTGCTATGGGAAATGAGATAAGAAATGTAATAAGACAGGTCAAAATTGTTTCAATTTCCTCCAGGATTGTAAGAAGGCACAGTGCCCTCAGTCCCAGTTACCCAGGTCATGGGCCTCTTCTTACTACAGCTCAAAAACTGGCCAAGCTCGCACGGGAATATGTGAATTGGACATTGGCAGATTGGGGACGAGTTCTTTTTACAGATGAGGTGAGAGTTGACCTCAAATCTTCAGTATCATATGAACACCCTCAGGAGAAAGGTATACCCCATGCTATATTCAAATGGCATTCTATGGCGGGTCATTGTTGTTCTGGGGTGTCATTTCCTTGGATGCCTGCACCAAATTGGTTGTTGTGCAAAGATCTCTTAACTTCATAGAGGTACTTACAAGACATAATCAAAAAATATGGACCATTCCCCCCCCCCACATTGGTGAAAGATTCTTACTAATGCAGGATAATGTCCGGTCCTATAGACATGCATTGTACATGACTACCTGAATGCAGTTAGAATTGAGTTCTTGGTGTGGCCAGCTCAAAGTCCAGATTTGCACCCAATCAAACTCATTTGGGACCAAATTAAGCGACAAGTACAATAGTGAAACTAAGGTCCTACACCCTAGATGAGTTGGAAACGACTGTCCTTGATGAATAGGAAAGAATTCCTCAGGATTTTATCAGAAATATTTCCACGGGATTGCAAAGCATTTAACGAACGATTCATGCCAGAGGTGTAATACTCGGTATTAAAGAGAAGTTTTTAATTTGCTATAATTAGGTAATAAACATTTTCTATTTAAATTTTTATTTTTACAACCAAATCTATTTTCGGTGCACAAAATAAACCTAAATACAATTGAAAATTAAGGGTGGTGCTTTAATTTTGTCCATCAGTGTATAACACCTAATTAAGGAATATTAAACACCCTATCACTCTTTCACACCTCACAATCATGTATTCACACTAATAAATACATTCACATGCTAGGGACACAAAGCTGTCATTGCTATATACAATAAAACGGTCCTGTTTCCTTCACAAATCTGCACAAGGGACTAGTACTCACCACATGCTGAAGCACAATTCTCATATCAGATGACATTCCTGTTCGCTCTCTATATGAACCTAAGGAATTGCCCCCTTTAATTATATGGGCTGCAGAGCAACCTTCTCTTCTTGCCGGACACTTGAGCATGTCAATTGATCATGGAAGTGTAAGGTTGGTCATCCGTGATAATCCAAGTCTGCCTGTCAGACGCGTTTCAGCATTTTGCCATCTTCAGTGACAATGGTTTAAAAAAAAAAGTGTAAGAGTCAACCATTGAAAATAGCAAAACACTGAGACAACTGACTAGCTTAGTTAGGCAGACTGGTAGGCTGGAAACAACTAACATAGATTTATCACCTCACCTGAAATTTTTTTTAGATGTTGCTACAGCATTTCTCATCGGTATCATCGGCGCCCTATGTTTTCAAGCTTCATTAAATGGTAAATTCGTTTTTGATGATGTCGCAGCAATTGTCAACAATAAAGATGTCCATAGCGAAGCCTCGCTTTCACAAGTCTTCAAGAATGATTTTTGGGGCACAAGCCTATCCCATAACTCTAGTCATAAATCTTACCGTCCTTTCACTGTGTTGTCATTCAAGCAAGTTGAATAACATTTTTGAGACTTTTAAAGCAGTAATTAGAACAATTATGTTTTTCTAGGTTTAACGTGTGGTTACGTAATGGTAAACTTGAACCGTACAGCTTCCACCTGTGCAATATCATCCTTCATGGAATCTCATCGGCGCTTTCCTTCATTTTATTTATTTTCATGTTTCAAAGAAGGAATGTCAAAGATCTTAAACCGCTTTTGGCAGCTGTATTATTTTCTATCCATCCTGTGCATACCGAAGCTGTCAGTTTTTCTTTTATCTCTTCAAATATTGTTTTGGTTTATTTTCTTTGGTTTTAGGTGGCAGGGATTGTCGGTAGAGCAGATCTTTTATGTGCAATATTTGCATTCCTTGCTGTTATATGTTATGCATTCAGCATAGATTTCAACAATGGTGTTTGTATCAAAGAAGTGTTACTTTCTTCAATTTTTGCTTGCATTGCAATGTTGTCAAAGGAACAGGGGATTACTGCTCTAGTAAGTATCAAATTGACATTACAATGGCGATTTAAGTACATTTAATTTGTACCCTCTTTTTTTAGGCTCTGTGCGGTGCATACGACATAATAATTGTGAACTCTGTCCACCCGACCAGCCTCCTGTTGACGGTGTTGCAAATTTGCAAAGAAATGAAAATATGCAAATACGGTATTGTCTTATTCAGTCGCAGAAAGCAGATCACATTCTTTTTAAAAAGAGAACACCATTTCATGATATTGCGGCAGATTATTTTATTCACAGCAGGGAGTCTAATGGTGTATTTTAGATGTTGGATTATGAACTTTGAGGCGCCCAACTTCCAAAAAATAGACAATCCTGCTTCATTTGCTGATAGCATTTTTACTAGGGTAATAAACTCATTAATTACATGCTTTATTTATTTATTTTTTCATTACATCTTCAAAAGTTATGTGAATTAAAAAAGTCTTAGTCATACAGATTTTTCTGCTTTATTCCTTGTCAAGAGGACATCTACTAAATTAAATGAAAATTAAGCAATAAATTAGTAAAATGAGTAAAACTGGTATTTACCTTAAATTCATCCCTATGCAAGTGTACAGTTCAATTTATTTCAGGACAGACCCCCCACACACACACACAAAAAAAAAAAAAATAAATAAATAAACAAAAATTTAAAAAATTGGATGGGACAGTGTGATCTGTTTGTTTTCTTCATTCTGAGAACTTTACAAGCTTTAATCAAATAAGTAAAGAAAACTTTCCTACTGCCAGGGGAAAAGACCACTTTGTTCTATGCTGTGTAATTGACATTATTATACAATTGTTAAAGAGCCATTTTAATGATTTATATGAAATTTATTTGTGGTTCAGAAATTGTTTGAAGATTATCTGATGTGCGACAAGCCACTATGCTGTTTTTATGAAATGAGGAAAGAAAATCATTTCCTTCTTCTGCTCATCCCCTGTTTTCTGAAATATTCCATTTTCACATGTATTTAATTTATATAAATTAAACATAAGAATATTTCAATATAAAATAATTGCACTATCATCCGAATCTGAACCTGCTTATTATCACTGATTTGTGTGACTATGCCTTCAGTGGTGGGCTTGTAAAGTACCCTCAAAAAATTCGAACACTTACATGAGAAAAAGCATAGATTAAATAATTGATAATAGACAGACGAGACCAAATTACAGATTATATCAGTGTTGAAACAATGCCTGATCTATTTTACATAAAATTGAATGATTCCTCTCTCCTCTGCCCATGTAAAACAAAATAATTTGTAGTGAAGCATCTTTACAAACTGCACCATCATATTTTCCTTAATTGTATTTATTATTTTTAGTTTATAAACTACAACTATGTATATGTTATGAACACTTGGATTACGATATGCCCGTACTGGTTGTGTTTTGATTGGTCGATGGGGTGCATTCCATTAATAATGAGTCTTTTTGATCTGAGAATACTCTTTGTCCTGGTCTATTGGCTGTTTTGCTTAGCTTTGCTCAACCGGACTATCCGTCTCGGCAAATGCAGTCTGGCACAGTGAGTACTTTGATTTTTTTAAATTTTACTTAGTTTTATTTTATAATTGTTTTTTGTTAATTTCAGGCAAATCATCATGGCTATTGGTTTTGTAGTCATATCCTTCTTTCCTGCCTCAAATATTTTATTTCGTGTTGGATTTGTTATAGCGGAAAGAAATCTCTACCTCCCCTCTGTTGGATTTTGTATGCTTGTTACTATAGGGATTGAACAACTGTACTTAGGTTTAAAAAGAAAAGCTGTACGTTGATAAGAATTTTTGTTATACCTTCATTATTATTGATTGATTGATGATGTAATTAACACCAAATAAGTTTTCCCTTAATTTAAAATGAGGTTCATTTATTTGAAGTTTTCCTGTTACACAATGAATTTTTTTAAGGCTCTATTTTACTTATTGGGATTACTCCTGCTAACTAATGTATACCGGTGTCACCAAAGATCTTTAGACTGGTCTAATGAAAAAGTGCTTTTCTTTTCTGGACTCAAAGTCTGCCCTTTAAATGCCAAAGTCCATTACAACGTTGCTAAATCTTCTTTCAATGTGACAACCTCCGTGAAGCACTACCGAGAAGCCATAAGGTAAAAAAGAATATATATATACACATATATATTTCTATCAAAATGTTTCATTATCTTATTTTCCTTCAGGTTGAACCCGGAATACGAACAAGCATTGAACAATCTTGCGAACGTACTTAGAGACAATGGAGATATTAAAGAATCCGAAGAATTGCTGAGAAAGGCAATTAAAATCAGGTAAAATCTCCAGGGATGATAGATAAAATTGAGATTAAATGATAAAAATCTGCAGGCCAAATTTTGCCACAGCTTGGATGAACCTTGGCATCGTGCTGGCTCACATGAGGCGATATGACGAGGCATTGGACAGCTACAAAATGGCACTCAGCTACAGGAAAAACTATCCCGACTGTTATTATAATTTGGGCAATTTGGTAATTTGTTATTTTATCCCAAAAAAAGTTTTCCTTATATTTTTTGTGTGGTGATTAGTGACCATTAATCAATATTTATTTAGAAATCGAGAGATGCGGTCTGGTGTGATGTAGGTTTCAGAAAAACATTTTTTTTTAAACAACAGGCACGATAAAGAAAATGTTTTTCTGAAACCTACATCACACTAGATCGCATCTCGCGATTTCTAAATATATATTTTTTATATTTTTATTTCAGTATTTGTCACAGAAAAAACATCTGGAAGCTTATGTCGCCTGGAGAGAAGCAACAAACCAAAAACCTAAACACTCAATTGCTTGGAATAATATGATAGTTTTAATGGATTCACTTGGTAATTATGTAACTAGTAATAAAGTTTGATTATCATTACTCGTGTCAACTAAAAAAACTATTATGTATTTTATATAATTTAACTATTATTATCCAGGCTAAATATTCCTTGTTGAAACAAAAATTATATTAATTATTAATGTGATTATAATTACAGGTGAATCAGACAGAGCAGAAGAATTGGCTCTTGAAGCTTTAGAAATACTACCAGATGATCCAAACCTTCATTTCAATCTAGCAAACACTCTCGGAAAGAAATCACAGTATGAGAAAGCAGAAGAGCATTTTAAACAGGCCATAAAATTAAAACCGCAACAAGCACTCTTTCACACTAACTTAGGTTTTATTATCATATTTTATTATTAAGTTGAAATTTTTTGTTCTAATAAATTGACTCGTTTCGCAGGTGTTTTGTACCACAGGTGGAAAAAATATAAAAAGGCAGAGGATCATTACTTAAAAGCACTCAATATCAACCCTGACCAGAAGAATGTGGAACAAAACTTAAAAAGCGTTCAAAAACAATTACTGAAAACAATTTACAGTGAAGTCAAATAATTTTTTTAAATATTATTTTTTACTTGAGTTTTATTACACAATAAAACTTCTTTTTACAACAAAAAAAAAGCGTTTCTTTGTGAAAATATGACATCCAGGAATAATAACAAGTAATGGATCTTCATGTTACTAATTGTTTATTTTTAACATTAACAGCTAATAAACATAAAAATACCTTTTATCGCTTTATATGTTTATTGTAATTCGACAAAACGGAAATTTGTATGTGTTCTGAAAGAGCAATCACATTTGTTCATTCATACTAACAGAACATTTATTTCAATCCTGACTCTTGACAAGTTTCTTTATCTGAAACAGAAATAATTGAAAATAATAAATATGACAATTATAATAATGTTTAATGCTGAAATAAAACAACAATAATAATGGAAAACAATAGTTTAAATGCAATGAGTGTAACCACAAAATTGGATAAATGTTTCAATTAATTGGTAACACCAGTTCAAAGAAAACTGCAAATTTGATTATCAATATTTGCAGATAAAAAAAGCAAATTCTTCATGCAAAGACAAAAACAAAAGCCGCACATAAACAAAATTTATATATTTTTGTCCAAAAGAATTTTCTAAGATTATCCTAATTCAAATTAGGTAATTATAGTGAAACTAGCTTTGTTTAAAAATTATACCAAGCAAGAAATCTTTTATCCGTAACGTCCATGAACAGGGCACCAGTTTTCGGATTGTTGTTCTGGACTTGAGACCGGATTTGTAGACAAAGTATATCCCGGGGGACAAGGCGGAGGAATACATGAAGGATCAGAGGATGGTGGAGGTGGAGGTAGATTACATGGTGGTGGAGGTGGAGGTTGGTCTTTGGGCGGTGGTGGTGGTGGAGGTTCGCTGGGTGGTTGTGAAGGATCCTGATTGTCACATTGGCTATCGTGGCTGAATTTATTATCAGATTTCGAACTAGAAGATCCTTTTTTCCCTTCCTTTTTGTGACAGTCGGCTAGAGCCAAATGTTTCTCCTCGATCTCATTACATAAATCTCTGTTTAACTTTTCATAATTGACTTGATCTGAAAACAAGGTTACTTGTTAAAATTATTTTTGAAAGGAAAAGATCTATACAGTATTAACCTTATGTCATTTAGTATACTGCTTAATAATGAAAAATGTTCTTCAAGTACAATAGATAATTAAACTTAAGAATTCAAAATATAATAACTTAGAAAATGTAGGAACGAGATGCCTGGGAAAGAAGGGAGAATATAGGATTCATATCGTTAGAAATTATAAATGGTGCAGTGAGTGTGCTGGTCAATCTTTTTAGAAAGATAGTTCCTATTCACAGTTAATTATTTTCAACGATCTGGATTTCAAGCTTATAGCTCTTATCAGGTTGAAGGAATTTACAACCATGCCTCTTGAAAAGAATTGTAAGAGTGACTTTTAAATGCTATAAGCTTGAAATCAGGATCATTGAAAACAACTGACTGTGTTTAGGAAGTATCTTTCTAAAAAGATTCATATTGTTAGTCACGGATATTTTGAAATTGGTCATATTCATTTTTAGTAAAAATTGTTCGTTCATAAAGGGTAACACAATAATCCAACAATATAGCAAAATGCAAAGAGCTCTTTTCCATTTTGAAAACAAATTTTACACCCAAAAAGAATTTTTGCTGTGGAGTGCAGTCTAGGAATGAGATATTGGAACTACAGAAACACACACCTTACACCAATGCACCAATCCTATAGAATGGTAATGATGTTTACAAATAAGTACATAGACAACAAAAATATTTTTAAAAACAGCTTCAAAGCAATCAATGTTTCGTTAATGTGCTTTTTGGTTATGAAAAATATAAATAAATAAAACTGCTGCTCAAATTTATTTAAAACAATTTTTTCTTTGAATCCACAATATAAACAAATATGCATGAAAAATAAATAAATAACAAACAGGCAGTAAATAATAAACAGAATAAAGCCAAAAAGAAGCGTACACTAAATTGTTTTATGTGAACCAAGCCTAAGCCCAAACCATCATGCAAATTTTTTCCTAGCTTTCCTAAACTTTTACCTCGTAGACATGTGGATCTTCATTTGGTAACGGTATGTGAGTCGGGGTAGCTACGGGTGGTAAAAGGTGAACGCTAGAAGGCACCGCATCTGGTGGTGGATGAGGTTCATCAGTGACGACCAGATGTCCCATCGGCAAGGCCGGCAGTTGGAATCCGAATAGATCGGATGTTACTGGTCATAGCGCGCGCAAGTTAAACGATAATTTTTTTAAGATATCGTTGAACAATACTGTCTAATTTTACTACTGATTTGTCTTTTATTTTTATTTAATTTTAATCTATAATTGTTTTAAGTTTTAAAATTGACTTACCTCCATTCAATAAATGGTAACCAATAACAAAATATCTTTTTGCATGGACAACAGCTTCGCCAGCGAACTGTTTCGCTTCACATGGGTAGCACAGAGCTGCAACTGCAGAACCGCCTGCAGTGGTGTAAAGGAGTCTTTTAAAAATGCCCTTCCTCAGTGCTAAGATGTAGCCAGAAGCACTTCCGATCGCAATGGCTCCGTATCTAGGGACGGAATTTTCATCTTTTCGGAGAAATTTGATAGTATCTAACAACAGAATTTGTTAAAAATAGTAAAGAATTTTATAATTAATATACATTTCATACCCTGAGTTACAGCAGAACTAGTGTGGACAAAATCACTAACTTGGGCTTTGACTATTTTCCCTTGAGAGATTAAGATTTCAAGTTCCTGACGTAAGCAGCATATTGTCTCTTCGATTAATGACTTCGGACAATCGTTCGCACTGTGAACAAAGCCGACTCAATGGAAGCTCCATTCACAATTTTTTACATAATTTATCAGTAAATTAATTACCATTTGACGACTTTATCCTCTTCCGCATAAAGTGGAAGGTCAGATGCTCTGACTTTACCACTTTCTCCATCCTTACTTTTGGCATGTACCACAGGAGAGCCACATGAAACAGGGAAAAGTAGGTGCCTCAAGATCTGTTAATACAAAGTTTTTGAAATTAACACTAAATCTATCACAGTATGAAATTAAAATGTGAAAGTAGTAGAGTTGGTGTTTTGTAATTTGAATATACTGCAACATCAGTTAGCAAAGTTAAAACGTATCCTAGAAACGACCAGTCAGACCATCATCCAAAATATTCAACACCAGACCTCGTTCATTTACTCAATTGACAATTGGAAAATGCATCGGAGTGCATTTATACCAATTAATATTAATTTTGTCTTTGTTGACTTCTAAGCTTTTTTAATCTGTCAAACAGTTTTCTATTTCACATCTTTCAAACCGAGTCTAGATCAAAATCACATGGGTAATGCACATATGCCCAAGGCACGTTAGTTCTTTCAGGTTGAGATGCAAGAGGCTTTGTGACCTTTTCTTTTATCCCGTTCCCTTTACATGTCCAACTTCGACAATGGAAGTGGCACCATAAGTTCGGAGGATGGTATATGAATGTGCTAGCTATTATTTAAAAAAGAGTGAATTACAATTGGTCCTTTGAGAAAGCCATCAACAGAATAAAACTAACCAAGATAAATACAAAAGTATGTCAGGTACAAAAATAAGACTTAATTTTTTCAGACCCTTAGGTAGAACAAAAATGGAACAAAGAGATAGATTGAGTAATAAAAGGACTAAATTTCCCCCTAGAAAAATTGCTAGTCTTCATTTCAACTGTTCAAGCTGAATGTAGATTACTGAAGCTTGCTAAAATGCCAAGTAGACTTTTACTGATGTGAGTGTAACAGACAGCCTGTATTCCAGCAACAGCATATAATGTGGTCTAGGAAGTTATCAAATTCTTAAAACAGCACATTATTTAAAAGAAATGTCAAACCACAAAAATACATTAGGAAAGGAATTAGAAAATAAATAAATTAAAGGGGGCGTCGGTGGCCGCAACGGTTTAGGCATTGACACAACACTCATCACTAAGGTGGAGGTCCCAGGTTCGAATCCAGCGGCCCTGCATTCGAACCCGACATACTTACAAATGGGCTTTTTTCAAAAATGCCAGCACCTCTGCTGATTGATTTTATGTTGTCTTTTGATTTTCAGAACATTGTGCTACCTTAATTAAAGTATTGAATGTTGGTCTCTTTTAATGCCACCTCAGTTGCTTTACTCAGGGTGATGTGCATTTTCAACAATGGACTTAATATGAGTTGATACCAAATTGGGAAGAAGCAATCTTTTTCAATGTCCAATGCTTGGAATAACAAACACCTCGTTTAAAGCCATTGGAATGGCTGTGGCAAGGAAAAAGTATAGACCCTCCGAATGGATTTTAACAATGCTGAACTTGGTCATCAGACAAACAGCAACTACCCAAGAATGCCCCCTAGAAGTATTATTGCCACTTGGACCTGGTAACAATAAGTTGGAATCCCGCTCGTGACACTAACTTTTTCACCTTAATCAAGGCTTTAGATAAAAAGAATAATTATTTGAAATAATAAATATGACCAATTATGTCTGCTAAACGTATACTCTAAATATTGTAGGAAAGTGAGAGAAAATGGGTTTCACCATAAACCAACTCATACTTTTTACAAGAGAAGAAAGCTAAATCTAAAAGCACCCACTAAAAGAGATGAAAAATTTCTCCAAAGAAACAAAATACCTGGGTAAAGCCCTTGACCAAAGGCTCAAATGGATAAAACAAATGGCAACATTCTGCTGACTCTTCTAAGCATTGGCCAGAGATTATGGAGTGAAAACAAGGGACCCCCCCCCCAGGTTGGCGTATTCTTTATACGCCACAACTGTCAGACCCTTGGTGATGTATCAGCTTTAGTATGCTGGCCAAAAATACTGAACAAGAAGACAAAGAACAAGCTACAAAGTCTACAAAGACTAGAGCGTCTCAACATAATAGGAGCAATCGAAAACGCACACGACCTTTCATATTTACATACAAAAAGTGGCTTTTGAGAGTGCCAACTCCTGAGATACAAGGAATAAAGACAGATCTAAGAAGAAGCCACCACCATAAAATGAGAGAAAAACAACGTTAACATCTTTCCAAGTGGTCATAGATAATGGACCTTTGGTAGAAAGGTAGCTTCGTTTAATGAAGAAGGCGTAATGTGGTACACTGATGAATCGAAGATAGAATAGGTAGTTTAGGGGTAAAAAAGCCAAACCATACACTAGCCCATTGGACTAATCCTAATAATTTTCCAAGCTGAGGACTATGCAATACAACTCTGGGCACAGGAGTTAATATTATAATTATTTACATACTCTCAGACAGCCAGGCTATAAAGGCAATAAATGTGTATGCTTTCAACCCTAAACTTGTCTGGTTCCTTGCTTGGAATTGGTAAAGGAAACGTCCGGCCAATTTTTTTAGACTTTAGGAAAGAAAAGGATGAGTTCTGGACTCTCAAAACCAACCTAAGTTCGCCAAATGAATATGTGGTAAAATAATATAAATTATAATTAAACTTCAGTGGGAAATATTTTCCACGTGTATTTGAATATGAATTAATTTTCCATTTTTGTCAATTGATATCAAAGGATGGACAGTGCTATCATAAAATGAACATCAAAGGTAGGTTATTTCTGATAAGGAAAGAAAAAAGATCGGTCTTTTAAAAATAAGCGTATAAAATGATAAAAATAGTTTTAAAAAGACCGATCCGATTTAAACATTTACCTACCTTCCTAAAAGACATATTTAACTATTTTAAATCGAAGTATGGAGTATAAAAAAAACAAATGGGATTAAAATTTTAACTATTGATTACGGGGTCGGAATTCGGATCAACAATGCCAGCGGGCTGACAAAAACGAAAAGACTCGTTCGTTACAGTTCGCCCCTTTTCGTCAGAGACTCGGCTCTCAGGGTTGGGGTTTTTATTTCACTTTCTGCATGTGTGCGTGTAACAAATTTAATTTTTGTTGATTTTTTATTAGTGATGAAGACGTATTCCGGTTAATCCTGTTGGAAAGATACGTTATGAAATTACTAATCTTAGAATTTGTAACACAAAATGGACGTAAGAAAAATACTAAGTTTAAAACAATTATCTTACAGAATATTATGCTATAATAATAGTAATAGCATTGTTTTATACCCTTATTCCCATATAATTGAAATTTGTCGTGCCATGGCTCCGTACAGAGAGCGTATAGGCATGACGCCGGATTTAACATCTCGGGCAGAGTAGTGAGTTTCTAGGTACTCTTCCGCTTTTTAGAGAACGTGGTTTTTTTTTATTGCGTATAGATCTGTTTTGTGGTACAAAATAAAAACACAGAATCCTCCATCAAACACAGAATTGATCCAATAGGAGAAGTCGATTAAATCTAGAATGCTAGACACAGTAAGCTTATTAATAGAACTAATTTGAAGGTGGGTGTGAAGAGCAATTCACTTTTTGGAAAAGATAGTTCTACTCACCTATGCAGCTATCCAGATTTCGAATATTCACGTCGAGAGACGTGTGCCTTCTGCCTGATGATAAATATTTATTACTCGAAATCCGGATAACCTCCTAAAACTTATGTGAGCAGAATTATCTGTTCCAAAATGTGAACAGTAAGCTTATGTTATAACAACCCTCACCATTACTGGCAAATTCTCTACTTCAGAGAAGGCTAAACTGACAGGACTATATAACATGGGTATGTTCAATGATGATTTGAGTATATTAAACTTCGAATGGACTTGTGACATTTTAACTATCATCTTTGTCCTTAATAATTGTTGTAAGAACCTCTGACTTCAATTATGATAGTCTCTCAATACGCTTGCTATTTCTTCCAAACTAGAAATCATCTATTCTTTATGAAAACTGAATAAAACTTTTTAAAAAAAAATATATATATATATATTCCAATAATTGTCGTCTGTTTCTTTTCGACCGTTGGTTCGTGAAGAGCCTACAAAAAAGACAAACACCTGATAAAGAACCTAGCCCTTAATATGGCGAAAAGGAGAAATGTGTCTGGCAGACCAAGCAAATAAGAAATGTGTACCAAAATGAATAAAAACGACGTTGTTCATCACCTCGCAGACCTCAATAAGGCATCTCAAAAATTTTATCTATATATATAAAACAGTTGCGTGACTGACTGACAACGCACAGACCAAACCGCTGGAGCAGTGCATTCCTATAATGACATGGTTAACCGCTAAGAAAGAATTTTTTCAAATTCCATCTCTAAAGGGATCGTATGGACAATTTTTTACCATGTATAGGCCGAATTGAACTGAAGAAGAGAAGAATTTGAAAAACGAGACATTATATTAGAAAGCCATATAGCACTCTGCAACGCATTAGAAAGGTACATTAAAACAGAGTCCCGCGAGGACGAAGTCGCGTGTAAAAGCTAGTTAATAAATACAATTCTAGTTTTAGATTACAATAGCTTTTAAAATTGCCTTTTGCTCCAATTGTTGCGTTTTTAGAATATAACACATACTATTTTTTTCCTCTAAAAGACGCAGATTGTCGCCGATAGTATGAAACAGTAACAATTTGCCTTACCGCAATCCAAATCAGTCCGAGTTTAAACAATGGTCTGTAAACGCAAGAGACCTCTTGGTTGTCGATGTCTGGCAAAGGGCATTTCCTCCCGAACCATCCTTTTCGACAAGACCGCTTCTTTTCCTTGACAGGGGCGCAAAGGAAAGGAAATCTGCAGTCTGGGACGTTAGTTTCGTGGACGCGGATCCCCGGATAGCAACCGTCTTTGTTGGATGACATAGTGTCTGTTGTTTTTGTAAGCTGTCGGCTTTCCTCAAATGTACATTTGTCCTATTTCCCGACTCCTTGCTTGAGGGCGAAACATATCGGCTCAATTCTACATATCCGTTTTATGGAATTTGTATGACTAACATGTGTTCAAAGTTTAGTTTTTCTTTTGATTTTTTTAATTAATAATTTTACCATTCACAAAAGCCCTGATGTTTCCATTCATCAGGTCACATCTACAATTTTGGCTTTTGACCGACTTATTGTCCTAAATTTGGCCAATTATTGTTATTTATATAAATACCAATGCAAATTTACAAAAATTATCCTACACTGCTGGGCTGCTGAAATGCCAATCGTTCAAAAGACTTGAAACATAAAAGACACAATCTTTAGAAATGTTGACATGCAAAAAACTACTTTACATCAAACCTTTTGCAAATATTTACTCTTTCATTTTATCAAATTTTATCTTTTATTTTTAATGCAAGTGACAAGTAAGTGGATTCTGTGATTCCGTCCACTGACTCTGTTTAGATTATTGGTTGTATTTTTTTTATCTGGATCCGCTCTGTCTCGCTATTTAACCTCACGACTTGAACCGAGAACTCATGTTTTATGTCTAAGTTATAGCCTCATTTGTGAAGTAGAGGAACCGAGGCGGTAATAAAATAGCTGTTATATGCGGACCCATGCAATGATGCAATGATTTGTTTTTATTCCATTATAAACAATATTTTTATAGTTTATTTTTTTTTTTAATCTTAAATCTGAATTGTTTTAGCTTGTCTCTTAACTTTAAACGGTCACAAAATATATAAATATATTTTTTTCTTTCTTTTTAAACTGAGGCCCCTTACCATCAACATTGAAATTCAAAGATGAAAACCGCGGAACCGACATCTGAAAGGCTTCGGTGCTCTTCTTTTACATATCTGCCAAAAATATTTTGTTACACCCTATTGCAGTAAAGTTTAAATTTTGTGTCTGTTAAAATAAAAATTCTCCGAACAAAAAAAAAGAAACAAAACAAAAATATCGATTTGGCCACTGTTATATCATTGTGGGTGCAACCTTTTCAGTGTTTACTAACTAAAAATCTATTAAAACAAGGTTGTTTTTTATGAAACGTTTAATGTTTAATTGATATTTTTTGAGAAATGGACATCGGAGAGCTACTTTCCTTCAAGGTATTAAACATTAGATAAGAATATCTGGTAAACATGTGCTTAGCCGTTGGAAATTTCCGTATCTCGACTTACCAACATTGAAGTCCAAGATGTAATCCATAAAAACTTTCATTTGACCTGGTCGATTTTAATTATTCCTTTTTATTAGGGCCTGAAAATAAACTAATTTTTTACTCTACTATATACTTATCTTTTGATTTTACTTTACTGACAAGTCAGGTGCACTACATTTATTTAACAATTCTGATCTTTTTTTGGCCTTTTCGAATCTAAAGCTGGCCTTTATTTTTGAAATTCCTTCATTCCGTTAAAAAAATTCGATCTAAAAGCCAAATAAAAATTGATCTTTATTTTAAATAAAATGAGCTTAGTATGAAAAGCTTTTAAAATGAATCTCTCTTATTAACCTATCACAACAGTTTAATCAAAAATTCCAGTTTGATAAAAATTGGCTTTAACTACAATAACTAACTTATATCAATATGAAATCTGTCACACTGAGTCTGACAGACTTATATGTTAAGGCGCTTACACACTAAACAAATCCCGTCCAACGAATACATCACTCCAAACATTGGCCATCCTAACTCATCCTCATCAAACCAAGGGATTTGGCCATGTGAAATCACAGTCAACAACGTCACCCATTTTGATGTTACGATCAGAAGTCCAAACTTGACCAAGGCCAACTGCTTTGTTGGTTCAGATTTGCAATCGCCGCCAATGAAGTGGTTGGTTGTCTTCATTTGGCCGATATTTACTTAGTGTGTATGCGCCTTTCAGTTATTATTATAAACCATATCGATAGTTCCCCCATGGCTTCTACCCACCCCTAAAATACTACTATTGCTAACTATATGTAATAAAGTCACCTCCCCCAGCTTCATTTATAGCCAGAAGTTTCTAAAACCTTACCCTCATCTACATTTGTTTTTATGGATGGCTCCAAAGGAACAGGAACTTGAAGAATGAAAAGATCTAGTTCTGCTAAACCCCATATTGAGCAACTATAGCTGAGCTAGTTGGACTTTACTCTTTGGAAGATAGAAGAATTTTGGCTTCGGCATTGATCTTGTGGAAGATATTTGACAATACGATTGACTCCCCTTAGATCTTGTCCTGCATCGGTATAGAGTCTCCCAGCGCCAACTACGCTCCTGTGCACTATTTTGTGTTCCCCAACATAGGATGAATTATGATTCGGAATGTTGCCTATCATGGATAGTTTGGCGCATTAATCGGTATGGAGATTTCACAGCCCCTTTCTCAGATTGTTTGTCGGTTTTCTAAAAGAAGATTTTACGAGCTTTAAAAGAGTGATTCACAGAGCCGTGTTCATTTTTATGTATTTATTCAAATATTTTTTTCATCTTGTAGTTATTCTTTCTGTTTCTTTTTTCCTTGGCCACAAGTTATTATTTACTGCTATCTATTGCAGTTATTATCTATTTGTAATCTATTTTTTCGTTATGTTAAGTTTTTAAATTCTAAATTATTATATATGTGTGTGGTGTTTAGTGACTGTTAGTTAATGATTATTTGGAGATCATGAGATGCGGTCTGGTTAATGTGCATTTGGATTTCGTTATCATAGTTGATCCATAATGTTTATTATTTATTTTTAAAGCCTTTGAACACCCCAAAACGTCACCAGCCAGGTGACTTGGACGATGAAGAAGAGAACGAATTTGATCACAAGCAGAAAAAGATGAGAAAGTTAGCTAAGATACGAGCAGCTGAGATTGAAAAAATGGAAAATGAGAGGAGAGAAAAACAGGAAAAGGAAAGGTTAAAAAAAGAAGAGAAGCAGGATGCAATATTGAAACTGGTCGAAAATAGCGAACCGACAGAGGTTGTTGAATTGTTTTTTTCTTTCTTTAAAACAACTTTTCTAAAATTATTATACTTTACAGAATGATGTTCTTGATGAAGCAACTTTGAAAAAGATGCTGCTCTTATTTGAAAAGAGGGCTTTAAAGAATCAAGAGATGAGAATAAAGTTTCCCGATACACCAGAAAGGTTTATGGAGTCAGAGGTCGAGTTACACGAAGCGATTCAAGAACTGCATGCCATTGCAACGGTTCCTGATTTATATCCAGTAATGGTTGAGCTTAATGCAATATCATCCTTGCTTGAACTTTTATCACATGAAAACACTGACATCTCTGTTGCTGTTGTCAACTTGCTCCAGGTTGGTTTTTAATTTTTCAACTTTTTTAACTGCTGACAATTTTTATTATCGGTTATGTACAATTCAATTTTATTTTTTATTTAAAGGAACTAAGTGATGTCGATATCCTGAACGAAAGCGCAGAGGGTGCAGATGCACTTGTGGAAGAACTCTTGAAACACCAGATCACCTCTCTTCTTCTTCACAATCTCCAAAGGCTTGATGAAAACGTTAAAGAAGAAGCTGATGGTGTCCACAATACTTTAGGTAAAAAAGAAAAGAAAAATTATATTTGACTTTTGATATTCTTATATTTAATTTTTAGCGATTATTGAAAATTTGCTGGAACTCAGACCTCAGCTTGTCACTGAAATAGGCAAGCAGGGTTTAATGCAGTGGCTTTTGAAGAGACTCAAGGCAAAGCTCCCTGCTGAACAGAACAAGCTCTACGCCACGGAGATACTATCAATTTTACTGCAAAACAATAACGACAACAAAATCCTTTTAGGAGAATTGGGCGGGATCGATATTCTGCTCCAACAACTTGCTGTAAATTATTTTGACATTTTAAATCTGGTGTTGAAATTTAGCATGTTGTAATCTTTAAATTTGACTTATCCAGCAATTCAAAAGGCATGACCCGAATTCAGCTGAAGAATGTGAAATAATGGAAAACCTTTTTGATGCCCTTTGCTGCAGCCTTATGATAACAGCAAATAAAGATTTCTTCTTGAAAGGAGAAGGACTACAACTTATGAATTTAATGTTGAGGTGAACCATAAAATGATAATTTTTTTTTAAGCAGTTTTCTAAAATGCTTATTTTATTGAGAATTTTCCCTATAGTTTAATTTTATTTTCATAATTTGCTCATATATTTCTTCAAGAATGATATATTAGATTCCATTAAACTAGTCTTAAATAATCATCTTAAACTAGTCTGTTCTGGCTGTATCAAACGATTTGGTCATAGCATATGTATTGATTGGATCATATTTGGACTGTTCGAAGCAATGACTTTTTTAATGTAAAATAAAATATCTAGCTAATGTATTTTGATAATCTGTGATAAATTCTGGTCTGCCTATTCTCATTATTATTATTATGTATTTATTTATTTATTTTTTTTTTTTTTTTGGTCAATTGGGTTTTGACATTTTCCCTACAGTGATCGGTGTTTATTCCTTTTTTAAAAAAGATAGTTAACTTAAGGAACTATCTTTGAACTCCGTACTCACTCCATCATTCATCATTTCTATGTGATTGGTGTTTTCTATCCATCCAAAAAATGTTATTTCATTGATACATGTTTAAATTTTGTATTGATAAAAGGTTTGCAAGTAATTAAAAAAAAAAATGTATTTAAACTAATAACAATTTCGTAAATTTACAGAGAGAAGAAGATGAGCAGGAACGGCTCATTAAAAGTTGTAAATTATGCATTAGTAGGACAAGACGGGAAAGAGAACTGTAATAAATTTGTAGACATATTAGGTTTAAGAACCATATTCCCTCTATTCATGAAGACTCCTAGGAAGAACAGAAAAAAGATTTTAACAGCCGAAGAGCACGAAGGTAAAAACCTTTTGTAAACGTTTAGACCTACTTTCTCATAAACAGTTTATTGCAGAGCATGTTGTCTCTATCATATCGTCCATGCTCAGGAACTGCAGAGGACCCCAAAGGAGCCGGCTATTGAGTAAATTTAGCGAAAACGACCATGAAAAGGTGGACAGGTTGCTCGAATTACACTTCAAATACATGGAGAAGGTCGATGCTATTGATAATGAAATTGAACAACTTGCAGCTGTAAGTTATTAACTATTTCACATTCACATTGTGTGTTTACACAACTCTAAAAAAAAATTTATTTTACGATCAGAAAGAAGAGGACCTTAATGAAGACGAGATGTATTTAAAACGTCTCGAAGGTGGGCTTTTTACTTTACAATTGATCGATTACATCATGTTAGAAATTTGCTCTGGCGGTCCACCGAGTGTAAAACAGAGAGTTACACTTATACTTAATCAGAGAGGGGCGTCTTTAAAAACTATTAGGCATATCATGAGAGGTAGGTATTTTAGAAAAGAAACTATTATGAAATAAATATATTTTATCACAATTTTCTTTCTAAAGAATATGCCGGCAACTTGGGCGATGAAGGCGATTCAGATTGGAAGGAACAGGAACAACAGCACATCCTGCAGCTTGTGGACAGATTTTAAAAACCCACTTTACTTGAGTTTGTTTATTTATATAAAGTTGTATATACAAATATTTGACATTGTAAATAAACTTTTTTTTCTATTTGGATTTTTCAGAAAGTAGAAACCTACTCAAAATGCAACAATCTGTTCCCTGTTTTAACAGAATTGCAAAGGAAATAGTTGAATAAATTAATTTTTTTTTCATTGTTTCAACAAACAATGAAATATCAACACAGTGAAAGTTATTCATCAAATGTGATTTCTTGTATTTTTATTTTTGGAATTTAAATAATAAAAATTAAACTGGCTCAAAATCAACAAAATTCTCTTTCAAATGAAAAAAAAGACACTACGGTTCTTAATGTAAACGATACTACAAATGAAGGGCATAGGGAGTCTAAAGTAAGTAAAGCACTGAGATCCCAAAATAATGCAGTGCTCTTGCTTATCCTTTAAATGTTTTCATCTTAAAGAGTACAAATGCTGAACTCAGAGTAGGACCTGTGGAAGAATTTTCTTCGTCGTTGGAACAAAGAAGAACCATGTGGTCGATAGTAAGTTTTTGAATTCCCATAAACATCAGTTCAGTTACTTTTTATTTATTTTGTCTTAGATATTTTTCTTCACATGTTTTATTCAAAATAAAATTAAGTTGGTTGTTTGAAGTTAGATTTGTTCATGCCAAACATAGTGGTTTGTATGTATGTGTATCCTGGCGTATGTAAAACTACAATTCATAATATGAAAATGCCTCACTGAATATTTATTTATAATAGTATAAAAAAACAAAGGAAGGATGAATCGACCATCAGGATATCACCAATAAATTGAAGATTAAGGATGCGGTAATCATCGACCACATCCCTGACCTTCAACTTATTAGTATGAAGAAAGGGCAAAAAAATTAATTTAGATATAAATAATTATGAATTTTGAGCAGAATTTTTTTGTTTAATGCTGGAAAATAGTGGTATAGGTTAAATTATTATACTCATGTATAACAATGTTTTAAACAAAGAAGTATATTTTAAGTGTATGATTAAAAGAATTAAGATTATTATTTAACTATAATTTGCAAACAAACACTTTTTTTCTTAATTTTTTGTTATTTTTAATGGATGTCTTTTTGTTAAGATGATAGCTTTAACCACATAATTGTATACATTTTGAGGCATTTAAACAATTTGGAAAAAACTTACTATTATCTAATATTGTTTACATCCGTTTGGAAGTCATAGTGCTTATACATTTTACACTGAATTGTTCTAAAATGTTTATTCATTTAAAGACCCATGGGAAAGTAGAATATGTTTCCTGCGGCAACTCTGGCCCAGATTTCTTCCTTCATACTGTTATCCTCAGTAAGCAGAGCTCCAAGATATTTAAAGGTCTTACAGGATTCATAAGCCTCACAGTTCAGTACAATGGAAGCGGAATTGATTTGCCCTTAACTTCTTGTGGAATGAACATAAAGAAATAATTGAGATGGGGGATGTCGATTCAATTTTTGTAAAGGAATTTCACAGGACAAGTAGTTACTAACAACAATTCTGTGAGTTGAAGTTAATGACCAATCTTTCTGCTTCAACTTTGGCAAACCCTCTTCAAGATTTATCAAATCTATTCTTTTTATGTAAGGTTTTGGTTGAGATGAAAAAGTCAGTGGCACGAGCGGGATTTGAATCCACGACCTTCGGCTTAATAAGCAGTTACTCTAACCACTTGAGCTATCGTGACTTCGATCTGCATGGGTTTTATGCTTTCATAAAAAGAATAACTAATTGAAATAATTAATATGGTCAATTAGATTACCAAGCATAAATGGATCAATATAATAAGTAAAAGAAGTAATCACTTCACTAACAGCTCGCCTTGGCCATTTTAATAAGTCGCTGAGAATCGAATTCTAATTACATGTTTGAAAATTGGCAAAAAGATGGAAAATGCGAAAGGTCAAAAAGTCATTGTCACAAGTGGGATAAGTGCTTAACCTAGTGCTCTGACCACTTGAGCTATCGTGACTTTGATCTGCTCGGACACTGTATTGAGACAAAGGTTATGGGTTCTAATCCTGCTTGTGACACTGACTTTTTCATCTCAACCTTAGATAAAAAAAATTATTAATTGAACTAATTAATATGGTCAATTAGACCACTAAACATGGGTTATTACTTAAATTATACATATATAAAACTTAGTAATAAATAATGAAAAAGTGGAAATAGATTAACTGTAAAACTGAACAGTGTTACGCATCATTAAAAAAATCATGAAGTGGTTTTTGTTTCAATGTTGTGTGATTTTCCAAAGAGACCAGTACTGAGTACACATTGACAAAACACTGACCGTAGAACATAGCAAACTAGAGAAAATTAAAATATACTTTAGGCTGTAAGGAAGTAAACAATACATGGAAATTTAGAGGAATATATTAACAACAAAAAAGTGTAAATTATAAAGATGGGAAGTAGCTTGATTAATAACATGCTTTTTCGCCCCTGTTGCAAAAAATATTTCATGTTACTGAATGTATCAAAATGCACAGAATTTTTTCGATTTGAAGTGACCTGCTGAAGAGTTCGAATTAACAAGTCAGTTGACTGTAGCTATTCCTTTCAAAATTTAAAAAAAAAAAAAAATTTTAAATAGGGGTTTCTTAGGAAGTAACTGTGTAACTTGACAGATTTTTAATAAAGTAAACAAACCAAACTGTGAAAAGAAATTGTTGAAATCAATCACATCGGCTATGTGTTTTAAAGAGATTTAAAAATTTAAATGAAGTATTGATTAAGTAATATTTGAAAGAGGAAGGAAGTGGCGGCGAAAGGGCCGGTTGGTGCGTCGTCCTTCCGTCACAACAGATCGTTACTCGTTACGCCTGCCTTCGTCGTCACACGTCCTTCATTTTAGTAAACATTCTTCAACTAACGAGAAGTGCTTTTTGTCTTTCTTCTCTGTTTATTTCTGTCTTAGGGGAAGCCAAGCACTGCGTGAGGCGGAAGAGCCCGTTGTACATTTTTGGAAAGCGAAATGGGTGCCGTACTCGGACTATTCTCAGCAGCGCAGGTGATTTTGCGTTTTTTAAAATGCCCTCCCATGTTTTTCTGTTCCTCCTCGACGTTTTACGTTCTGTCATCAATCACACCGTGGTTTTGCCCATCTATCACATCTCGACTAAATCGCATCATTTCATCAATCATATCTTCCCTTTTACCGTATAGAAAATCTTAAAAACAAATTACGACAATTGCGTAACATTTTAATCCCCTGATTTCAGTCAATCGATTGTATCTTGTTCGAATCATCATATAAACAGAATTTTTTTTCTATAAAAGAAACATCAATTGTAATACGTAATAAATTTAAAAAACCACATTATTTGTTTAAATAAACATACTTAAAATATATACAAGATAAGGTATCTTCTCGTTATCTCGAAACGTCTCTTTGCGTCTTGGACTAACAAAAATAAACTCCAATAATATAAATTAATCTATTGATATGCTCAAAATTATCCCCTAAATACATAAAACTTTAACCTTTATAATCGGAAGAAGGTAAATTGGGTCAAATATGTGCAAAAAAAAAAAAAAAAAAAAAGCGACCGTACAAGGCATAAATGACAACGGTGTAGATTGGTTTGTCCGGAGAATAATACACGTTTAAGGTTATAAAATAAAAACTGATTTTTAACATTTTTTATTCGTTAGTATTGTTCATTTTATTGCAGTTCATACTGGTCAAATGACCCATAACTGAACAGTCAAGGTGCAAGAACATACATAATTTGTTGGAAGCTGTGAGGAACTGTCAAGAATGAGGTAGTGTGGAAAAACACCTTTTTCATTTTTTTTTTTTTTTATACTGACGTTCGACCTTTATTCGGGTCATCTTCAGGGCCAGGGTAAATCAATAATTAATTAATCGCCAAAAAATAGCACTCTATGAAATACCTGGTTCAAAATTTATATTTACAACTTAAATTGTATTTTTCCAATCAACATGTTTTGTAATTTATCCAGGCCCTGAAGATGACCCGAATAAAGGTCAAAATGATGGCAAAAAATGAAAAAGGTATTTTTATAAACTACCTCATTCTTAACCGCAAATACATATATATACTGCCTAAACTCTCGGTTATGTGATGTTTTGTTGATTACAGTGTGATTTAAGCTTTTAGCAATTAAATATCACTTTTTTGAAACTCACATACAGACATTTACCGATCAGGCATGCTCATAAATGTCAGCATGGAATAACGGTTAATGCAATGTCATCACTCCGCACAATGCCGTTTGGAGTTGTATGTTCCATTTTCAAGCTGAACGGTATTGATTCACTGATTTATTCTTTCTCTCCGTCTCTCTATCTCTCTCACTCACAGATAATTCTTTGAAAAACTGTGCCATCGCCTCATTTCTAGAGAGTTTTAACAAACTATTCCAAAAACACAATTGCCTTTATAGGACCCCACATAGGCTCTCTTTGCTTGTTGACGACTTGCAATTGGAATCATGGGCCTACAACTTCTGGGAAGAAGTTTCATTAAATTAAGTCTTTCCCCTCATTTTTGTCAACTTTTTGTCAACTTACATAGCGGTATTTTTTTTTAACATAGTTTCAATGAATGAGATGCCATTTATTCACTTATTTTTACCTTCAAATGAATATATGTATATATTTTGTTGTGTTCTTTACCAAATTCGAAAGTACACTTCTTATTATCTGCTAAAGAAACATATAAACATATTTTATTTTAAATGCGGTGTAATATTTGCTAACTAATTATGCAATACAGTACAACAAATTATGAAACAACAGGTCACTAAGAAACGCAACATACATAATAATCCATTATATTTATGACCAAATTACTTCTTTCAGTTAATTATCTTTTTATGTAAGGTTCTAGTTGAAAAGAAATAGTTAGTGCCACAAGTGGGATTCGAACACACGCCCTTCGGTTAAATACGCTGCTGCTCTACCACTTGAGCTATCGTGATTTCCACTCGGACACCAATTCTCCATCAACCTACAACCTTTCGAATTTTCCCTCTTTTTGCCGTTTTTCAAATGGTTTCAAATTTCATTTCAACTGACATCTTACATAAAAAGATTAATTAATTGAATTGACTTTTCAATCAAATTCTCTGCAAGTTCTTGAACAGTTCTGGGATTTTATTTAACCAAAGTTCATAGAACATCATCATCTAGGGAAGAAATCTGTCCATGACCTTTGACTTCAAGCCTAAAGTCTCTCTCTTTCAGAATTTTTTAAACCATCTCAGAATGGGGCTCTCACTCACACTCTCATCGTCCCAGCCTTAATTAATGTTTCTGGCTGTTTGGCCACTGTTCCGACCGAGTTTAAACTTGTCAAACAAAATAACATGAAAATCGTGCATTGATAGCTTTCTACTGAATTATTCCCAATAACAAAATGCTATTGAGGTAAACAATCAATTCACTGATTGAAAGTATAATTCTATTCACAAACTGGTTTTTAATCAGGTATATTTTTGACTGCTTAAAGCCTGTTTGTGAGTAGAACTATACTTTCCAACCAGTGAATAATGCAGAGTCTAGTAATGTATATAATTATAACGTTGAGGCACAAAAACAACTTTCGAGCAAAAACATTTTTACCTGTCATGAATGGTGTGATAGGTCTATGTTTGGTATTATTCTCATCTTTAATCCATATAGAAAGCTTGTTAGCATTCTGATGTGAGATTCAGTTGGCATTTATGCGTTAAGCAGCAAGCTTTGGAGTACCCTGGTGTCAACAGGTCAATGTAATTTAATTATTGTACACACCTTCGACTGCTTCACAAATAGCTCTAAAATATTTTGTCATTTTTTATATATCTTGGTGTTGTGGTCATAATATATCTTCACTCGTTGGAAATGATAGTTCTACTCACAAATGGTTTTAAGCACCAATCCGCATTTTGAGCATTAAATGCTCATTGTAAGGCTGAAAATAAGCTTACGAGTAGAATTACCTTTTTCAACCAGTGAATGATATATGTACACCACCACAGTTATTTCTAATAATACATCTTTTTATAAATCTTCTTGTTTGTCTTTTGCCTAAACGTGGGTGAACATTATAGTGATTAATTCATTCATTTACATTTTTATTTTTTTATATATTTTTTTAATATATTGTAGTCTTTTTTATTTTATTTTTGCATATTTTCTTATTTGTTTTTATTTTTCCTAACAATTTTATGGTAGTGATTATAAAAATATATAAAAATATTTTCAAGTTTTAAAAATGTTATTGATTTGGATGTTTAATTTAATTGTGGAAACTGTCTTTATCTGTGATTTCTGCGGTCATTTTGTAATTTAACACCCAGAGTCATATTGGTGGATGTGTCGGTGATGTTGAACTTCTGATCGTCTGCTGATCACTGCTGGATCTGTCTATTCTTTTGTTAGTTAAGATACGATCAAGTGCCAATTGGCAATCAATTTAACAAAAGTTATATTAATTTTTAATTGTAATTTTATAAATCAGTCTGCAAACAATAATAGAAATTATCACAAATTTACAGCTAGCATGCTGCTGCGGGAGCACAGCCTGCAGTCTGTGCTGCGCAGCGTGTCCATCATGTCGCAACTCGACTTCTACGAGGATAATGTATGCCCTTATGCTCCTCATTGGGACAGTTGTTGGATGTATATTTCTAGCTCCGGGTCTTGAAGGGGCTCTCCAAAAGGTTTTGAAATCTTTAAAAAGTTTTTATATTTGACTATTTATTTATTTATTTTTAATTTCCAGGTACCGTTTTGTCGAAATGAGACGTCTGTGAGCAAATTTATACCTACCATAGACTGTCAAAATGCTGTTGGATACATGGCGGTTTATAGACTGTGCTTCGCTCTTTCCTGTTTTTTCTTCTTAATGTCGCTCATTATGATAAACGTCAAATCGTCAAGGGATCATCGTGCTGGTATTCAAAATGGGTAATTTTTTAAATTTAATTTAAATTTTTTTAATTTAAAAAAAAACCCATATATTGATTTTAGGTTTTGGGGATTAAAATATCTCCTAGTAATTGGAGGTATGATCGGTGCATTTTTCATCCCTGAAGAATGGTTTGGACCAACTTGGATGTACGTTGGGATGTTGGGAGGTTTTGCTTTCATCCTAGTCCAGTTGATTCTTATTGTAGATTTTGCACACTGCTGGGCGTCGGCTTGGGTTGAAAATTATGAAGAAACAGAATCTAAAAAATGGTAAGATAGTTTTACATTTTTTACACAAAATTTAAGATAATTTTGTTGTATATATAAAAATTTAAAATATGTAAAAACATTGAAATGATAAAATCTATTAATTAAATTAAAACCATATTTGAAAGTTTCACTTTATTGCACTGTCATTGTATTGTTTTAGGTATGCTGCATTGATGATTACCATGTTGATCAATTATGCTCTGGCAATCACTGGAATTGTTCTTCTATTTGTCTACTTCACTGCAGTAAGTTAATTGGTTCTAAAAAAAGAAATTAGCTAATAATATGATCTCATTTCAGCCTAACGACTGCGCTCTGAATAAGTTTTTCATCTCCATTAACTTGATTTTGTGTTTTGTCGCAAGTGCTATGTCCATCCTTCCAGCCGTCCAAGTTAGTACTAGAATTATTATTTTGGTCTAGTTGGATTATATTTTAAATGTACTTTTTTTTCTCTCCCCCCCCCCAACAGGAAGCCCAACCCAAGTCAGGTCTGTTACAATCTTCTATCGTAACCCTCTACGCGATCTATTTAACTTGGTCTGCTCTTTCAAACAACCCTGGTAAGTGTAATAAACCAAATAGATTTAACATTTAATATTGATTTTATTGTTTAATATTCAAAGACTTGAACTGCAATCCTGGTTTCCTTTTGAATCATGGTGGGAAACACGAGAAGTCAAAATTCGATTTTGAAAGCATTATTGGCCTTGTTATTTGGATGTGTTGTGTGCTTTACTCATCCCTCAGGACAGCTACAAAATCCTCGAAAATCACAATGTCTGACCACATTTTAGTTAAGGACACTGGTGGTGAGTAAACTTTTTATTTTTAAAACATTTCAATCTGCACATAAAGAGAACACAGTAGTTAGAAGTAAATAAAATTGTGATTTTTTTTTATATTTCGCTCATTTATCTTATTTAATTAAATTAATTAACTTTATTCTTAAAGCGTTGAATCCATTTTTCGTATCAAACTTCTTCCGATGCCAAGGCAAAATTAAAGTTATTATGGTGGTTGTTAGGTCAATAGAATAATATACATTATTCCCAATTTCTTACTTCAAAGTGTGATTAAGAGCAATATTATACATTTTTAATTTTATACTTTTTACACATATTATGAAAAAGCATTTTAATTTTTTATGTATTACATATTTTTATATAATAACTAGCATTGTTTTATGCTTCTCAGGTAGTTACTACAACAAAGTTCTATTTGTACCGTGTTAAAAATCGAATATAAGGCATTTTACTTTTTTATGTATTACATACTTTTATGTAATAACTAGCATAAAATGCTACATAAAGTGTGTCTAAGAGTGAAGTATATAATTTTTGATGTTTTACGCTTCTCAGGTAGTTACTGCAACAAAGTTCTATTTGTACCATGTTAAAAATTCAATATAAAGCATTTTACTTTTTTATGTATTACATATTTTTATGTAATAACTAGCATAAAATGCTATATAAAGTGTGACTAAGAGTGAAGTATATGATTTTTGATGTTTTGTGCTTCTCAGGTAGTTACTACAACAAAGTTAAATCTTTTCAGTATTTTAAAATGGTCGAAATTGAAGGTGTATTGTTCTGAATCGGACAAATATCATGCGGTGATATTGGATTGTAAACTCACTTTTACTGCCCATGTGAATGATGTACAAAGGCAAATTGGCTATCTGTATACATTTCCCTCTGCTATGTCCCCAGTCCAGTCTGTTGCCTGCCAATAATCTTCTACTGTACAAAGTGGTTTATTACATTTAAAATTCGAATAATTTTCATTTTAGTTAGTTGAATATTGCAAATAATGCGCATAAAATGCAGTATAAGGCGTTATGATTTTTACAGCATTTACTGTACATTTGTGAGATTGGTAGCACAAACTGTTCATTTTTCATTAACATCTCTTCTTTTAAGGGCCTCAAAAAGAGGAGAAGAAAAAGAAAAAAAAAAGGAAAAGAAATTTCCTTGGCATGCCTATTAAACAGAAAAAAGGCAAGTCCGATTTTGGGATAAATAAGGTTTTAACATAGTGTTTTGTTTCCGTAAGTGTTTTAACAATTTTCTTTTATGTTAAACTTACGTTAATATCCCGAAGTGTAAATCACATCTTGTTTGTTAACAAATAAAGCAGTGGTAAGACGACAAAGTTTCATCCAGTAATAAATTATTTAAAAATAGTGTTTAAATTGAATATAGATTATTTTCCTAACAGTTTATGTTAATTATAACATACCTCTAATCACTAAGGGCAAGTAAAAAGTCTGTGTCTTTATAGTTATGTTTTAACTCTTTAGTAGTAGAAATTCTTCCATGATTATCAGCTTTGGATCTTTATAGAGATTCACTGCTATCTTCAATAGATCGATTACAATTAAATTTAGACGTGATATAATCTTTATACCCCAAAACAGCATTTGAAAGGGTGAGAACTGTCACGGACAACTACCATCGAATTCTTACACCTAAAATTAATCACTCTTGTGAAAATATTGTGGATTTCTTTAAATTACTGGTTGTGTTGCGTACAGTTCAGACTCTGCACTACCTTTTGACCCTGTTAAATTTATAGTTTTATTAATAAAAGATTATAGAGTAAACATTTAAACTGGACCGTTATGACAGTTTTAAATTTTATAATGCTCTCAGTTATCGGGTTTGTGGTCAAGATATAACTGAGAGCATTGAATTAGCTGGTTGATAATCTACATTGCTAAATTTTGTAATGTGCCTAGTTTCCAGACAAGCACATTTGTATTACATGGTCACAAATTAAAAAAAAAAAATTATGTGAACTATGCTAATTTACATTGAAGGCTTAGTTAACTGCTTCAAGCATAGAGATAACATAAAGAACCTTAAAAGAAGATTAAATTTGATGTTTATATTAAAATATTGATTATGATGATTAATTGTATTAAGCTTGGTTCTCTGATATATTTGTTGGAAATTTGCAAACAACTGAAATGGGATTTTTATCGTAAGTCATATTCAAATATACCGTTACTTCTGACAAAAATGTTTATTCATTCTTTGAACTAATTTAACAATAGATGATAAAAGTTATTCACAAAACTTGACACATTATTTAAATTATGGAAAATAGAGACAAATGAAAAATAAATAAAACCCAGCCTAACTCATTATGTAAGATTACTTACTTAATTGTACTTCAATCGCAGTTCCTGACAGACTGTGTTTTTAGTCATTTTTATCAATAACCCATATTGATGCCTATATCCAATTGCCAATAGGCAATCAATAAATGTTTATAAAAAGTAAATTAATCTAATGATTAATTAATTTCAAGTGCATCTTTCCAACTCTACAAACTTTCAATTGTTACGATGACTGATGATGCAAAGACCAATCTTCAGACATCAATCATTAATTCAGAAGACCAACACCACAATTTTGATAAATTCTTGATTCTGTGTGAACAAATTCTGCTTGCTAATTAATAACTTTAGTTGAGTTTCCATTTATTTATGTTTAGTTAAAAATGCACTACCTTAGGTTTTATTTACTTCCTATTCAGCACTGTAAATTATAAATTTTTGTTGCTGTTTTATACTCTAGTATTGAATCCCCCTTGATTTAATGTAATTCTATATTAAAAAAGTTTTTTAGATTGTTTTGGACAACAGAAAATTAAATGAAACCTGGTTCTTGCCTTAAATTTCAAATTATTATTTTTATTTTATTTATTTATTTATTTATTTTTTTAATACAAAATTCAAGGGTGTGACAGCTTTAGTTGAAAATGTAGTTCTATCTTAATCACAAACATTGTTAGAATGCAACAAACTTTGCCTCATAAGGCGAAGTAACTAATGTTTGGAACTTTTTTTCTCTGTGCTCTTTATAAATTATTGCTTGTAACACTTGATTTATTTTCTTCAGCTCGGACTTCCTCTTCAAACCTGGTTAGCGAAGGTGGGTCCATCACTTTCTACTAAGCTTTTTTTAATAGAATGCCATCTCCCTGTTGACTTTGTGCATTAACAATTTCTGTACATGAAGTAAAATCAGAAACATTTTAATCATCTTGACTATCCTTAATATATATCTTTTAAATTAATCAATTAATTACTTTATGGGAAGTACCCTGTAAATTGAGAAAGGAGTTGGTTGAATGCTGGTCCGAAGTCACAATAACACAAGTAGTAGAGCAGCGGGGTACTATCCGGATCCGGTGTGATACTAATTTTTCATCTCAACCTCATTTTGCATAAAATAGTTAATTGATTAATTTAAAAGAAACATTTTAATTATAAAATAAAGTAACACTGCCCTTAGACATTTTCATTTCATTTGTAGCTTGTTTTTTGATGATTACATTTGTAATGTATTGTGTGATCATGCTGTTCCATTTTTTCTATCATTTAAGGTTTAATGTTTAAACATAAATGAGTTTATGTGTAAGGTTAATAATGCCTCACTTTTAATTCATTTGAGTAATTATGAATTTTAAGCATTAACAGTGTTATTAATGAGGAAAAAAAATTTAGTACAAAATTGTAATAATACAAGAGGTAAGTTTCTGATTGCCTTATCCTTGTATTTTTGGTTAGCTTTTGTCTGTTTCAATGGCTGAATCAAATAAAAAATGCAAATGCATTTCCTTGGATGGACTTAAAAAAGTTTTGCTTAAATTTAATCGAAGATACTTTGTTTGTTTGGTCATTTCCGTATTAAAAATGTTTTGTTCTGCTAATAAAATAAAAAGAAAGGTGAAATGTTTCAAAAGTGAGATTTATTACATTAAATCATAAAAGTTACTGTTGGCCTATCATATTCTTATATTTATCACTGCTTTGTAACATTTATTTAGTTTCTTGTTTATTTTAAATTTATTTTTAAACACAATCAATCAACAGAATGGGAATTTTTTTTTTGTCCAGGTTTTTTAAAGTTTTTTTTTACTCTTAAGTATGTGTGTAAACAGGAGGATATATGTCTATAGATGATGGAGGCGAACAAGGTGGTGACAAAGGTGACAAAGTCTGGGACAACGAGTCTGAAGGAGTCGCTTATTCTTGGTCGTTCTTCCATGTAATGTTCGCCTTCGCAACCCTCTACGTGATGATGACGCTCACCAACTGGTATTCGTAAGTATCTTCGAACATTCGATAAACGTATTTGTGTGACAACTCTGTTAATGTTCAAATCATGCACAGGCCGAAGTCATCGTTGGAAGACTTGAACAAAAATTCGGCCTCGATGTGGGTGAAGATGATGTCTAGCTGGACCTGCCTGGCAATCTATATGTGGTCCCTCATCGCTCCGATCGCACTTCCGAATCGTGAGTTCTCATAAAGCAGTTGGCCTTTCATCACTTAAATAAAACATCCTTGACATAACATTGTTGTTATTAAATATGAATTATTATTATTATTATTATTAAGTATTTTATGGAATATCTAGTTTATGTGATATACGTTTAGTATTAATTTTGTAAATATCTGTAAAATTTTTTAGAGGTATTTGTTTAGTTTCAATTAAAAGCCTTAACAAACTTAATTTGGATAGTATATAATAATAAAAAAATGTCGAATATCAATTTGTCTCAAATTTTACCTTGGCTTGTGAACATTTTTTTGTTAAACTTAATTATTAAAGCAGCTTTCTCTATCTACCAGTAAAATAAAAATTTATAATATTTAACTAGCTTTTTGTGGTTTTAGAATAAAAGGTTAGAAATAAGGTTTATGAGTGTTAATGAGTATAAAAAGAAGAAGTCTTTTCATTTTTAATGCATAAATTATAATACTTAGGAAAAGTCCATTTATTCCTTTATTGGTGCATTTATGTTGTAAAAATTATATACTTTAATCCCAATTTGAAAACATTTATTTATCAACTATTTTTAACAATAAAACTGTGATGTTCAAATCATGATTTTCTAGTTAGCCTGAAATAGTTTTATTAAAATTCTACATGGAGTAAAACCTCCATTATCCGAGATAATGATGTGGAGGGGGCTCCATGGAAAACTGAAAACCCTGGATAATGGAACTTATTTTTTTAATGCAATAATTAAAAGGTGAATTAAGAAGACACATTACTTTTATTAAAACCTATGTATGTATTGACAGAAATTTTTTTTTTTCAATTGTAAAAATTTTTAAGGTCAAATTGAAAAATGGTCTTCACAATAATGTTGAGACAACGTACTAAAGGTCTAGGACCCTGATTTGATTACAAAAATACACCCAAAAATAAGTTTTGAAAGAGGGGGGTTTTCTAGGAGAGATTCATCGTTCAGGCATGATGTCTGTAAATGGGTAAGGATTAGTGTCATTCTAGAACGAATGTGCTCAATGTAAATAGACCGGTGGGAGTTTCATGGGAACAAGACAAAAGAGGTTGTTCTTCAAATCAAAAGTGACTTGTTAATATGCGAAATATGAACTCGCATATGTAATATCTGTAAATGGAGACCCAGGGCCTCATAATTTGACTTTCCAGATAACAGAAGTTTTACTGATACCATTTCCTCATTATTAAAACATATTTTTCTATAAGTTTGCTATGTTGTTTTATATCACACATACATTTCACAGCAATTGTTCCAATCGTAGTTTTTTTGGCTGCTTACAATGCAGCAAAATTTGCAAGAATTTTACCCCTTGTGATGAGAGAGAGAGAGAAAGAGAAACAAAAGTGTTTATTATATACACACAAATATGACTTGCTTTTCGTGATCAACATCTTGATAAATCGATTATTTTATACTTCTTAAAATTTTTATGTACTTCCATAAGAGTCAAGTGTGTTGGATATTTTATTTAGCAGCTTATAATAAACATCTACTGTCTAATGGATCAACAAAAATAAGTGTTTTATTTTATTTTTTTCCCCACCAAATATAATATTTTAGTTCATCAGCCAAGTACCAAACATTATATCATTGTATTGTATTATATATAACCATTGCAATAAGTTAAATAATAGTGCATTTACATAATCCATATCTATATATTTTTTAAAGTATAATTTCATTGTATTTTCTTTGTTCCTTTTAATAATGAAAATAAAAGTTTTTTTTAATGTTTCACTAGTTGATGTAATCACCCATTATTTCAAAATAATGATAAGAGAAATCAACCAATTTCGTACACGAATTCATAGATCCATTTCTCTTTCATATCTCATGCATTAATTTTTTTGTGATGTAAAATTAATTAATTTTAGTGTATTTGGGTGATAAGTGATTAAAATATGAAGGGTGGGATGCTGGTGCCAGAATTCAGACTTTGTATGCATCCTTTGGCTGTTGTATACATCTCTCCAAATTGCAGTTACAGTCCCAGTACTTTTCAGTAATAATATTGTGTATATTTTTTACTGCTTTTTTTTAGTATTAAAAAGTTCGTACTGTAACTGCACTGTACTGTACTACACTAATTGCCACAATGGCCTTATATTTTACTCCCAGAACCACAAATCAATTTGGAATTAGTAACTATTCCTTAATTGTATAATTTTCTTCAAGGAAAGAAATTACAGCAGTTGGACCTTGCTGTTTTAAATTACAAGGATTCATATCCAATTTATTGCCAATGAGGGTGAAGTTCCGTCACACAGTCAATTATATTTTATAGATGCCCAGAAAATGAAAAACTAGACAAAGCAGTTTTAACAGCCCTTGATGGCTTTGGCTAAAACGCATATGCTGAAGCATAAAGGACTGCACCTGAAATTTTTCAATTGACAAATTTTTTAACTTTATCTTGCATTTTGTTGTTAGTGTACGGATGGATGTGCTTAGATTTAACAAACCAATAAATAGTTGTTTTCCATTTTTCTGAAGTTGTATCCGAGGTTATTGACACATCGATGTGCACTATCGTCAAAGTTAATTTCTGTTTTAAGTAACTTTTGTTTTCAACTGTAGTGAACCTGGAAGGGACTCAAAAATTACTCAAACTGCATGGGAAAACAAAACCATAGTGAACGGTTTAACAAACCTAGAGCAGAAGAAATAGCTGGAGTTTTCCATTTTTCAGGAGTACCGCCAGGCCTTTGACACATCGTTGTGCACTATTGTCAAAGTGATCCAAAATTAATTTCTGTTTTAAGCCCATCATTAGTTAATGTAATCACCCATTCTTTCAAAATAATAAAGAAAAAAAATCAACTTTGTAGATGGATTAAATTTTTTTCTCCAAAAAGGTTAAATTGAAAAATAGCCTTCACAGCAACATTGACAAAGTGGTATTAGAGGAGTAGAGAACTGTGACACTGAATCAGTTTAATCAGTTTTCTAAAAGAGGTGCATAACAAATGTGTTAAGTTTTAAAAGTAAAGAAAGTATACATTTTTATTTACAATTAATACAAGGATAAGTTTACAAGTTAGATGAACATATTTTGTATTAGCTGGACAGGCCTCCTTTTACCTTGTGATACTTGAAAAACTGAAACATTAAACAATAATTTAGCTTAGATATGTTCGATTCAAACGTAAAATTAAATATTAAGTGTAAAACCTTAACAAGGTTTGCCAGGACAGGGCCGAACTTTGGTTCAATTTTCAAAGACGACCTAATCCACGTTGGCAAAAGTTCTTGTATGTTTTGCTTTCCGTATCTGTGATCTAAGAGGAGCATGGTCGAGTAGTCTGCTTTATGTCTAACCGCCCTCCCGATCGATTGATTGACCGCTTTCATGCAAAGGTTTTCATAATGTTCCCTGCCAGCTTGAGGCCCCTGAGAATTGAAAAAGAAAAAACAAATTTGAAACTAAAAGACTAAAATGAATTTGGATAAAAATTACATACAACATTTTCCTTGAGAAAAAACATTTTTTCCTGCAACTCTGGTGACTTTATGTTTGGGTAAGGCATCCCAACGACAATAACGCACCTTCCGAGGTCATCACTAAAGTTGAGCCCTTCACTTAATTTACCGCCTGTTAAATGATTTAATTAATAATTATTATAACTACAAAACACTTTTTTAATACTTGCCAACGACGCTGAACAGCAACGCCCCATTGATGGGAGAATTTTTTGATTGGATGGTTTTTGCATACTCCGCCAGCACGGTATCGACTTTCGATGACATCTTCGGTTCTCTGAATAACTTTTTTTTCGACGATATTTGTTGCAGCATGTTGTTCTTTTCTAGATGCTCGAACACCTTTGACTCATAGTCATATGAGGGAAAGAAACAGACAACTCCAGCCGGTACGACAGTGCAAACATTAATTAAAAGTCGGCCTAATTCATTCAACTGAAACGAAAGGTGGGAATATATTTAACAATTTTTTACTTATTTTGTTAATGATTATTTTACCACATAAGTGTTTTGATTTATAACAAACAAATGCTTTTGTTAATTGATAAATGTTTTTTATTTATTTATTTACAATTACACTTTAAATATGCAATAAGTAAATATGGTGAAACAAAAAGCATAATATGTGAATGTGCACACAAGGTACATGGGGCATGGACACCCAAAAGGACTGGAAAGGCGAGTCCAGTGATAGGAGTCGTTAGTTCACTAACAGGATGACATCGCTTGTCAACCATTCCTGGCCAACGTTCGGCAGCTAAATTGTTTCATGCCATTGACGGTCCAGTCTCCAACAAGGACTGGCGAGCAATAATATTGCGGATGACCATTCTTGGATTAAGGGGTTGGAGTGATGAGGTAATTTAGAATGGAAAATTTTGTAACAGAATTGGGCAAGGTCAATGGGATTTTTAAGTAATAATGAATTGAATGGTTTGAGAAAGGAATGCTATTTTTAAATAATTATAGCAGCATATAATAATACTTATCTACATTATAACAAATTTACATTTATTAAGTTTCGTGGTCCGCTTGACCAAATAAATTCTTTTCAATTAATTAAGGTTTTGGTTGAGATAAAAAAGTCAGTGTCACAAGCGGGATTCGACCCACGACCTTTGGCTAAATATGCTGCTGCTCTACCACTTGAGTTATCGTGACCTTGATCCCTCGGACATCAACTCCCCATCTCAACCCCACATTTTGAATTTTCCCGCCCTCTTGCCATTTTTCAAATGTCATGTAATCTATTTGATTCTCAGTGACAAATGAAATGGCCACGGAGAGCTTTAGTGAAGTATACTTTATTTTGCTTATTACATTTATTAGGTATCGTGGTCTGCTTGACCAAATAAATTCTTTTCAATTAATTAAGGTTTTGGTTGAGATAAAAAAATGAGTGTCATAAGCAGGATTCGAACCCACGACATTCGGCTAAATACGTCGCTGCTCTACCACTTGAGTTATCATGACTGATCAAACACCAACTTTTTTATCTGACTTTTTTATCTCAACCAAAACCTTAATTGATTATAATAAATTATGGTCTGTTGTGGATTTTGCATAACACAATAAAATATAAATCAAAGGTTCCAAAAGTTCATGACCAACAACAAATTTGTCATGGAGGAAGGATAACTTTATCCAATAAAAAAGTTCCCTTTTTAAAGTTGAAATTGAAAATTAATAATTAATTTATGGAATACAACATTTCATATCTACAGATTTTATTACCATTAATGCAGAATCTCTGTTATTAAAAGAAAAATCAAGCTGCTTCCCTGTAGGCCCAGCACTAACAACAATCGGCAATATGTTCTCAGGTGGGATAACATGTCCACAGGAAAATTCTAAAATTCGGTCGTCACTGGCCCCACATGCAGAAAATAAACGATCCTTGAATTCCGACACAGGCTGCATTGTGCCACCGGCTAAAATAACACACCTAAAAATTAAAAAAGAATGATGTTTTATATGATAAAAACATATTTAAAAAATTAATACCTTGCTTTATTTATAATATCAGATACCGACGATGCAGGGTCCAGGAGCAGGTATTTTATATAACTTTTTCCAATGATCATCTGCCGGCTGACGACGACTCTTCCTTCAGCGTAGTTTTGTGTCAGGTTGTTCAAAAAGGATAAAATTTGAATTAAAGGTTGGCCTTGAATCACTTGCTCTGCTTCTGCTGCTGTTTAATTTTCAATAGATTGACAATTATATACTGTTGTGTTTTGGTAGGCAGTGCTTTATTAGATTTATATTTAGTAGAAATCATCAGTACTATTCCTTTTTGAAAATATCTATTTTGACAATTTCGTTTTGGACTTTTATGAATTAATTTTTTTTAACTAGGAATGTGTGAAACAAGGGTCTAAAAAAAGTTTAGCAGGTACATAAATTTTAGTTAAACAATAATATTTTATGTACATAGTTTAAATTTATTATTTATAACAGTTTCTTTTAATGAAAATATATTTATCATAAATTATTTCTATTTATTTTTTAAAATAAATTTCAATTTCTTACTTCCTCAAATAATGACAATGCAACCAATTATCGAAGTTGGTGCACTATAAAGAAAAATTAGAAAAGAGAAATAATAATTTAAGTTTATTTTAATAAGTTTTCCAAAAATTGGAACGACGTTGTGCAGGCTCAATATTTCTTTTAAAGTTTGTACACCTTTACAATGGAACCTCGTTGCTGCATAATTGGGAGATCGTTTGAGGTGGCAGGTCTTACGAGACCCAAAAATGTTAAGCTATTTGAGATAAAAAAAATTTTAAAAATTTACCATCTTTTATAATTACTATTAAGGCCATCTATGAAACGAAAAAGGAAAAAAAAATTGCCGCCCCAGAGGGTCAACAGTTTTTCAGTCTCCCACATTCAACATGTTAAAGATAGAAAGAAAGATGTGTAGATTTTTTGTGTACCAAGTGTCATGTCAGCTCTAAACCAAAAGATGTGTGCACACATTTTCGGTTAAACTGTTGTGGATTTTATCATTATTGTAAAGTTTTATATTTTATAAAATTTTATTTTTTAACTTACACACAGGTGAAGGCTTTTGTTCTTCTATTTTCTTATTTTTCTTGTTAGAAATATCTTGTATAAAGGCTTTCATACCAGCACCAGGCTTAGGCTTCAGCATATTTTGTGATTTTACCAATGGTGTATACCGTTCAGTATAACCATGTAACTGTAGAATATATATATTTTTCATTATTAAATTTAAAAAAAATAAAAAAACTTACTTTACGAGAAATTTTGGTCTTTTCACAAAAATTTAACAGTGTGTAGATATTGTAGTTATCAATTTCCGCCAACATTATGAAATCGGCAACAGAATATATTTTTGCGTCGAGAACTCGCAAAGATGCTTCTTCATTAGGTCCACAACCGGCTTTTCCCCCTTTAAATTTAAATTTTGTCATCGACAATCAAATGTTTACACTCACTCAAGCAATTATTAGTTTTACCTATAAATTTTATTAATGCGCCAATCACAAATATCAACTGGTTGAGATGAAGTAAATTGAAAGGAGTGAACCTTTTTTCATATTTGTCTCTATATTGTGTAAGTTGACTGTAGGCATGTGTTAGCTAGAAAAAAATGAATAAAAAAATAACAATAAGTCAAATATTACCTCATACAATTTACCTGCAGTCCTGTCACTTGTGTGCTGTGGATATGTGAAATTGTTTCGAGAAGATTATGAGCCTCGTCGATGATCACAACATTATTTTCTACTTTAATATCACAAGCTTCTCGTGTACTCTTATGCAGGAGTGTATTGTATGGTACGACAACTACCTGAAATATTCAAATTGATATGATCAAAAACACACTGATAGGGTTTAGAACCTGCAAACTATTAAAACACCTACGAGGTGGATTTTAATTGTGGCTCAGGCAATGCTGTTAAAATAATTAAACTGAGTTTTATTTACCAAACCCCTATCTGAATTCATACATACCACACGTTTACAATTAAAAAAAAAAAAAAAAAAAAAAAAAAAAATGGTTTGAAGCAGTGAAACCCAAAATGTGCATCATGACTCCCCAGGGCGCCGTGAAAATTTTCTATAAAAATATTATTATTTTCATATTTATAAAAAAATATAAACACTAAACCTCCACTTTATAAAACACCTAAAAGACTCTGGTGGCCATCCAATTTGTTAATGACAGCTGCAATTATGTATTTTATATTATTGCAAAAAAAAATAGTAGCTTTTATATTTTTGCTGTTAAGGGCATAGTCGCTTTTCAAAAGGCGAGTTTTTCAATTTCACAAGAAAGTCAGGAATTTTGATTATTTATTAAAGAAAATTGTAGACAAAATAGAGGTTTAGATGTTTCAACGCTTTTCTGAATTGAAAATGAATTGTTATAAGTTCATACTGAGATAGAGCATTGTTTTAATTTGGGGCCTGCGGAAAAATTCTGATATATTAAGGGCACCGGAAATAAAAAAGTTTGGGAACCGCTGGTTTATAGGATTACTAGTTTTACTTTATCTTATGTGAAAAATTTGTATATTTTAATCCATTTATGTTTAGTGGTCTAATTGACCATAATAATTACTTCAATTAATGGGGTTGAGATGAAAAATCTTTGAAAAATGGCAAAAAGAGGGAAAATTAAAGTTTGTAGGTTGGGATGGGGAGTTGGTATCCGAGAGGATCGAAGTCATGATAGCTAAAGTAGTTAGAGCAGCGGCGTATTGAGGCAAAGGTCATGGGTTCGAATCCTGCTCGTGACAGTGACTTTTCATCTTGTATAATATTTCAGCTTATATAAAAAAAATAATTTGTATATTCTGTTTTGTATACCTGAGCAAGATCTGAGACCATCTGCCTGGACGCATAATAAGGGCAAGAACCAAGTTCTTCCCCTAGTTTCAGTACTTCTTCGACATCATGTATATCCGATATTATCCTTTCACCCAGTTTTGTAACGTTTTTCAATTTTGGACAACAACCACCTTCACCCTTCTTGCGCCTTTTTGTGTCTGCTCCGTCATCTGATTTCGAAGTAGCTTTCTTACTTGAAGACTTCTGCATCTCCAAGCACCTATGGCATCTTTATTTGAATACAATACACAACATTAATGTAAACACTGACTTTTCGTTTATTAACGACTGAATGTTCAACTTCTGCACTGCCTTATTTATACAGTACATCTGTCTAGAGGCTAAGTGGACGACCCTGATGTTTTCCTTGTAGATCGTCCTCTTGATTTCATGAATAAACTGGGAGAGTTGAGAATGCGTTCGACTGCAGAAAATTATCTAAAATTTTTTTTTTCCTGAGAAGAATAAAACAATACAAAACGATAATGACATCTTAATCTTAATACCTTAACACTTTCATCCTTTATTTCATTTTCTTTGTCATCCTCTTCCAGTACTTCATCGTAACTTTCATCAAAGTCTTCTAAAATAATATCACCATCTTCTTCAATGACCGGTTTTAAGAATAAATCATTTTCTTCGATATTTTTGTTTTCATCCGGTTTCTCCTTTCTGATTGTGTGGATCTAAATTTACATACAGATATGTAAATATATAAAGAAACACAAAAGGTTAAAAACATACTTTCTGTTTTTCTTTTATGCGTTTGACCTGCTCACTTTTCTTGGTGATATTGTTCAAACGCAGTTGAAGCTCCCTGCGACAATTGTCATTCGCAACATTTTTTATTTGTGCGGAAAGCCAGTCCGTAGAACTCTCGACTTTATTGAGTTCGAGCTGTGAAATCGCCTTTTCAAGAGCATGTATCTCCCTCTCTTCATGATCTTTCAGCCAAGCAAGAGCTCCACAAATTATACTTAATGTCTTTCCCTGAAAACCAAATTGTTGAGAACAAATAAATAGATAAATAGATTACAAGATTTTTTCAAAAATGGTTAAGGAAGGTGATAAACATACCGACTTTGCCAATGGTATAATGCTTATAGCAACAATTTCAAGAAATGGCTCAACCTTTAATTAATTACAAATGCCTTTCTTTACTCATGTTTCTGATTTGAGACATCAGATCATGTGTAAATATAGTCATTTAAAAATTTCATCTCAATGGAGCATCAAGCTAAATGAACAAACGAGCTTGTACGTAATGTTCATACTTAGAAGTACCTGTCGACTAGTGCACATATACAGCACAGAAATCCCTCTATCCAACCAAATCCGCATTTTCTGGGTTCTACTTCCACAGCAGACTTACACAGGACATATACATAAAACAAAAATGGCAAGAACTGAACCAAAAATATGGACAACTCAGACGCCTACTCGGACACAAATCCACAATTACACACAACCGACTTATAATATACAAGACACTAATTAGATCGATTCAGACCTACAGAGTTAAGCTGAGGGGTTCAGTTAAGCCATCCAACTTCTAAAAAATCCAATCCTTTCAATCAAAAGTCCTCCATCCTCAATGCTCCCTTCTATACTACTAATCAAACCATCCATTAAGACCTAGACATCCCATTCATGATGGACATGATACATCAAGCCCTCGCACCAATAATCCTAAACACTTAAAGGTTCAGAAAGGGATGGCTCCTTTTACCCCATTGCTGACAAATTCCTGATAAATCTTTTTATTAATTGCTGCCAATAAATTGTTAAATGAATAAATTTTGTGACTAGAAAAACCGGTAAAAATACATACTTCTTCAATATTTTTTTTGTATATTTATTTCTTTTTCATAGATTTTTTTTAACTTTTAAACATACCAAATATTTTGAACTTGAGACACACAAACCTTACGAGATACTGTGATGAAAATAAAAAGTGCAGGGATGAATGCAGCTTAATCATCTGACACGTATGCAGTTATGTGTCTATTATGAAGTGGATTTAATTGATGCCTAGGTTTTTGAATTTAGTTTCAAGACCCCATTTAGGCAATCAGGTGTACTTCATGAGTAAAAGGTGAACAATGGTTAAGTTGTTAAGACTGTAAGGCCCGCCCTAAATTGAACCCAGCCCTCGGACAGCACACGCCCAGCCCATACATGGGCTCTTCTGTGAAATGCAGTTCCAGGTAATGTAGCGCAAATTGAACCCACTCCAGGGCCAGCACAGTTTGACTTCAACCACGCTGGTTCGTTTGCGAGAGCTGCACAGATTTTGTGTCTTTCACATCATGGGTTTGTCATAATGATGGAACGTGGCGAAAGTTTAATTGAAATTGTGCTGAATAATCCTGTATTGTTTGACACAGTTGCATTAGATCAAGGATCTTTACAAGAAACGCAAAGTCAAGCAAGAACTTTACAGCCCCTATAGATAATTCTGATATGTAATTCAGTGGTTAATAAAGTAGTAATGATAAATCAAGTAGTTGTAACTTTTTCGGGTTTTTTTTTTCTAATTTACAGTATTTACAATAGGCCAATTTTTCTTCACTCCTGATCAGTTGTTGAGTGTTACAATGCTGTAATATCGTTTTTTATTAATTCGTGCACTTTGTCGAACTGTGTTCTGTTTAGCTGGAAACAACCCCTTCCTCAAACTTCCTCAGATACCAAATACTATCCACAAATACTTCGCGCACCTAAGTAGGCACCTCTTTTATTTTATTTATTTAGAATTAGAAATACTTTGATAGGATATATATTATTATTATTTTATTTTAAGTAACCTAGTTGGTACCACCAATGCAATAACAAGGCAATTAAATCATACATTAATTATTTTTTTACTTAATCAAAATGAATGGTGTAATTTTATATACACTCAGTGAAAAGTCTTTGGTCAATTACTGGTTTGCCCAAAATATGAGCTCCAAATTCCTTATTATCATTGGAAAAAACGTGTAGTATTTAGCGACCATTAATTAATGATTATTTGTTGATTGTGAGATGCGGTCTTGTGTGATGTAGGGTTAGAAAAATATTTTCTTTATTGTGTACATAGAAAACACTTTGAGTTAGTATAAATACTTTGAATACACCTAAAATTTCTATATTGTGTACATCATTGTATAAATTCATTTTCACATCTTACATGTATTTGTTAAATTTAAATAATGTTTGTAAATTCCAGGCTCTGAAGGTGATCTCAATAAAGATCAAAACATTCTACACTATAATACATTATATATTAGGACATATTATGTATCTTCCTGCATCTAACTATTTTTGTCTATGCATCTAAGTCAAAACATAAATCTAAACTAATTATATAGAAATCGTGAGATGAGGTCTGGTGTGATGTAGCTTTCAGAAAAACATTTTCTTTATCGTGCCAACATTTCGATCTTTATTGAGATCATCTTCAGGGCCTGGGATTTACAAACATTGTTTACATTTAACAAATACATTTAGGATGTTGAAAAGTGAATTTATACAATGCAAAAAAATATATTTTTTATATTCAATGAAAGTATTTCAAAATCCAACGTATATAAACATAAAGCAGCAAAATCTCACTGGCACTCTGAACACAACTTGCAAGAATGGCACAATTACACAGAAGACAAACACTTTGAGTGAGTAGAAATATTTTGATTGAATATAAAAAATATATTTGTTTGCATTGTATAAATTCACTTTTTTCCACATCCTAAACGTATTTGTTTGTAAATCCCAGGCCCTGAAGATGATCTCAATAAAGATCGAAACGTTGGCACGATAAAGAAAATGTTTTTCTGAAATCTACGTCCCATCCGACCGCATCTCACGATTTCCAAATAATCAATTTATTTATTTTATTGGACGTCGCGTTGGGTGGCATATATATACATATATATTCCATCATTTTGGATAACAAACACAATAAAACAAAATCCTCAGTTTCAGACTCAGATTCTAAATCTAGAAAGATTTGCTGAAAAGAGGACATCGTTACAGGGTTCAATGTGCGGTACCCCCGGTACAAAACGTGTCGTGGGATGTGTTGGTGCTGTCTGTGGGTTAGGTTCAATTTGCAGCGGGCCTAAGCGAGGACTCTTTAGCACATGTCACCAGTGCTCACAAAATAGTCAAGATTCAGACTAAATGATCATTGGATGCTAGAGCCCAGGGGACAAGTATGCACCTCATGTCCTACGGTTCTTTGATATGCTCATACTAAACTAATAGCCAGTGTGTTACAATAGTTTTGAGTAATTGCATTCTACATCTTATAGTTGCTAATGAAGGATAATGCCAGTCTGTATGGAGTGAATACTAATGATTACATTAAATTATAATACTTTCTCCATCGGTGTTGGTTTACATTTATTGTCCAAATGGTAAAATATTGACTCAACTGTTCCTGTCGGACTTTCAAATATTGCCAGTTTTCGCCCTTCGATCGCTTTGTAAAGATTGGACATGAAGTCTTTTTGGATTTGGTAAGGATGGAACGGGAACCTGAAATCATCCTTGGGCTCCAGAACTTGAGTGCAACTTTCCAAATATTTTCTGGAAAAGGTGTTAAATTCATGATTTTTATCTAATTAAAATATCTATGTTGTTGTATAATCTTACAGTGAATCATCCATGCCGAGTTGCTTTTTTTAAAATTCTCTTTAAGGATGAAAATTGAAATTCAACCCTTGAAGAATCCTCTGACAGTAAACTGTGATATGTTATCATTTGCCGCCAAGGCGGCAAAATATGACAACTACACGAGCGACATCACGTTTACTCTTGTTCAATTCAAGATGATCAGGATTCAAAAGTATCCATTTGACTTCTAGACATAATTTTATGTGAAAATACCACCAAGACGTGAACATAATTTATACAGCCTCAGACATACAGGTTGGTATTATTCAGTTCATTACATTCAATCATTTACAATAGTAATAATAATTAAATTAATCCATATTTGCTTAGTGGTCATTATTGACCATATTAATTATTCCAATTAATTATTCTTTTTATCATCTCAACCAAAAATCTTAGACAAAAAATATAATTAATTTGAATAATAATAATAATAATAATAATTAATTAATTTTTATGTAAGGTATTGATTGAGATAAAAAAAAGTGAGTGTCACGAGCGTAGTGTACATGTAGGAAGAGAAAAAAAAAGAATTTATACAAAACTAGAAAATTTTAGATTAAAAAAAGGAATATTTTTGAAAAGATATATATTGTTTTAAATTTTATTATTTTTTTTTAATCTAAAATTTTCTAGCATTGTATAAATTTTTTTTCACATCCTACTTGTATTTGTAAAATTTAAAAAATGTTTGTAAATCCAGGCCCTGAAGATGATCTCAGTGAAGATTGAAACGTTGGCATGATAAAGAAAATGTTTTTCTAAAACCAGACCACATCTGATGACCTCCAAATAATTAATAAAATTAATAATAATAAACATTTAGAGATATCATAAAGATTATACAGCAGCTTTATCCTGGCATAAATAATACAATATAACACACCAGTAATAATAATAATAAATTAATTAAAAAAAGAAAATACATTTATGTATTTAAGGAAGTTTAACTGATATTAAAATAAAAAAAAGTTCTTATACAACATTGATTATTAAACCGTCTACTGGAGGAGGTGGTTGGCTGAGAATCTCTTCAGTAGAATATAATATGCACATACAAAGATAATAATAAAAATTAAATAAACAATATTAAACTGCTCCACTACCTCTCTGAGATACTCCTGTGCACGCTTTGCAAATCCGACCAGGTCTGAGCAAACTGAGGAATTAAGTTTTGCAATCAAACGTGGTAACCAAAAAGAAAACTCAAAACTCTTAGAGAATGGGACACTCAGGCAAAAAATGGAAGAGGTCTTCCCTCACGCAGGAGGTACACAGGGAGCATTTCTCAACAGGACCATATCTCAGAGGGGAGCAATTAAGGTAGATAAGTTTGCACCTGCATTTGAAGAACCGCTTAAATGGATAAAGGAAAACATTGCTTTTGAATGATTAAGTTCTTTGCAGAGCAGAAATCTATTGGATCTAAGAGCCAGTTTGGTACAACTTCAAAATGCCTAGGACAAATAGATGATTCAAAAGATGAAAATTTAGAGAACCAGTCTTCATTATTATTAAAGCAAAACAAATAGTAATATTAAAATCTCGGGCTAGAGAATTAAGTGCCTTAAACCATGATAAATTAGCGTTAATTATTTTAACTCCCATAATATTGGGGCAGTGAGATGCTTAGATATGAAAGGTGGAGTTTGAAGGTGTAAACAAGCAATAGGTCAGCTCATGTTTCTAAGTATAACGTGTAGCTAGGTGTGAAATTCAGGAGGTGAAATTTTTCAAAACTCAGGACTTTTGTCCTCAAAAATATGAAAAATTTAGAATTTAAATTTACTGTTAGCACGGATAATATTCCTGTGCTGAAGTTTTGGTTCTTTGACACATCTATTTAACACCTCATTAACCACTGGGAATTTCCCCTCAATTTGGAAGACCTTTATTATTTCTATTTATAAAAACAAAGGCAAATCTAATATTGAAAATTACCGTGATATCACTAAACTTTCCTCTATTCCTAAACTATTTGAAAGCCTAGTTCATGATTATATTTCACAATTCTTCAAAAACATCGTCATCTCTCTTCAACTTGGATTTACCAAAGGGGGTTCCACTGAAACTAACTTAGCAGTTTATACTAATGTTTTGTATACCAATTTAGAAGCAAAAACTCAAATTGACAGTCTATCTAGACATGGCCAAAGCTTTTGATCTAGTTAATGTAACATGTCTTGTCTCTAAACTCATGTTTTATGGAATAGGTAACCTCTCTTTCATGGATTCAAAGCTATTCAATGGATACATTCTTATCGCCTCCATAAACATACTCTAAACAATTTGAAGGTACTAATGGTGTGTCTCAAGGGTCACACCTCGGTCCTTTATTTTTATGTAAATAATATTGCAGATGTTTTTTCTGTTGTGAATTTTGTACTCCTCACAGATGATATAAAAATCTATCGCTCGATTAAATCTATTAATGACATGCACATTCTTCAAGAAAATTTAAATCATTTTAGTCTGTGGAGTGCTGACAATGGTTTAAAAACCATTGTACATGATGTTCATTTATTAGTTTCTCTCGCTCAAAAAACCCTATCCCAAGATCCTATAAATTAAATAACCAAGTAGCAGAAAAATCCTCAACCATTACTGATCTAGTATAATCTTTAATGATTGCTTATCCTTTTCAAATCAGATAAAGCTATTAGCCAACTAGGTTTTGTTATTCGAACATGTAGAGATTTCAAAACTAAGTTAATTATAAAAATACTTTATAAATCTTAGTCACATCCCTTTTTGTATATTGCTCAATAGTTTGGTCTTCTCATATAATAACTCAAAATTTTTCTGGATTTTCATTTTTTTTTAATGGTGTAAATCTGGAAAATTGCATTTTTAAAAAAGATTGTGGGCCAATTGTTCTCTTTTCTGTTTAGAAATACTCACTTCTAAGTGAGATAAATGCAACATTATTCTTATATAAATTATTAAAGAATTTAATAGATTGTCCAGAATTACTTTCAAAAATTAATATAAATATTCCCCGCAGCTATAACTTTAGAAATCTAAATTCTTTCTGCATTAATTATCACAGAACTAATTACACTTATCTTAATCCAATAGGCAGATTTCAAAGAATACCTAATAAACTGCCTGGTGACATTGATAGTTTTCCTACTTCTTTACTGTTTGTTGTATATTGTTCATTTCATTTATTCATTTTGTTTGCGCTATTGTTCATTATACTATTATTATTTGTGTTTAATGTATGGTTAGTTTAATCTGTGAGTTTGTATTATAAACCTGACTTTTTCTTTTTCATTTAAGTAAAAGGCTTAAGGTGTTAATTATTGTAAATAACACAAAATTAATGGGACACACTAATTTTGTAAATCAGGATAGATTTTCATTTTTGATTGAATTATTTTAATTTGTCTGGTTGAAATGGAAATTCTTGATGCGTTGAAACAAAGTTCTGTTAGTAAATATATGTGAATTTTGAAAAAGCAAATTTTTTTTCATATCTGATACGTAAATCGTTTCAAGATTGATTTGAAAGGCTGAAGATAAAAAGGTAAATTACACCGGGACTAATGAATTTCCTCAATTAAAAAAAAATGTTCCACTTTAATCTTTATTTTCTTATCCTAGTTTGATTTTTAAATTCCCCACTCTTGCGTAGTTTTGTCAACTTGGTCCGACCTTCGACGTGGTTGCACCTCATTCGCGAACGGTGAACCTCGCCGTTTTGATTGCCTGTCACCTCGGAGCCGGCGTCGCGTCCGCTTTCCCTCAAAAAAAATAGTCGACCATCAAAAATTTTGAGGAAAATTATGAAATCCTTTTCACTCCTTGCCATCTTCTATTTCTTCTCGGCCGCATTCGGCAAAGGATGCGTTCAATTTGACAAATACACATTTGACAAGGTAATCAACAAACATATTAAACTAATTAAATTCACTAGTTTTCGTGGTCCGCTTGACCCATTAATTAATTCAATTAAGGTTTTTAGTTGAGATAAATGATAGTTCGAATCCCGCTCGTGACACTGACTGTTTTATCTCAACTAAAAACCTTAATTAATTGAAAGATATTAAACTAGTTAGATATTTTAGAATTTGGTTCACCATGCAAAATTGCTTTTAATAACAATATATTACACTGTACATTAATAACATTACAGTCTAAGAATAAGGCACGTAATTACCCAATAAACCTAAACCCACCCTTGCTAGTGACTATCGCCCTATTATTTTTTTTTTTCACATGAAATGTCCGATTTTGTAGTTTCAGAAATGCAGAGAGGATATAGCGATTTTCTATTGTTTACTTCCAATTGTTTGCGTATTATAATTAAGCAGTTATTAATCCAACATTTGTGTCTATAATGATGAGCTCCCGAATCCATTACACACTTTTTAATATACCTCAAAATATGAACAATTTGAATGAAACGCGATTTTCGTGCAATATTCCTTTACGAGTTTAAACTCGGTAATTTGGCAGCAAGAAACATCAGTAAGGGAATGTAAATGAACAGACCATTCGCTGTTGGTTTGCTTAGTTTTCGGAAGGGAATACCAAATTGGAAAACGAGCCCCACAGAAGACCTCCAGCTTTAATTGATAATGATTTCCTTTAGCTTCAGGTGGAAGAAAACCACTATCAAACAGTCAGAGGATTTGCAGCAAAACTAAATGCAAGTGCAGCTACCGTGTCAAGACAATTAAGGAACATAGGAAAAGTCAAAAAGCTTGGTCTATGGGTCCTTCAGGAGCTCACTGAGCGACTGCAATTAAAGTGTTTTGAGACATGCATTTCGTTGCTCACCAGGCAAAAAGCCGAGCCTTTTCTTGAAAGAATAATCACTTGTGATGAAAAATGGATTGCATATGACAATCTTGTTGGTCAGGGCAGGGGTTAAACATCGACGAAAGAACAGGACACATGCCAAAACCAAATTTACAACCAAAAAGTTAATAGTTACCGTATAGTGGTCCATGGCTGGAATTATTCACTACTACTTTTTACTAGAGGTGAGACCATTACCTCTACAATGAACTGCAAGGAAATTGACAAAGTGCATAAAAAAATACTCAAAAAACAACATCAGTAAGGTAAATCAGAAAGGGCCTATGCTCCATGATAACGCCAGGCCTCATGTTTCAAAACATAGTGTAAACAAATTGAAAGAGCTTGGGTACAAAATTCTTCGGCATGCACCTTATTCTCCAGACTTGTCTCCAACAGATTTTCACCTGTTTAGGGATTTAGAAAACTTCCTGAAAGGAAAAATTTTTGAAAATGATGTTCAAGACCAAAAACCGTTTTCAGATTTTTTTTCATTTCAAAACTCAGAATTCTTCAGTTCTGGCACACAAAAAAATGGTCACAGTTGGGAAAAATGTGTAGAAAATGAAGGTAAATACTTCTAATAAAATGATTTTGTTTTTATATAGTAATTTTGCTTAAAAAAAACCTTTACCTTGGAAACGGATATTTCATATGAAACAACCCAATATTTATTTGTGTAGTGATTAGTGACGATTTCTGAATAATCCAATATTTATTTATTTTGAAGGTACAAATAGGGCTTTATGCCCCCTGACATGTTTTATAAACATAATAAAATAATAATAACAGTAATAATAATCATATAATAAAATATACAAATCAATAATATATTTTTAAATACGTAGTTAATAATTAATGATTATTTATATTAGTTATACCACAACTTCCTTTCACATTAATTTTCCTCACTAAATATATATATATATGATATATTGACAGCAGTTCCCACAGATCAAATTCAAACCAAATTAGATACATTTAATAGCTTTCACCCCATGCTTAAAATTTACCCATGAAATTGAAAACAACAGATACCAGTTTTAGATACACTCTAGACTTATAATATTAGATAATGAAACAACCAGATGGCAAATTAATCAGTTGGTATCAAAAACCAAGAAACACAGATCGCTACCTCAACTTTACATCACACCATCCTCTTCATACAACATACAATAATAAACACAGCCAAAGGGCTACTTCACAGAATTATTATCGTAAGCCATGAATCTTTTCACTACAAGAACATAAAGATATACAAACCCTACATAACAATCACTATCATAAACACATAATCAACAGAATAATCAACAACTACAACTCATCACTAACACCATCCACTATCACTAATAACACATCATTTCTATCAAACACAGACAAACCAACATATATATTACTTCCATTCGTTCATGACCTAACACACAGATTAAGAACATTTCTTGCTTCTGATAACTTTAAAATTTAAAATAGTCTTCAAAAACTATAAACCTATTCACACCCTTTTTTTCCAAAATTAAAGATCCCACACCTGCAACACATAAGTCTAATGTAATCTACAAAATCACTTGTTTAAATTGTTCGGAATTACATCCCAATATCTGGATAAGAGGGTAAAACAACCCATTGATTGCAAAAATCCAAACAAAATCCTACAGCACTGGCTATCTACTATTTTGAACACCAACACAATTTTGACTTCAAAAATTCAGATGTTAAAAACAGAACAAAACAAAATAAACATAACTTTTTAGAAATGGTTTACATCAACAGATATAAACACAGCATCAATTACAGAACAGACACATGTGGAAACTCAGCTGTGGCTACACTAATATCATAAATCAAATTTAATATCAATAATATACATATAACACACAAAATATATAAAACAATAATTACACATCAAACAATTCTACATAGTCTAAATTCCCAACAATTTATCTCTCCTTCCCCTAATAACCCCGTGGTGTAGCCCAAAGCTTTGTTCTTGGGCCTTTACTCTTTTTCATGTTTCTAAATGATCTTCCATTAGTTCTCAGTTTCTCCCAATTTCATCTTTATGCTGATGACACTCAGCTTTACTTCCATGTCCTACAAGCAACATCTCTGAAGCTATCTCTCTGCTGAACCGTGATCTTCATTCTCTCAACCAATATTCAAGAAATAACGGCATTCTTTTAAATCCTAACAAATCTCAGTCCTTATTAGTTCCCAATAAATCCATTAGTACAGATGGCCTATTCTCCTCATATCATTGGCTCCCCTTTATTTTTTGACCTACTCAAGCCTCCATTCTCTTCAATGCCTCATCTTTTTCACTCCACAGGAAACTAGAGTTCTCTTTATTAAATCCCTAATATTCATTTATTCTCTTACTGTAGTGCTATTTTTCACTTAGCCTTAGGCTCTCAGTCTGCTCATCTCATCTCATAAAACTTAATTTATTTCTTGTATAAGTTCAGATAAGGGGATAAAGCCCTATTTGAGCCTTTAAAATAAATAATAGCAACAATTAGCATGAGTGAGTGAAAGGAAACTGCCTTCTAATTGGTTCTGGTTAATAATCATGAAAATTTATAACAACAAGTTTTTACATTTTATTACATTGGGCGTATTGAGAGATTTACAAAGACAGTTTGTGAGAGGCTTGAAGGAAGATGTGTACAAGACAAGTTTTCTAATGCTATGTAAATAGCAAGGTATATGTTATCATGTAGATTTATCAAAAGTTAGTCTAAATCATGTTTTATTATTTTGTTAAAACATAAGCTTTTCAAATATTTAAAAAAAAAAAAAAAAAATCAAATGCACAGTACAATAATCAATTAACTATGCATTAAAACTAATATGGATAACACAATCAATTATTTTTTGCTTAGAGTAAAACCAATAAATATTTTACTATTCTCAATGCAAAATTGATTTAAAATATCCATTTTCCTTCTCTTCCTAAACTCTCTTAAATCTATGTTGAAACTGATTCTGTTGAAAACTACCTCTTGACTTCTACTTAAATACTAGATTTTTATTGTTAACTAAATTAATTTCATTTATATTTACAGCTGATTGGACTGTGAAAACAAAAATAAAGAATTAGGTGGAATTTTTATGGAGGTATCTGCTGCCTATGGGCAGTCCTTATAAGATTTGAAGAAGAAAGCAAATTTGGTTGCCAAGCTTTCGACTTATTTTAAGGTGATCATCAGGGCAAAACAACCTTAAATATTTTACAGATTGATATATTTAAGTTTTTACAGGCAATCTTAATCTTGACGACTGATTCAGTCCCAACATTGCCAAGGAGCATACGACTCACAGCCCTTAACAATGTTGGGTCTGAGAATCAGTCTTCAAGATTTAAGATCGCCTGTAAAAACTTAAATATGGCAATCTGTAAACATATTTAACGTTGTTTTGCCCTGATAAAGACCTTAAAATAGGTCAAAAGCTTGGCAGTAGCAACTAAATTTGCTTTTTTTCTTCAAGACCATACCTTGATCCAGAGTGTTATAAGTGAAAAAGTGGTCGATACTTTTAATACTGAAAACTTATAAGTAGAAACATAGTAGATAAATCAAGCCATTTTTATCTGTACCAGGGTTTACAGATAATTGATCAGAATTTTTTTTCTTTTTAATAATTATACAAACAATTTTGTAATACTAAGTTAGTTGGCATTTTAACATTACTGTTCTGATTGCAAATATCACTTTAAATATGCATTCCCACAAATCAACACGGTTTTTTTTTATTGTTAAAGCAAAACATGAAAAGTTATTTTGTAAGGCATTTTTTATTTTATAGATTATTTCGAGGTTTGAAGCAGCTTTAATCAAATTTGACAGTGCCTATCCTTTTGGACCAAAACACGAAGCATTTGAAGTAGTCTGTGAGGATTCTACTACAGCCCCCGATCTCATAGTAGGAGAAGTGAGTGCAATTACATTTTAAATAAATTAACGTTTTATTTAACTAATCATGTAATAAAACTTCAAATACTCTCTGGTATATAGTGTCAACAACAAATCATAAAATATTACCATAATCTGCTGATAAAAAGAAGAATAAAGGGATATAAATAAATTGAAACATTGTGGCACTCTTTGAGCAAAATTGTATTTTTGTTTGTGAAATTTAATTTTGTAATCAAAATCTCAAGTTTATTAAATTGACATACCAAACATTTTTTTAAAGGTCCAAGTCAAAGATTATGGCGAGAAAGACAATGAGGATTTGGCTCAGAAGTATGGAGTTGAAAAAAGCAGTTTTCCAACTGTTCTTCTTTTCGTGAAGGGCAAGTCTGAACCTGTACCTTTCAAAGAGAGCGACGACTTTCCATTTAACGCTGTGAACTTGAAGAAGTTCATTAAGTAATTCGGCGAGAGTGGTATATTAATTGACTGGGACAGTTTTTATTTTAGTTTTTATTTACAGGACACATGCCAAACTTTACATCGGTCTGCCAGGTTGCCTCAAAGAATTTGACTTACTCGTCAAAAAGTTCAGCAAGGAACAGACGTTGCAAGGAAAGAAGAAGCTGCTGTCTGAGGCCGAAGCGTTGAAAAAAAAGGTCCAGACAGAAAAAAATAAAAAATCGGCCGACACTTACATCAAGGTAGAATTTTTACTCCTCTAATTGAAATATTTACGTTTATTTCTTCAATTATGATTTATTGCAGATCATGAAGAAAATTGTAGAAAAAGGAGATACATTCGTCGAAACAGAATCAACTCGTGTTGAGAATGTTCTCAAAGGGAAGTTAAACAAACAAAAAATGGAGGAAATGCAGGAAAGGATCAACATCCTTGGCTCGTTCAAAGAGCACGATGAACTTTAAATTAACAAAAAAAGTAACTTTTAAAGTGCCGTTGTGTGTTTGAAAATTGTAATCTATTTTAAAGAGTAACATTCCTTTTTATATTGGATTTTTAAAGGTGTGAAATAATTCCTACTATCACAAACTAGAACCAAGTATCACCTTGTTCTTCTGAACTGTCCTGATGGTTTCGTTTTAATTTATAAAACATTGTTAATTCTTTATTTGTTATATTTTATTTTAATATGTTAGTCCTTTATAATCAATCCTGTTTTATTTTGTATGTATATCTCGGGTATCGGTAGCATCAATTTGTATATTTTGATGACAAGATTTAATATTGTTGTATAGTTTGAAAAAAAAATGTAATTTGTCTATTTAATATATGACAAATTAATTAAAACTGGTGTAATTTTTTTTTTTTAAAAGAATGTCCATCATTTAATATTTGCACTTGGCCTGCCTACTTTCACTGTTTTACCTGTCAGATCAATGCTGACCTGTCTATCTTTACAGGTTGGCCTATGAACAACTTATGAAAAAGGCAAATTCATAAAACGAGAATAGACCTAGTAAGATAATGCTAAGAGGGGGTTTTCACCACAATATTGAACATCATAGCTTTATAACTATCGACATCTAAATCTACAAAGGAAGTTGTTAAAGAGACCTGAATAAGGCCATTTATTATTATTATTATTTTATTACTTTATTTCTAGACTGAAAGTGGTTATTGGCATATATTTATTTTTGTAATTATTATAAAATGAAATAATAAATAAATAGATGAAAACAGAAAATAAAATTAAAAGTTTCAATTTATTGATAAATTTGAGAATAACAAAGTAAAATAAAATTCAAAATAACCAAACCCAAACATAACTATAACAAATAAACTAACAACAATTAAACACAACTGAAACATCAGTAAACAAAACAAAAACAGAAAATATATTATCTGGGTAATTTATTTTTAAATATAATTAATTAACAAGACTTCTTGAACAGAGTTGAACAAATTTGAAAATTTAAAATTAAATTGCTAATTACTTCTTTGGCTCTGTTAAATCAAAAGTCTTTGATTAATAATAAAATATTTATAATGAATAAATTATTCTATGTGTGTAAACATACTAATTGTTTAAATGAGGCTTAATAAAACATTTTTTTAAAATTGTATTCCTTTGGGGAGAGAAGGAAGAGAAAAATTATTACTAGATACTATAAATACTTTTTTGCTGATTTAAAAGGCACATTGATATAAAAACAGTTTGAGCTTTTTGACATAACAAATTTACATTTTATACATTAAAAAGAACAGTTTACTTTTACAGTTCATATACATGTACAAAATGGAAGTCTTTCTAAATAAAATCTTTGAATGTTGAGTTCTATTAGAAGTGCTACATCTTCTGTTTATAACTCCTTTTGTATTGCGAGTCGACCTGGAGAAGGTACCACGTACCTGGAAATAACCAGTCAACTGATCCGACAGGCGTATAAGGTGCGACGTTATGGTTCTTTTCGCGGATTTCCATTATTTTAGAAAATTCCTCTGGGCTGACCTTCTTCCTGTTGTTAAGCGTTTCTTTCATGTACTCGAGACCTGACACAAGTTTGGCGAGTTTAGGTCCAGCTACTAATTTTGCAGAAAACATAGTTGACGCAAGGCCAGAGCCGTAGGAAAACAAGCCGATTCTCTGTCCCTCAAGTTCTTCAATGCTTTTACTGGTCAAATAAGAAACTAATCCTCCATATAAAGACGCGGTGTACATATTACCTACTTGGTTAGAGAGCAATAAAGATGGCAGAGTTTTATTTTTATAGAGATTTTTGCTGAATGCCATGAAACCTTTTTCAACGTTCCTGTCGAAGTAAGTGTCTGCTAATTTGACGTCGACAAAAGTTTCCAGTCCTGGGTACAACTCTACGACCCTCTCTTTTGGTGTGTTGAGAAAGTCATTCAACACAAGCCTTGCGAAAGATTTCTCAACAAGTTTGCAATAAGGAGAATGGAATATCATCGCATCAAAGCTGTTTATGCCCACTGCATCGTTCGACTCTCCGGTCAAGCCAGAAAACTTGCGAGCTTTCTGACAGTAGAGTTGATAACAGCTGTCCAATGCTGATAAATAACACTGTATAGAAAGTTTTCCATCGACCGTAGGATACTCAGAAGACAGATTCGGCTTATAGAAATCATATGCATGGGCCATATACGTTGCTCTCAACCCTCGCTCAATAACCAGTGGGGCGTTTGGACCGATGAGCATGGCAATCGCTCCAGCGCCTCCTGTAGGCCGTGCACTTCCTTCTGCATAAATGGCAATATCACCAGCTACGACTATGGCCAGGCGGCCATCCCAGGCACTCGATTCGACCCAAGACAAAGCATTCATAAAAGCAGCTGTGCCTCCGTAACATGCGTTGGTTGTATCCAAACCTTAATAAAACCAAAAACCTAAATTCGCATTTATTTCATTTCTTTTTATACTATACAAATAAAATAAATACCTTCTACATCATGATTACCACTCTCTTCAAAAAGCTGCATTAGCACTGTCTTGACACTTTTGCTTTTGTCAATTATTGTCTCAGTTCCAACTTCTAAGCGGCCGATGTCACTGTAAGAAATGCCCATCTTGCTGACGAGCTGGCTAACGGCAGTGAGACACAGTGAGTTGATATCCTCGAGGTCGGTGCAAAAACCCATTTTGTCTTGGCCAAGCCCGATTGTATATTTCCCAGTGCTGACGTTATGAAAAACTTCTAGTTCATCTTGTGCGACGTACGTGGAAGGGACAACCATATGCATCCCAATGATGCCTACATCTTCAGGCCAACTGCCCATCCTATAAAATCAATATTTCATAAAACAATTATCATTACTCTTTTCCTTAATTGTTCTATTTCCAGTCTCTATTAAAATATTATTTCCAAATTACTTCTGAAGTTCATAGCTTAACTGCCACTGGTTATTAAATTGACAATTTTGAAGAACAAATAAAATTAGCACATTCTTTGTAGATAAATGTGAAACAATAAACTATTTTTTAACATTCAACTGTTAATGCATTGTTGTGCAAAGTCTTTGAACTTTATCATTATTCAATTCATATGGTTTTCATAAATATTAATACATTTTATTTTTACCGTTGCGCTTTCATACGTTAAACTGATTAACATAGAAAATATCTCACAATTTATTTCAAGGATTTTAAATTGTAAAAAGTTATGTTGCAATCTTTTAGTCTGAGTTCCTTAATTGGTCATTTGTTAATTATTGGCTAGGTGGAATTAAAAATAAGTAAAAGTTCTTGTTCAAAAGAAACTGCAAACATTTCAAAAATTAATTTAATTCAAGCTGTGCTAATGTTCTGTTATTCTTTATCTGCTTATGAATGACAATCAATGCTAATTATTCTAAAAAAATTTGTACGGATGAAAAATTTGCAGCTAGGAGTGAATTGAATTTTCAACAAATTTTTACAAAAGCATAACGAAAACAATGTTATTATACTGTATTATATACTTTGTCAACTTTTTTAATTGCTTTCGGTAGTATGACATTAAAAATCACCTTCCCTAAATACAAGATAATATTATGTTAATTACATAAATTTGTTCATACTTTTTTTTACCTTTGAAAATACAGTGAACTGAACCAATACATTTTGAAACAGATTGGAAAGAAATTGCTTGCATAGAATCACAGTACTTACTTTTTAAAGTTCTGGCAAGAACGGTGTGTATAGCCACAATGATCTCCCATTACAAAGTATCTTTAGGAATGAAGGCTCTTTCCCCCACTAAAGCTCACCTGAAAAAAAGAATAAATAAAACGACTTGCTTAAAAGGATTTTTAGCTATGTAAAATTTATATTTATTCCCGTGATCTATATTCCCATGTTATGTATATACTATGAAACAATATCAGTAATTTCTTAATTTTAAAAAATGTAGAAATGGGGCAGATTTAAAAGAACATAAACTAAATTATTGAGCTAAATGAATCACCGATATGTTATACAATTCCTTTAAATAATATAATATTAAGACAATTGTTGGATTCCCTGTTTCACTTCTTAAGGGAAACAGAGGGAGTTTCCTCACATTTAGAATTGTGCATACTTTGTGGTATGTCCATGTACATGTATAAACATTTCACTGTACATGTGTTTATGTGTGTACATGTACAGTTATATATGATGTATTTGTAAATAATTAAAATTGTGGGAATGTGATTAATGAGAGGGCCAATGGCGAAATATTCATTACCCCATCGACAATAACAGTGCGAGGGGGGGTTGAAATGACTTCACTGTTGGTAGCCCCCGGGAAAAACATAAAAAGTAATTATAGTTATTCGGAGATCGTCAGATGCGGTCTGATGTGAGGTAGGTTTTATTTTCTTTATCGTGCCAACGTATCGATCTTTATTGAGATCATCTTCAGGGTTCAAAGTGTTTGTTTTCTGCGTAATTGTGACAGTCTTGTGTGTCGTGTTGAGAGTGCCTACTAAGTAATTATAGTCTTTTTCTTTTTTTACCTCAAATTTAGATCATTTTTGTTGTGAAATTTGTTAGCCCTGTTTCTTCTTTCTATACAGATCTAACAAATGACACAACAAAAGAGTATTTTATATTTAAGAATGATAATTGTCAGCAATTTGCCATTACTAACAATTTGTGATTATTCTATCTGTTGGTAAGAATTTGACCAGTAGTTGAGGTTTTTTAATGTCACAATTTCTACAACTGTTGCAAGAAACTACTTTGTGTAGCTTGAACAGTCTGTTTTCAATTAAAATCAGGATCAATGTGACTGCGAGTTAATGCATCACTTGTACTCTTTGCCGTGGTACCTACCATATAACCAGAAATGTTTGTGCAGTTTTTCATTTGTTATTGTTTGAATATATTCAATCCACATTTCTATTTACATGGGAGGATTAGGTGTTTACATCATATAATACCAAAAGGGTAATGAGTCAGCTCAAAGGAAAAGTGTTTTCGAGGGGGGGGGGGTCAATACATTATTAGAGAAAAGATACAGCCAGCAAAGAGACTGAATTTAAATCACTCTACAATAGGAAGGGTTCTTCGGCGCTTCAGAGAAGCAAGGCTTCACATTAGAAGACCAGGACAGGGTTGACGAAACCGCATCATTATGGGAAATGCGATAAAAAATCTGTTAAGACAAGTCAATATTTTGATTTCCTCCAGGACTGTAAGAAGAAAGCTCGATGAAATTAACCTAATAATTAAGATCAGATCAGCAAAGCTCGATGAACAAACATAAAATAACAAGACCAAAATGTTTTTAGTTTCTCCAGGACTGTAAGAAGAAAACTCAAAGGAAATAATCTAAGGCATATTTTATGGACCTCTTCTTATCATGGTTCAGAAAACGGCCAGGCTTCATTTTGCGGGAAGATGTGAATACAACACTGGAAGATTGGGGACATGTTCTCTTTACAGATGAGGTGAGAGTTGGCTTCAAATCTTCTGATGGGCGTAATTCAGATGGAAATGCTCAAGAGAAAGATACGCAGGGTTTGTGCTCCCCAGACACTGCATCCTTCTGGCTTATTGTACCTTCCTAGTTCCCTAGTTCAGTGCAATCGACTCAATCCTTCTCAGAACTATTAGGCCATTGACTGTTACTGCTACAATTTCACTGCCTCAACCTCAGACTCCATTGAATCGTTGCTTCATATTTGAAGATGATATCGTCCTCATTATACAATCGGCATATGGGATCATCATTATAAGTCAACAGACCTATCACTCCTCTAAGTCCAGCCCTCTCCAACTGCAGCAGTGAGTTTGACAGTCTTGGTGAGGGTTGTTTTAGCATAAGTTTACTGTGTCTAGCGCCGCTAGAGTTTATCCAGTTCTTTTGTTTTATGTGGATCCATTCTGTGTTGCAAGATTCTGTATTTCTTTGTTATCCCAGTATAGGCTTGGGGGCCTATGTATGGTCTTGTATATCCACCTCTGAGGAATGATAGGTACATGCACAGGAGAATAAAGCAGTTTAATGTTTGTTTGTAAATTTGTTGTTTCTGAGTCAAAGTTGTACATTAAAAGCATACCTCGTGAAATTAAAAGATGGGAGAGAGATGTTTGGAGAAACTAGGCCCAACGAATGAACAGCAGAAAAACTGTGGTGAAACAATTCCCTGGAATGTAAGTAGAAAGTCGTGACTTTCACTTTTCACTTGTCCGGGGGTGGAAACATAAAAATTTTTACCTCGTGCTTCGTATGAAATTTTAATCCAAATAGGGAAGATCCAGGGGGGGATCCAGATAGAAAGAAGGGCGAATTGATAGAGAAAAATATGAAGGGCGATGTAAACTCCTCGTGCCCTGCCGAGCCGACTAGAAAGTGAAATGCGACGAAAACTTTCTTCTACCACTCTGGAATTTCAGAGAATGGGTCATCGGGTCAAAACCGGGTTCTCGCCTCCGGCTCCTTTCCCTCGGCCGGCCAATCGACTCCCAGGGATTACAAAATCTGTGAGAATACGTGGTAATTATCCAATAATCCATACCATAGCGGTGACCCCGGTGGAGAGGACGGTGCGACGAGCCGGCGTACCTCCAAAAATTGATTGATCTTCGAATTGATTGTAATTGCGATCAATTGGATGATTGATGAATGGTTCGGCCAGTGATAAACCGGGTGAAGAGGATTTCTTCTGTTACCACTTGACCTGAGCCACTTGGAAATTTGCTAGCTGGCAGATATTGCTATCTGCTGGAACCTCGGCCAATCCTTGAGTTTAAGGTTCATTTTTCATAACAAAACTAACGATACATTTAATTTTTTTTTTCAGATTAAAAATTTAAAGGATAAAGTCTTTTTTAAAAGATAATCTGATTGTATTTAATAATAAAAACACTTTTATGATATTTACTCAAGCTTATAAAACAGAAGAGCGAGAGTCTAAAACAATATAATTCGTCATTGTGACAGTTTAATAAACTTTTTCATTTAATATGTTATAATCAAAAGTCAGAATGCTTGAAAAATTAAATGTTTAATTACAAAACTCTTGGCTTTATATTCTCAAATATCAAGAGCACTGCCGATGGGAGGCCCTCAGAGGATCTGACTTGTAGAAAAAGGATTGATTAAGAAGATAATAACAATATATTTTACAGAATTAATCCAATTGAAAAAAAGTTTAAATATAGGAATATCTTATGAAAATATAACAACATAAGAAAACAACAATTGTTATAACAATAACAATATAATGAAGATTGCAAACTTAGTTTTCATTTGCAATTATTAAAATGATTAATTCTCTTTTCAAAATAATTAACTACTGTCAATATAGTAGTTAATTATTTTGAAAAGAGTAAGTAAATCAAAGTGAAGTCTACAAGTCTACGTGTCTCAAGGAGAATATGTATATTAAAGCACTGTTCAAATTGTCTGTAATAATAGTTACTCCTGCCTTATAGGCAAGAATTCTGAGCAATTTAAATTGTGAAGCTGCCTTAATTGGCAATTCAGGTTCTACTGTTAAAGTTTTCAAGGTCCCTCAATATTTCTCGATATGTTCTGGGGTTAGACTGGGCTGCGTCCTTAACCCCTTGCTGTTTCTGTTATTTATTAATGATCTTCCTGATGCTTTAGAGTTTGGAATTCGCTGTTCTCATGTTTAATATGCTGTAATCAATATACATGTGTCAGAATGATTAAAAAATTAAATGTTCAACAACAAAACTCTTGGCTTTATACTCTCACATATCAAGAGCACTGTTGATGGGAGGCCCTCAGAGGATCTGACTTGTAGGAGAAGGGTCATCCTCACCCGATTAAGAAGACAATAATAATAATAATTGCGCAAGGCATTTTAGTATAATGTATTTAAAAATATTATGTAAATAATATTAGAAAACAATAACAAAAAGTATGTTGATTAAGTAAGTAAAAATAAAAGTATTTTGCGCATATTTAGATGAATTATATTTAGTAAAGTTTTTAATTACAAATAATATAAGTTAAATAAATGTAAATACATATTATTTAGTGTGTCAAGAAAGGAAAATTTTGTGTTTAGTAGTTAATTTTTGAACAATGAAGGGAAATTTATTTTGGGATCAAGGCCTACTCTCACCAAGGGATACTTGATGGCTCATCAGCCACCACCGATCTGTCATTTATGCAGTGTAGGGTTTCCAAATCAGTATTCAAACTGATCTTTCACAATATGTAAAGAATGATTGGGTTGAGATCAGGAGAGTAATGGAATAAGAAAAACAGCATTTTTAAACTAGACGATGTAATATGATTGATGTTGGCAATAAAATGTAATTTGTGGTCAAAAATAACACCAAGGTCTTTAGAAGTGGTTTTAAAAGAAAAGCAGTATTATGAAAAAGTAAGTAAAGGTACAATTAATTTTATTTATGGTAAAAGCTCATAGTATAATTTAGAAAAGTAACCTTTTAAGAAGAAGGAGAGTGGAGAAAAGTAAACTTTTATACACATATTAATATATAGGTGCTAAAGCAAATAAAACTATAGGATTTATTACACGTCATACTAAACATTTCTTTACATTTTTTAAATATTATAAATTTCTATATTTAAACATTTTTCTAAATTGGATTCCTTAAAATTTGTGTTATTTCTGTGGATAGTAAATTTAATAATTTTCTCTGTAAACACTTTTATTGCTACTGTACTATTTTGACAATTTGAAATTTAGGATTTTTTTTCGTAATTGAATGAATAATTTTTTTTGAATGTGGAATAGACCGTACTAAATACTATTAGTGACGCAATTGACGACATGTAGTAACCTCCGTCTCAAGGCAGTCGTTCGTTTTTGTTTGTGTTTTGGTTCCTCCTTTGACAAAACTCACAAAGGCAGCCGCCCTTTGACAATCAAAGGGATGGAACGAAATGCGTTTTTGTAGATTTGTCTCGTCGTTCTTCGCCTTTTAAACAGTAAAAGTCTTAAAGTTCGCCATGGCTCTCGCCTCGATCTGCTGCTTCAAGGCCTGCTTTGAAGGGACTGGCTTCACGCTGAAAACTGCTCCGGTTCGCAACAACAACGAAAGGATCTGCCTTGACGGAAGACACGTCGGTAAGGAATATTCACTGGGATCTTTTTAAAATGTAAATAACTTATTTTTGACTATTCGACCAAATATGAAAGTCAGAGAACTCGAAGTGTTTGTGTTATGGAATTGAATAAGGCTTTGGAATTTAATAAATCCTAGACAAGACGTTCGTTAGATGATTCAAGATGATGTGGGATTTCATAACGTCACGCCTGATGAGTATGAAAGTTTGATGCCAACTGACCAGATGGTCTATTTTGACCTAGCCAAAAATGTTGTCATTGAAGTCATATCCAATTAGACTACATGTCAACATACTGCTCTATGTGGTGTTTAGTGACCATTACTTAATGATTATTTGGAGGTCGTGAGATGCAGGCTGGTGTGACGTAAGGTTTAGAAAAACACATCGTGCCAACATTTCGATCTTTATTGAGATCATCTTCAGGGCCTGGGATATATAAACATTGTTTAAATTTTACAAGTATTTGTACTCAATCAGTGACACACTTTCATTATCCTAGTCAGTCTCTTAGAATAGGCAAACCATGATGATTGGAAATGATAGAGCAAAATAGTAAGATATAAACATTAATTTGGATTAAATATGTTTTAATTGTATTTTAGGACATGAAGTTGTGCTGATAAAAAACTTAGTCAGGGTTTGTGGTAGTGGTGGGACACTTTGCACAGCTCCTTTGGTTCAGAACAAGTCGTACTTTGAAGTCAAAGTTCAGCAAGGAGGTATGGTTTTATTTTCAATGTGTAAAAATAAGTCTACTGATTAAAATTAACTAGGAGTCTGGGGAGTTGGAGTGGCGACGAGGTCGGCTGACTTGAACAAACCACCAGGTGGTCTAGACAGTGAATCATGGGTGTTTTGCAGTGACGGTAACATCAGGCACAATGGCACCATTGTCCACCAGATAGCTGATAAACCGATGGAGGGTGATATAATTGTAAGAATGGATATGATGATGAAAATATAATTTCAATTAATTTGTAATGATGACGTTTAATGATTGTTGTTTCATCTTTACAGGGTGTCACTTATGACCACATTGATCTGAACTTTTTTGTGAACGGAAAACCTTTAGAAAAACCCGTCAGTGGCATCAGAGGAACAGTTTACCCTACTCTTTTCGGTAAATCAAAGTGATCTTTCTATATATTTTTTTCTAATTGAAATTTTGAATTTGCAGTGGATCAAGGCGCTGTTCTGGATTTTATTCCGGAAGACTTCCTCGAGACGCAGCCCAATGGATTCGAGCCAATTATGATCGAAAAGTCCCTCCTGTAATTGTTTTACTTTCATATTTGGTGTATATAAGATGAACACTATTGCTGTTTAAGTTCATTTAAATTTGTGTAAATGGACTTAATTTGGATAAAAATCTTAAACTGTGACCATTCCACACTGAATCACTTTTTTGACTGATTGGATCTTGATTCCTCCCCACTTAATGAATCACTTTACGTTGTACTTATTTTAGTTTTCACCTCTGAGATTTTAATTTTATTTATTTTTTTTAAGTTTTATATTTTTTTATGGTTTATCATGATTTATATATTTATTAATAAATGTTTGTGTATAGATAAATGTGAAATTCCATCAAATGGTATGGTTTAAAAAACAACAAAAACCTATATATTATATCACAAATAAAGTACAATAATGAATGATTAATTTATTTCTATCTTATTTTATATTGCCCGTTTTGACACAGGTGATAAATAATAAATGACAGAAAATAAACTGTTGGCTGCAACGGTTAAGACATTGACACGGCGACATCACTGGAATGGTCCCGGGTTTGAATTTGAACCCAACATACTAACGAACGTATTTTTTTTTTTTTATAACCAAAAAAATTACAATTAATGTTTTGAAAGTACATCATGACAAGCATATGTAAATTAAAAAAAAGATTAAATATTAAGTAATAAAACACAGGGGCCCTGGGGCAAATAATTACATCATAAAAAGTTTATTTACATCTTTATAACATATAATTACATAATTGTTACAAACATAAAGGGTATGACATTACTTTTCTTAATTGAATCTATTTACACTAGCTGATTACTAATTTAAAAAAAAACTTTATACATTCACAAGGACAATTATTTGATTGTGCACACATTTGAGATAATAATATTTAGAGATCGTGAGATGCAGTCTGGTGAGATGTATGTGTCTTACGATCTCTAAATAATCATTACATAACGGTCACTAAATATTACACATTTGAGATAATAATGGTCAAAATTAAAACAAAAATGGTTGTACACCTATTTCTTCCTTTGCACTTAAACAAAATTATTTCCCACTATGATATAAAGTGTTACATGTATCAACCAGTTTTTTTACTCGCGAGTAATCTGGATTTCAGTCTAGATCAAAAAATAAATTTAATTGCTACCTGCCAAGCTCTCGACCTATTTTGAGGAAATAATCAGGGCAAAACAGTGTTAAAGATGTCTACAAATAGATACGGACAAAATTTTTAATATATTAAAATAAAAGAAATTAAAGCTATATTGTAAGAAAATAGAGATAATATGAAGAATGCTCAAATTTTCCGAACCAGCGGTAATGTCTGACCCTACAGAAGTATTATCATAAGCGTATTTCTCTGCCATACTAATGATGATTTTACTATCTAAAGGAAGACAATTGGAAAAAAAATAAAGGAATGAAATTTAACATTTAAGAGAAACAAACCACACACAAAAAAAACTGATTATAAAATGCAAAATAATGTTGAATTAGGAATGTGACAAGAGAGTATCAACAAGCAGTTTTTTTTTAAATTGTTTACTCAGAAGATCAGGTTAAAAGGAGAGTGTATATTCAATTTACAAATTTAAGAACCAAGGAAGTAAACAAGTTATAAAACATATAACAAAGAAATTTTGTCAGAACAAACACTAAGACTAAAAGAGCAAAATCCAATTATCGATAATTCAATTCCAATAAGTAATTTATTTTAAAATTTAGCATGCTTATTGCAATCTGTAACATTGTTGGATCATATGTCGTGAGTGGTACCAAACGATCAAAATCTTCCTTCAGAACTTTTTTTTTTAACTAGTCTGCGTATAGGAGAGTTCCCTAACCCAATTTTTGATGTAAGAAAATTGAGAAAAGACAAAAGTTTTTCAAGCTAAAAGGTGTATTGGCATGATCAAGGTAAGATATAGGAAAAGGTCGGCTCTTGGTGAAGGCACAAATATGTATACTCGCAATCCTCTGTTCCCACAACTTGCTTGTTCTTCTTGCTGTCTTTTGTAATGCCAGACAAGATCGCAAGGCCAGCACGATATCGATGATGCTTGACATTTGATTCCAACATAAATATAAAAGAAATAACTACCCAAAGACACTGATTAAGAGATTGTTAGATATTAATTCAAGGAAGTTAACAAACAGTGAACAAACAGATAGAAATATAAATAACCCTTTCACAGTCAAGAGAATAACGCATGCTCCAGTGATTTTGCCCAAACAAAAATGGCAATAGTGTTACTGTCCTTGGCAAAGTTCGTACTGAGTCGGTCTTCAAAGAAATTTGAAATAATCTATTAAAACCTCAATTATGCCTATTTGAAGACATCTTTAAGATTATTTTTCCCTGATGATGACCTTAAAATAGGTCAAAAGCTTGGCAGATAACAATCTTGTTTTTTTCATCCAGAACATACCCCCCAGATTATTCATCACTATTTCTAGCACAATTTCTATAATTTCATTCACTCAATAATAATGTACATATTTACACACTTACTCTTTGTTAGACTCTAAAAAAAAACTGGTTTCAATTAACAAAGTTAAAATAACCAATATTAATTAAAATATATCTTTGGTAAATAAAATTCAATTACAGTCTCATATTTGGTTACGTATGCTATAAGTATGTATATCTCTACACTTTTTTTCCCATAATGGGAAACACGATGCAGTTCTAATGTAAATCTCAAAGTAATTTATCTTTAACTGAGTTTACTCATAGCATACACTAAAGACTAATTTTAGTTCTTGACTCAGTTTACAATCAATTTTTGTTTTTATGTGTTATATGAGATTAACAGCAATTTTTAAATTATTGGATGATAAATGTGTAACAATACATTATTAATTTTTTCCCCATTTTAACACGTTGACTGCTTAAGATACAACAGTACGTCATGTCAATTGTCTTTTTGAGTGCAGCAGTGCATCTTCCCCTTTATATTTGTTCAAAATTCATAGGGCCACCTCAAAAAGGACAAAAGTGTCACATTCCAAATTTGTTCAACTGGAAGTGAATTAAAAAAAAAAAGTTATTTTGTGAAAACTGCTGTAAGAAGAAAAAAAGGATTGATATGGGGGAATTAAAATATTAACAATAGGGAAAGAATAATACTTATTTATTAAGGGATTAACAATTTTATATAAAACATGGGGAGGTAGAGGAGCCTCTTACCAAAATTGTAGGCGTAAAGGCGTCCACACTAGGGTCAAAGTTACGCGTCTTTATTGGGAACAGTTTATGAACAACAGATTCAATGTTGCGCATCTGTTTGGGGGCTGCCCTGCAACAAGTCATGCGTACACTACAGAAGCAATTCCCTAGAAAATTTCTCAGGAGTTAGGCCTCGGTGTTTCTCTGTCATTGTTATTATTAATTAATAATAGAAATCAAAGATGTTGGGTCCGAAAATTGTTTATAATAACAATGTTACATGCCCTGATCTTTTGGACATATTAAGGCTAGAAGATGGTATGGGATTTGTCAAATTTTTAAGGATGACACCTAAAGATTTTGAAGGTGTTTAAAGAAAAGACAAAATTTAAAAATTCCATTTCCTTTACCGCGAAACTCACAACCACACCCCGGCTGCCCCAGAACATGCGTCTACAGTTATTACTTTTATTCAACTACACGCCAAAATTGAACCAGAACCAATGTTTTATTTAGCACTGTGGGGGATGCAACTCATATAATTTTTATCACTGATAAACATTTTAAAAAAATTTATAAAATTTTTAAGTACCAGAAGATTGGCATTAGCAACCAATGGTCAAGCATGGGTCACAGTCAACGTGTTAAGTTAGCAATCATCATTAATTAAAAATGCCAACAGCTTGATTACCTCTGATTATCCTGGTCTGTTTATTTTCACTGATTTTGCCTATTGACACATATTTTGACATTTCATCTTTTTTGGTGGATGACCTGCGTCCTTTATCGAGCGTTTGTAATTTTTTTTAGGTACTTCATACACTGACTCAAGTATATGTAGGCAAATTCAGTATGGAGGATATTCTAGGATGATCATACACGATCAAGCTGCAGGTTAAGTTTATCACCAATCAATCTTTTAAAAAAAAATATTGAAAATTTTATGTTTAAAATTTGCCAATGTTTAAAAACAAGACTTAATCAGATCAAGTGTTAACAGGAAAATTACACATACATATAATACAAATGTAGATGAAGGGGAAAAATACTTTAGATTATTTCATCTTTAAAACTTTTACAAATGGATGGTTCATTATTGTCTTAAATTATTTATAAACGTGTATAAAGACAATTTTATTTATGTCAAAAACTGAAGAGAAGATACACAGATCACATTTTCCAAGGAAGACCGCTAGCAATGCAATATTGAAAACAATGAAAAATTAATAGCCATAAATCACTTTTTCAATTTCAAATTAAAGCTTATTCATGAACAAAAAGGAAATAAGTACATCTGGGCAAATACGATATTTCCTGTTATATTAAAAATAAAATATAATAATTCAAGTTATTATTTAATTAATACTGCATTCATCGTTTCAGCATAAGAATTCATACACTTTCCATGTGTGTATGAAATCCCATTAATCCATTTTTTTATAATTACTTTGTTTGAAGCAATATAGAACTACAACATTATTAGCAACAAACTCTAATTTGAGCGTTAAATCCAGTACAGGCACAAATCAACTGGCTTTCAAGGACCGAATAGAGTTTAATTTTAATTTTTAAAGCAAGGGAAGACAACGAATGAGGTAATCCTTACTGCAATGATAAAAATGATGCAAAGGTATCACCCTTTCTCAAATATTTTTTTTAAACAAGTTTTATACCAAAAAAGGGTTTCCACAGAGAGATAATAGCTCTTAGGGAAAGAAGCACAAATAGAGGTAACGAATATCTTTAAATAACTAGCATTACTTTTGAACAAATCAGTTTGAAAAGCTAATGATTATCATGAGATCATAAATAAATAAAAATGGTCTTGTTAATAAAATGTTACGATAATAAATAAAATGTTTGATAAAAAAATTTAAGGCACAATGATTCTTTTTGTGTATAAATTTCAATGAGCCTCAATTAAAACCCTACAATTATTTCCAACCTTCCCATGGTAATTATTTAGAAGGTGTTTGTAAAGAAATGTACATTGATATGCCACGTTCAAATGCATGCCTGGACATGCTGATTTTGAAGACTAATGACAAAGGAACAAAAAAAACCTTGTAAACTTTCGAGAATGTAAGGACAAGTGGATGACATAGTAAAAAGGTTTTAAGTATACCAACTCCATACGATTAAAAGCTCAAGTGTTGGTGGAATATGTAACATCCTCGATCGCCTGGTCCCAGTTAAATTCCGTTCTACCCGGCAGCTTGCCAAGGTGGGCGAACCTCTCTTCAAACTGCGAGTCTCGAGATTTCAGCTTATTGAACCTCCTGTGGGGCAAATCGTTACAAGACAGAACTAAAACATACATATGTAATTATACATAACACATACTTGTACATGAGCGTTTTTGCAAACTCATAAAGTTCAAGGTCAAGAGCGTTCAACTCTCGAATTTTTGTCAGCTGTTGTGCAGACAAGGTGGAAAGTGTCGAACTTGACAACGTTGCATTGTGCTGCTCAAAAGGCACGCCAAACCTGAGATTAAATGTCTCTTCAAATACATATTGCCCTATCTAGAAAAAAATAAAACATTTTGATAACAGAACTTCTTAAATTTAATTTTCATCACACAATATCTTAAAATTAATTTAAAAAATACCTTCTGATATTCAGTCAGAGCAAAGAATGCCATGGCAGCAAGGTTTCTCTTCGCACTGGCCAACATGACACTATTTCTTTCTGTGGGTGACATGTATGATGTGTTGTAGCAACCAACAAGAGCTAGATCAGACATCATACGTGTTTGTCTAAAACAAAACAAAATTCAATAAAAGAAAAATCTCTAAAGGACTTTTTTTAACATACCTGTTGTGAGCTAAGTTGAAAGGACAGCTCATAAACTCATCTAGGGTAACGTCTGTCCATGATTCGCCGCGGTAGCAGAGTGGCAACTCGGCTTCTGTCGCCTCTCTTCCTCCACACCAGTGCCGTGAATGCTTCCATGTCGCTCCTCTTTGCACGTGCCGGAACTCAGACAAGTAACGTGAAATCGGCTCACGCAGCAGTGTGATGTAGAAGTACCTGAATATTGAATAAGCAATCCTTTACAGATAATGAAAAGTTATTCTTGAGTCGTAAGCCCAGAGTATAGGAATTGAAGAAATTTTTATAATTTTCCAGGATAAAAACTCTTTGGCAATCTAATCATACTGTCAAAGGAAGATGTAAACTGTCACTGTCACCTCCTCAGAACATGTCAAGCTCATCATGGATACCTGAGATTGATTCACTTCTGGCCATTTCTCCCTCCATGAATACATAAAAAGGTGACTACAAGACTGAATAGCCAATTAAGGAAAACTGAGTTGAGGACTGGCAATTAGTGAGGAAAATCAACCCAAGGCTGAAACAATAAGGAGGACCTGTTGAGCTGAGAACAAGACTACCGGTTGATGTGCCTACCTAATTTGTTAGACAAGTAGACTAATATTCATTTTTATTTTATTTTGTTAGGGTATGCGCAAAAATACCTCATTAGTTGAGGTAGATAAGAGATATTAAAGGCTATCAACCATTTAGATCATATTTGCCTTGTCATCAAACAATATTTTTCTTTTATACGAAGATAATATGCTCGAGGTAAAGTGCAACCACCGACAAGATAATAGCACCACCCCCAGCGGTATAAGTCAGATAAGCTTAAATGACTAGTTTGATAGCAGCACATGTTTTTGCGACATGATAAAAGTGATAGTTTACTCCCGATTTTGCTAATTATTTGCATGATTGATCAAAAGCAAAAGTAGGGGAAAAAAGTAATCCAGTGTGATAAATTGTGGTTATGAAATGAAAAAATATGATATAGTTACTGGGTGTGTAATTTGATATTGCAGGAAAAAATAAAATGATAAAACAGCAGAATCGTCAAATATGTAATTCTGCAGACAAAGCAATACCGCCTAATTACAGTGTGACCCATAAAGCAAACCAAAACCATTCTGTAGAGGGAACTTTTTAATTTTTTAACTTTTTAAATTTTTAATGATTTAATTGCTTATATATAATCTTTCACCAACAATTTTTCCATCTGTAAGATTTAATGATGAGCGATGCCTGGATTGATATCAATTTTTAAAAATTCAATTTCATTTCTCCTAATATTATAATTTATAACACTTGGATAGGCCTTACAGGGAACTTTAAAATTTTGGCATAAGCCTATTCAAATTTTATCTATGGTTCAAATTAAATTTAACCTGCGGCATCTAATGAAGTGCAAGGCAATGAGGTGCATTCGTGTGCAAAATCGTCCGGCAATTATCCACTTTGAACAAAATGAGTCCTTGTGGTTAATTGCGATTAATTGGATTTAGTTTGCTGATCTGGTGAAAACCCTCATGTTATCAACCAACCGTAGAAAAACAACATTTGTATTTTCTTATAAACGGAGTCACATTTTGAATGTCGTTAACACAATAAGGTTTATCAAAAGGGTCAAGGCTGAGAGAAGTGAAATACAAACCACACCATACGTTCATATGAAACCAAGTTTGATTTTGTAATTTACCACTCAGGGTAAAATAATATATCAGATTTATAGAACAAAATTATCAAGTATATTATTTTAGTACAGTATCATTGATTTATGAGTATTGTGGCCACAGTTTGTGGAGTTCAATTCACATCTGAAAAGAAGAAAAATGGTGGGAAGATGACTTCATTTTTAATGTAACATTGATTACAACAATTTATTTTTATTACTTATTAAGTCGTAAACTTATTCTTTTACCCTGGTCAATATATTCTCACAGTCGAGAATATACAACAAGGTAGTTTTGAGCCTTTCAGCAAATGCAATCATAAGGGTAGGTGGGCTATACTATCTATAGCAACTCTATGTTTCTCATCACAAAGTAAAAGCCATTTGGTTCTTACGTGTTTACATTAAGTTTAAGGCTTTTTAGATAACCAGATATCTATCTATCAGGACTTATACGTGTGCAATGAGAGTTTATGAAACAATTTGTGATGACACTGATAGGAAAGCGCACAAGGATGTTGATAATGATGATGATAAACAGTGAATATTTTCTCATTGGACTTTTGGTTCCTCAATCTCTGTTGTTTCCTACCATTATTCAATAATTTTTTATCAACTTATTGTTCTTCTCAATAAATCCGGGGAATGTGGTTAAGTTGTTCGACTTATATTTGCGTTGCTAGTGGTTCTGGTTTCGAATCCTGGCAGAGCCCATGGTATTTTAATGATTATAGTATGAAAATTGTTAAGTGGTTTGATCGTTGGACGTTATGGCCTACTGTATGGAATGAATTACCTTATTTTCACTTGCAATATATCTTATAAAATTTGAAAATGCCAACAGAAAACAAAATTTTTTGCTTACCAAAATCTGCAAAGAAATACTTGTAAAGGCCCACTACTTATCACAAAAAGTACATAACCGATTCGCAGAACTAATTTCTGTTTCCGAAGGGCCAGTTATGTTTTGAACAAAACTGGGAATCTGAATTGTAAGGCTAGGGCTCATGTGATTTAGCATCAACCTTTTTTTTTGTGTGTGTTCTCCCCCTGCACCCATATTGAGCAGCAGCAGAAAGTGAGATTATTTTTTTTAATTTCCCCTTTTATTATTATTTTTTTTCATTATATAATCCATTAAAACCAAACAACAATGGCTGTTTCAAGTCTCCTGTATAAAATAAATAAGGTTTTCAGATTTTGACCTATAATGAATATTTATATAAAACTTTATCGTCCAGGTACTCGCTCTTTTGGCTGCCTTTATAACCTCTTTGCAAGAATTAAAACAGTAAGTGGTCTATGTACATAAAAACTCCCAAGTTCTGCAATTTCAGTCTTTGAATGGTAGCAATAAAAAATATTTAGTACCTACTTTCTAGGTACCACAGCTAGATAAAAATATTTAAACTTGACACTCCTCTACAGAGTGGATGCAGTTGTGTGGATCTACCAGCAGATAGAAACTAGTCTTTGTGTATCACAACTCCCAAATCCTGTGGTTTTGGACAATCGACGTATTGATAAATCCTATAGTTCTAAGCAATATCTCGTTAATATGATAAAGTCAAAATAGCATCTACAATATCTCTCAAATAGATCTATCTCTCAAATTTCAATACTAGCAAAAATGTATGATAGCATAATATGTAATATTTTAACACCTACACTAAAAACTTATACTCCTGACGAGCAACATGGGTTCCATTCTGGTCGATTTTCGACAACAAATTTATTAATTGTCCAGTATGATATTCTAGATGCTTTTTCTCAGCACAATCAAATTGATGCTATAAACATAGATTTTAGTAAGGCATTTGTTAAGGTCAATCACAGTGTTCTGGTTCAAAAAATGTGTTTAATGGCCTTTAATAAAGACTTTTTGAGCTGGTTAAGATCATACCAGAGTGAACGACCACAGGCAGTAAAGTGTGAATTCTATGAAACCTCAGGCTCAAGGTGGCCATTTTTCCCCGTTACTTTTTAAATTTTTTATTGCAGATCTGGTTAAATACATTGTATGCAGTAAAATACTTGTATTTGCCGATTACGCCAAAATATACACATGTATTAAATCAATTGATGATTGTTCTGATTTGCAATAGACATAAATTATCTGTATTCATGGTGTGTAAGAAATCTTTTGATTCTAAACATTGTTAAGCGTAAATCCTTATCTTTTATCCTGTATAATGTATGATTATACGATTAATGGTGTGTCGCTAGAAAGAACAAATACAATAAAAGACTTAGGAATATATTTAGGCATATCAAGCCGAAGGTCGTGGGTTCGAATCCTGCTCGTGACACTGACTTTTTTTCTCAACTAAAAACCTTAATTAATTGGTCAAGTTTATAAGAATTTGATCAGCATATCAACTTTGTTAAAAGAAAAGCTCCCAAGGTGTTAGGATTTATATTAAGAATTTCATGTGATTTTATGACTTATTGAAAATGGTTATATTGTTCTTTTGTAAGAAGGAAATTAGAGTACGTCTATGTTGTCAAATCCCTTTTGTAGCTCCTGAATTGGTCGGATTGAACTTGTACAGAATAAATTTCTCCAATGTGTTATTTGTTTCTTATAAATTTAAAATTTATAGGGATCCTTACTTATGAAACAATTCTAAGGGAATTGAGGTTGCATAGATTATGCACTAGAAGACTGGTGTGTGACTGTTTTTTCCCTTTTTTTTATAAGCTGTTAAATAATGTAATAGATTGTTCCTACTTGTTAACCTTAATCCAGTTTAAAGTTCCTACTTTTTGTTCAAGGACTAAAGACCCATTTCAGGTGAAACGTGGTGATACAAATTATTTTATAAATCAGCCGCTGCTAAGAATATTAAGACAAGCAAATGAATATGAGAATATCGATTTCCTTATTATACATTTATAAAATAATTTTTGGTTTGTTATGTGTTTAGTAATAGTATCCAACGTATATGTCTATGTAAAATGTATATTGTTTAGTATACCACCAGTGTATCGTATTTTCTGTATATATACTATACTGGTTGTGGGCATCTGCCTGATGATAAATAATAATAATTCATTAGTTTGTGGTCTGATTGACCAAATAACATTTTTCAATTAATTAATCTTTATATAAACTTTAATAATATAATCTTTTATCTTGACCAATGCCTTATATAAAGATTAATTAATTGAATAATAACAATGTAGATAAATAAAATAAAAATAATAAATAAAATTGGCAGATGATTTGAAATTTTTTTTAACTCCATGTCTTCTGCTCTCGATTGTGTTAGTTTACAAGGGGAACTGGACTGGTTCGTTAATTGGTGTGAGCAGAATCATCTTTCTTTGAATAATAACAAATGCAAGGAAATTAAATTTACAAAAAATATCCTATCTCGTGACTTTGATTATTTTGTTGATGGGCAGAGATTGGAAAAGGTTGACACTATCTCCGATCTTGGTGTCGTTTTCAACTAAAAGGGTGATTTCAGTGACCATATCAAACAAATTCGATGTAAGGCTCTACGCAATCTTGGTTTTATTACTAGGTTTTCTGGAGATTTTAAAAATTGATTATATCAATCCCTCGTGCATAGTCATCTGGAATATGCAAGTGTTGTGTGGTCCCCTTACTACATTGGTGAGATTAGCGAGTTAGAAAAAGTACAAAGGTAACCAACAAAGATAACGGCCTCCAGACTTGGTCTTGCAAATCTGAATTTCTTGGAAAGATTAAACTGGCTTGGTCTGGAGTTGCTTAGCACAGCAGGATTTCTGCTGATCTCATTTGGGGTTGGAAATTGTTGAATGGGGCCCTTGATATCCAGAACTTTCATTTGATCACTAACAAACCATAAATTGTTCTTTGTCCCACATTGCAGAACAGAATATGGACTCCCCTCTAATGAGGATAATGAGATTGCTGAATTGCTATTCCAATGAAATAGATGTATTTCACGATTCCTTGCACTTTAGTTAAAAGTTAAAATTAAACTCAAACGTATACATGTAACGAATCCTTAAGCCGTGGTTGTTATTATTGTTTAATTACTAATTTGTTTCTTTATGTTATTATTGCTTTTTTTTACTACTCCTCTTGTAGATTCATTCTATTGTAGTTACAAATAAATAAATATGTCAATGAATTACGTACCTTCTTTTAACAGAATCTCCTTCGTTCTTGTCGAACTCGTTGTCGACGCAGCTGGTGAGTTCAGTCCAGTCGGCGTGTAGGCCGCATTTCCAGCCGGTCGAGTACCTGCTGAAGAGCCAGTTTTCGTTCCTGTTCGGCCTGAAGCAGTAGCAGCGCTTCCTCTTTCTATGGCAGGTGCACGGCTTCTGGAGGTCCAGGTCCAGTACAAGGTGCTTGCCAAAGGAGGTGCCGCCCGTTTTCTGTATGTGGAGGAAGACCATGACGTCGTGTGCGTTCATGTCGAACTGGAAGTTCTCGTTGAGGACGTCGTCGTAGCTGAGGCCCGGGTTGGACGTCTTCGAGTTGAAAGGGCTAGAATGGAGGCTCAGTGGTTTGCCGAGGTTGTCCTGGTCCGGGAATTTCGGGTTCCACTCTGTCCAGGACGGCTTACGAGCCGCCATCGGACACAGCTTGTCCGAGCAGAAGTAGCTGAAGTAGATGATGCCGGTTAGAGCGAGGAGCATGCACAGCATGACGAAATTCCGCAGCCTCGTTTTCGACCTCGATTCCATTTTAAACTCATAGGTGACAGACTCGCGCAATAAAACTGAGAAATCGCTATCTAGTACTTGAACCTCTACGCTTCTCTTCGCCATTATATTCTTTCTGATTACATCGGAGCTCGTCTCAATCCACCGGCTTACGAGGGACACGGATCGGAAACATTACGACCGAGGAGCCGACCGCTTCCGCATCTGACACGAAAACTGACAGCCCGCTTCCAAGTCTCACAGACTCACAATGCCCAGCCTGTACCCGAAGCGAACTGAAGAGAAACAACATTCGAGACGAAGACGGCTACAATTTACAACACGAACCGTGCCATCTACCGGACCCCATGAAAACCCGATTAAACGGGTAATAGCCTAGTTGGTACCACCAACGCGATAACAAGGCAATTAAATCATTCATTGATTTTTGTTTTTACTTAATCAAAATGAATGGTGTAATTTCATATACACTCAGTGAAAAGTCTCTGGTCAATTACTGGTTTGCCCAAAATATGAGCTCCAAATTCCTTATTATCATTGGAAAAAACGTGTAGTATTTAGCGACCGTTAATTAATGATTATTTGTTGATTGTGAGATGCGGTCTTGTTTTACACGATATTTGAAAAATAGGGAAAATTCGAAAGGTTGTAGGTTGAGATGAAGAGTTGGTATGAAAGGGCATTTTTTCTTTGGATTCTTGGTCAATCGGTATCCATTGCAATGAGAGAGCAGATACGGCTGCCAAGGAGACAGTTGGAGATGGAAACTTTGTTGTGGAGGTATGCGAGGATGACCTCATTGCGGCCTTTAGGGACAAAATATATTTACAATGGCAAAAAACCTGGCAGTCAGTTACAAACAACAAGCTTCGTGAAATCAAGTCCACCACAAAGCCATGGCCTTCATCGTTTAGGATGGAGAGAAGGTAGAAGGTTGTATTGAGTAGATTGAGAATAGGACACTGCCGGATCACCAAGGGTCACTTATTGGCATGTATGCAATGAAGTAATAACAAAACATATTTTACTATCATGTCTCATATATCATGACTTAAGAAAATTTTATACTCTCCCGAATAAGCTGTATGAAATATTAGAGGACTACCAAGAAAATATTGCCAAATTATTCAGCTTTTTGACAGCAGAAAATTTAATAAATAAAATATGGTGTACTATATTGATAACGTGTAGAGATTAGTGACCGTTAATCGATAGTTATTCAGATATCGTGAGATGACCCGACTGCATCTCACGATATCTGAATAACTATATTGATAACAAGGACAGAAATTAAATAAATAAACGAATAAAAAGCATATAAAATAACTGGCGCGTGGGACCGGCTGGATTGGAGCCCTAGGCCAAAGTTTCGGGGCGAAAATGACCTTGGCGGTTCCTGTACATTAAAAAAATTAGTGTTTGAGGGGATCGACATCTCAGTCACGATAGCTTAAGTGGTTAGAACAGCGGCATATTGAGCTGAAGATAGTGGGTTCGAAGCCCGCTCGTACACTAGCTTTTTCATCTAAACTAAGACCTTAAATAAAAAGAATAATGATCTCAATCAATATTCATTTTTAAATGTTACTTCACTACAAAAGCAACAAACAATATGAATTTAGGCAGACAGGGAGCCGGTAACCTTCGTTTAAAGTCTTAACTCTAGAATAAATTTAACCATTGGTAAACGCATAAACGGCTTAACCAGCGGGTAGGGTTATTCGAGAAGTGTTTTTGGATATTTTCAACTCCGAAAGCCTGCTGACAAACGCAAAAATATTTTTGAATGGTTTTCAACTCCGCAAACCAGCTGACAACCACATCTAATATCACTCACTACTAAGGTACGATACCTGATGATGGCCTTATACAGGCCGAAAGCTTGGCAAATGATTGCAGCTTCTTTCTTCTTTTTTGCCCATACAGATTCATATCTTACAAGAAAATATTTTGTCAGAGAAAAATGACGAAACTGGAATATTGTCGATTTTTCGATCGATTGGCGTCTGATGATCGATGAAGCGCGTTTGTACGTGTTGACTTCGCTAGTGTAGTGTTTGAGTACGTAACTACGTACATGTTGAGTGTCAGCTGACAACCAAAACAATCCTTCCATGTCGGAGCAGGACTCGAACTTCCACAAAACGTTTCTCATGTAGCTGTATAAAAAAAGTTTATATATTTTATTATAAGTATTATTGAGAAAGTTAGAAATTTTTTTTGTCGCGTGAGAATGGAAAGCAATGAGTGCACGATGGAATTGCATGACGGAGCCGATGCGGCGGAGAAGGCGGGCGAATCCCCGCAGTCCGGCAAAGCGGAGGACGAAGCTGTCGAGGACGACGGCGACGACGAGTACGAAGACGTGCCGGACGAACCGCCGAGGGCCTGGCCATGCCCTGTCAACAGGCGGTTTCGCCTCAGGCCGAGGAAGCGGACCGAGCCCAGCTACGAAGGGAAGCTGAAGCGGATCGTCATGACGGGTTTCAAGAAGAAGAACGTCCGGAGAGAGAAGAAACTCGAGTTCCTGCTCAGCCGGGAAAGAAACGTCGTCGTCGTCAGGAACACTCGGTTTTCCAGCTTCGTCAGAAAGACGAGGAGGAAAGAGATCGCCGCCCGAGCCCTCAACATCACGCAAAACAGGAGGAACATGCAAGAAGTCGAGATAAAACTCTGGCAGCTCAATCTCTAAATAAACCGCACCTCCTAAAACTTTTTTGTGCTAGATATAAAATCTCAGGGTTTGTTTATACTTTTTTAATTGATAAGTTTCAAAAGACTGATGTACTTCTTTTGTATGTCCAAAAAGATAATACATAGTTCAACCAAATAATGTATTATTGTAGCCCTAAAATTCCCTCAACTATCCATGGAAGCTGAAACTCATAAAATACACATTGGTGAACCATTTTGTGGGGGGGAACAAACAATATCATATTTCTATTGAAACTTTGTTCCCGTGTGATTTGTTATAGAATAGAATAGAAAATTATTTTTATTTACAATTTATACACATTGTACACTGACAAGCAAAAAATTCCACCCACTTGTAATATAACTGGATTTTGTATATATNGTTTGTATATATTTATTATTTTACTATCTCAAGTACAGGCCGTAGTTGAGAGAGTGTCAGTAAATAGATTGAGACACTCGTATGGTTGAAGTAAAAAAAGCGAAAGATAAAAGGAGGAGCGACAATGCGTGGAAGGCTGGAGATGGCAGCTGTTTGTTAGTCGCTAAACTACATTAAATGAGACAGTATATACACTGACAGGCAAAAAATTCCACCCGCTTGTAATATAACTTGATTTGTATATATTTATTATATTTGATATTTGACTATCTGAAGTACAGACTAAAGGCTACCACACTATTCTAGGATATGGATTTAGCACAGGTACAAGACATAGAGAGTCGTAAATAGATTGAGGTGGTATTATGGTTGAAGTAAAAAAAATGCTTGAAAGATAGGAGGAGCAACAACTTGCGGAAGGCTGGAGATGGCTGTTGTTTGTTACAGTTGATACAGTATATAAACAGAGGCAAAAAATTCCACCCACTTGTAATATGACTTGATTGGACTATGCTGGATCCGAGGACATGGAACTAGGAGGCAACGAGAAAGCCGACACCCTTGCAAGGAAAGGAGCTGCTACAGCGCTGATAGGACCCGAACCCACACTCAGACAGAAGGACAAAAAGAAAATGAAGGAACGATGGAATTCACTCATTGGACACAGGCAATCCAAGAATCTCCTTACAAATTTCAGATGAAAAGAAATTATAGAATGTGTCAAAGGAAGCAGGAATAAAATGTGAATCCTAATAGGATTCTTAACAGGACACTGCAAGCTAAATGGACAATTAAAGAAGATTGGAATAATCCAAGATGGAACATGCAATTTCTGCAAAGAGGCAGAGGAGACACTAACACACCTATTAACAAACTGCGATGCTACACCTGCCCGCAGGAGGAAGTGCTTTGGGATGTGACCATAGAAGAGATTCAACCTCTTAAACCAGGCCTATTAATCAAGTTCTTGATGAAAAAGGACTCACCGATGTGCTATAGGCTCAGAATGGGGGATACAATAGCTCTTAAAATATAATCTACATCTATGATATGACATGATTTTTATATATTAATTGAAGTTTCATGTTTTTTAATGTTTAATAATTGAGTCTTTACCAAAAAAGTTAATTGCTAAGGAAAATGAAAAAAAAAAGACGGACAGATAAAATTTGTTTTAGATTTCTAATTAATATTTCAATATCGTGTATTTCCTCCTCTTGCCTCAATTACATCTCGAAGATGCCTTGGCATACTTTCTACCACTCTGGAAATATCTCTTTGCTGGAGTTTAGCCAATTCTTCACAAAGAGTCCTTTCAAAATCGTGGAGTTGGAAGTGATGGACATACTCTTATTCGTCTTTTGAGGTTATTTCATAAATGTTCGATGGGGTTCAAGTGTGGTAAAACGGGCTGGCCAGGCTAAGACCCTGATGTCATGCTGTCGTATGTACTATGCAAGCGGATGGGCATTATCGTGCATTAGAATAGGATTGTCGTTGATTTCATTGAAGATAGGTAACGCATGATGCACATAGCAAGTGGCCGTAAAAGACTCTCCACGAACAACAAACAACTCTATGCGGCTCTCCATTGAAATTCCTGCCCCCACCATCACTGAGCTACATTGAAAAGGTTGGCTCTGGGAAAAATTACAGGCCTCGTCCCTTTCATTTCACTTTCTCCACTCCCTTTCACGCAGCCATCCTGTGGTTCTATTACTCTACGGCGGCCTTCTATGGTTCTATGGACCCAGTTTCTTGAAAACTTCTAACGGCTTCTTGTAGTGTTTCGTAGGGAACTCTGATGGCAGTAGCCGCATACCTGATGTAACGTCCATCATCAATAAGTGCCACAACATCCTCAGGACTAAGTAGCATTTTGAAGTTGAAAAACTGAAATTGAGAAAACAAAGATGAAAACTAAACAATTGGTTCAGAATTCAAATGAGACTGAATAAACATTTTAAATTCCTGTTAAAAGCAAACTGAAAAATCCTTAATCGTTTTGGATTTAGATTGTGTGTTTACCTCTATTTATATTCCCAATTTAAAACATAGCACAAACAAATATTTATTGGTAAAATCAATGAGACAAAGGTAGAATCTTATTTTATCAAGCAAATGAACAAAAAAATCAATTGGGTGGAATTTTTGCCTGTCAATGAATTACAAAATATAAGTTGTATTTACATAAGATCAATACAACTTGGATGAATTGTGGCTTACCGGTGTGCTTTAAGTACAGAACAGGGGATACAAAAGCTATTAAAAAGGGTGTAGTATAATACACCACACCCTGACTAATACAGCTATCTATCTGGATGTAAAACTGGAGGCAGTTTTTGAGTGAATAGTTAGGTTATAAAAATAATATGAACTTATAAAAGTAAAATTAAGTTAAAAAAAGGGAAAAGAATGAAGAAAGATAATATTTATTAGTTAAAGGAGAAACTGCTACTGCATTCATTTATTATTTCACTGAAACATTTCTGGTCAAACCTGGTTTTTTTCTATAGAGTGCTATTTACTACTTTAACCGTAGCATAATTTTTTGTCAGTCATATTAATTCACTTAAAGAATATTCATAATCGACCCAACTGTTTTAAGCATTTGGTCTTGATACAAAATCCCCAACAAAATTATAGGGTACCCCATATATTATTCGTTATTAGTTGTACGAAATATTAAAATTTAACCAAAAAACGTTAAATACAAAAGTACAGTTATAATTATTCTTTGATTTTATCTGATTTTTTGTTTACGAATATTTAGTATTATAATGTAAATATTTACATGCGACAAAAGTATAGGCCATTCTTAGTCTTTATCTAAATCTCTTGTGAAAATCATCTTTAACTGTACCTACTTTAGGACTTAATTTCAACTGTAAACAATTTGTTCTAGGAGGATGAATACAAAATTTAAAACTAAAGTTAAACTCTACAACAAAATTATAGGCTATCCAAATTTTTTTCGATAATCATATTTCTAGAGATCAAGAATTTATAAAATGAATTTAGGTGTACAAACTTGCAGATAAAACAATATATAAGTTAAATGCAAATAATAATTGAACAATAGCACAAACAAAATGAATAAATGAGATGACAATAATATAAACAAGGATCTAAAGAAAAATTAAAATATAACAGTAAACATATTTTAAAATATTTTAAGAAGTATAAAAAATATCTAAGTCACCAGGTAGTTTATTAGATATTCTTTGAATTATGTTAAGAATAATTAGTTCTGTAATAATGAATTAAGAAAGAATTTAGACTTGTAAAGTTATAGCTCGAGGAATGTTGTTATTAATTTTTCTGGACAATCTATTAAATGATGTAATAATTTGTTTAAGAAAATGAGTGTTTATTTCTCTTAGAAGCGATAGAAAGTATTGACCCATAATCTATTTTAAAATTGCAATTTTCTAGATTTATACCATTAAAAAAATATACATATATATAAAGAATTTATGTTGAACTTTTTCCAGAAATTTTGTTAGTTATTACATGAGAAGTCCAAACTGTTGAGCAATATTTGAAAAGGGAATTATAAAGTATTTTTATAATTAGTTGATTTTTGAAATCTCTACAAGTTCGAATAATAAAACCTAGTTGACTAATAGCTTTATCTGATTTGAAAAGGAAAAGTAATCAGTAACTTAGATCAGTAATGGTTGAGGACTTTTCCAGTACTTGGTCATTTACTTTATTGCATGTTGGGATAGGGTTTTTTGAGTGAGGAAAACTAATAAATGAGCATTTATTTACATTGATTTTTTTAAGCCATTGTCAGCACACCACAGACTAAAATGATTTAAATTTTGTTGAAGTACGTGCAAGTCATTAATAAATTTAATTGAGAGATAGATTTTTATATCATTTGCGAGGAGTAAAAAATTCACATTGGAAAAAACATCTGCAATATTATTTACATACACGACTAAAAATAAAAGACCAAGGTGTGACCCTTGAGACACACCATTAGTATCAATGTTTAGAGTATGTTTATGGAGATGATAAGCATCTATCCACTGAATAGCTTTGAATCCATGAAAGAGAGGTTGCCATATTCCATAAAACATGAGTTTAGAGACAAGACGTGATACATTAACTAAATCAAAAGCTTTCGCCATGTCTATGACTGTTTCAACTTGAGTTTTTGCTACTAAATTGTTACACAAAAATTCAATGTAAACGGCAAAGTTAGTTTCAGTGGAATGCCCTATGGTAAATCCTTGCTGTTGAGATGATGTTTTTGAAGAATGGTGAAATATAATCATGAATTTGGCTTTCAAATAGTTTAGGATTAGAGGAAAGTTTAGCAATACCACGGTTTGTTTTTAAAAATAGGAATAATGTGAGAGGTCTTCCAAATTGAGGGCAAATTCCCAGTGGCTTATGAGGTGTTAAATAAATGAGTCAAAGAAAGAACTAAGACGTCAGCACAAGTTTTTAAAACACAATAGGAATATTATCTGGGCCATCAGTGAATTTAAATTCTAAATTTTTGTGGTTTTTCGAGGCAACACTATCTGATAAGAGAATATCAGAAAGATTGATAGAGTCACAATTATTATTTAATTTAGGAGGATCAAGAGAACATTTAGTGAATGCACCAGAAAATAAATCGTCAAAGAGATTACACATATCAACACTTGAATTAGTATCAGCCTTCAGGACAAATTGTAAAGTAAAGAGATCAGGGATGAAGCCATGTAGGTGAAAGAACCAACTTGTTTTTCTGCTGTTGAGCTTTCAGGTGTATGTGACGCCTTCCTCAAGACTGAAAAACTGTTTAAAAAACTTTACAATCATTACCTACATGGCTTCATCCCTGATCTCTTTACTTTACTTGAATTAGTATTTTATTTCTCAAATGCATTTCACTAGGATACCCATTATCATTTTACCTTAAATAATTCGTATTTCAAAACTGCATGCATTTTTATGTCATGAATGTAATACTTTAATGAATCTATCAACTCTGCTTTACACACAGTTAGAACATGGGGTGAAAAACCAAAACAAATTGTAATTAGAAGGACAGTTCAATTTATATTAGGACTGTCATTTTATATCATGTATAGATTGCAACTTTGCAAATTACACATCAACCGAACGTAGAGATGTGAATAAAACTTTTGAAATAGTGCTCAATGGAGTGGCAAAATACAACTCATAGGATATATAAATTTTTAATAGAATTGTCCGTTTATTTAATTTATGTATCGATGCAAGAAAGGATGCTGCAAAACTCATGTACTGCAAAATACAACTCATAGGATATATACATTTTTAATAGAATTGCCCGTTTCTTTCATTTATGTATCAATACAAGAAAGGATGCCACAAAACTCATTTACTGCAAAAAAACAACAACATCGAAACGCATCAACTTCGTTATTCGTCCGGAAGAAAATACGCAATCATTGTTTTATAAAAAACGTTCGAGTCAGATCTTCGGCGGAGTGAGTCAGACTCCAGTGCTCTGACGTCTTTGGCGTCCCTCGACTCACGAGCAACGAGGGCGTAGCCAGGAGAAAGGACGCGTTATGTCCTGTGACTCATCCGTAACGTCACAGGGAGGGCGACGTCGACTGATAAAAGGAAAACGGAAAACTGAAAATTTCCTTTTCCCAATGGAAAAATAAAAACAGTTCATTTCTTTTTTCGTTAATGGAGTTTTATTAGTAGGTATATAAACGAGTTGAACTATTTCGCAATAGGTGCCAGGTGGCCCGCTCCCCACCAACTGTCGGATTGTCAGAGAAACGAAGTGGGGCGGCTGCTGGTATATAACCTAATTTTCTAGGGATTGAAAGAGTTTTTTTTCAGGTCAAAACTGAATTAGTAACAGTTTTTTTTTAAAAGAAACGATTTGAACGATTACAACGATTGTTTGTTGTAATAATAGTAGGTTTTAAGGTTTAAAACAAGTGTGTGCTTTTTGAAGGGCGTTTCCGACTCGAGGAGAAAATGAGTTACCCGGGATATCCAGGATACCCGCAGGTGAGCACTCTACATTGACGATAAACAATCAAGAACGTTTAGAACGACGATGATAATCATCGGATTACACAAATGGCGCCCCTGATGATTATAACAGACCCACTGTACAAGTGTCAGAGTTTTTCTCTGACGAATATTGCGAAATTTGACTGTGAAGGCTGATTGTCCAACATATTTGGTTAAATTTATAGCGATTAGCGAACGACGATAAATAACATTATTTTTATGATATTATTCCATACTGCAAGTCCGTCCAGTCCCTTTTAAAGTTACGTAATAGATAAAAGAGCATAATTATTAGTGATCGGGAGAGAAAAAAGAAGATTTCCTCTCTTTAAAATAACACATTTTCGGTCTGGTATTCACAGTATTATTGAATTATCCAAACGTAAAATGATAAGTGATTAGAGAGTTACCGAATAAAATATATTAATTAAAAATTAGGAGGAGCCAACTTCTAAAATATAAATGTATTTATGCTATAAAAAAGTTTAAATTCATTCTTTGCATTTTGGCAATTCTGCCAAGTCAAGAAAATGTTAGAAATGACAGCCAACCTTTGTTTATATCGGCTGACCTATGGTGTGCAGATCTACTAGTTTAGTCTTTTATTGAACTATTTACATGTTTTTTAAATGTTTACTTATTTTTTTGTAACATATCCACGGTTATTTTATTATAGTTGAAGCAGGTTTACTTTTTTAGTTACAACTTAACTAATACTGCATGAATTTTTTTTTCTTTGCGAAGGCTCCAGGTCAGCAGCCTAACCAGCCTCCGGCCTACAATCCGACTTCATTGTCCTACCCTTTGTACCCCGGCTCTTCGGCGCCCTCTTATCCGCAGTATCCTCCCCAATACCCGCCCGGCAATTCGATGCCGTATCCACAGCAGTCGTGCCCGTATCCGAGCGGTAACCCCAGCCCTTACCCGAGCGGTAATCCAAGCCCTTACCCGAGCGGTAATCCAAGCCCTTACCCGAGCGGTAACCCCAGCCCTTACCCGAGTGGCAACCCTAGCCCTTATCCTGGTGGCGTTTCAGTCTATCCTCCGAGCTCTAGTCCTTATCCGCCGGTCACGACTTACCCCAGCATGGGCGGTACCCAGTCCTCTCCTTATCCTAGTGGAAACCCGTCTCCTTATCCTCCCCAGACCAGCGGGTACCCCGCACAGAAAAATGTCTCTTACTCTACCCAGTCTTCCCCTGGCTGTGGTTATCCTGGATCCATGGCTCAAGTATCACAACCGGGAACAGGGTACCCTAGTGGACCTCAAGGCATGGGGCATTCGGCTCCTGTATATTCATCTCCTGCACAAGCTAATATTAAAACAGTGAGTAACAATTCATTTATAGCTGTTGCCTGGGCCTTCTTTCAAATTTACTAAAATTAAATCTTTAATGGTTAAACAATGTAATAATCAAATCAGACTTTTTTATAGATGACAACATTACTGTGATTCATACGTTCACTTTAAAATTATAGCTGATTGCTGGCCCAGTTTTTAAAAAAAGTTTTTCATTTTACAAAATTCTTCTACAATTCTTTCAAGTGAACATGTATTTAAAGGCAATTTTATATTTGAGGAAGTATTTAATCTTGTTTGTGAGGATATTATTTTGGACAGTAATTATAGCCACCTAACAAAACCTTGGTACTGACTTTTCTGTCCTTGAAAGTTTCATTCCTAATTTCCAATGTAACATTTTCATTATGTTGTTATACCAGTAGAAAACACGGCATTCGTTACTTTTAACTTATTTTTAATTTTCCTCTTTGTTTAGAAGTGCTTGCTAATTTTAGAAGTTGGTTTAGAAAGTTGGTGAAACTCGTGGTTAGATAACTTAGGGGCTAACACTTTCTTTCAGCCTTATATCCACTAAGAATAACACATACATAAATATGCTAATAAAATAAAATTTAAAAACTAAAGGTGTGACTAAAAAAAAGTAAATTTTATAAATATTTATTGAATCTGTTTCCCACTGGTCCTCCAATGAGGATTAATATTGGTCTCGATAAATTAGATATTTACAGCTGCCACATCTACTGTTGGATATGTGGATTTGAAAAGATAGACTGGATTGGGAGGGAGATGATAAAAAAAAATTCTTGATAAAACTTGTAAAGGGCACAAGGTTTAAGCTTAACTTCTATAGTAAACTAAATTATAGATAAATCTACAAATTAAGTTTCTCACATTCCAGAGCAAACAGTCATTACACATGTTACGAAAATGGATAAAGGCATGTTCAACAGTGTTTGAAGGAATTAATCCTCAGTTTGTCCCAGAACATCTTATCAATGCTGATCTCTATAGAACAATTGGAAGGTACAAGGTTTATAAAGAGGTGTCGCTTCGGCGCATAAACAGATAGTTTTATTGACGCAGGACAACCCTCGTTCTCTTTAGCTTTTATTGCATTCATTCCATAGTCCTGACCCCCAACAAACTACTATCTCGTTATAGTAATCGACCACTTCCTTAAAGAAAAAGAAAGTTTCATATATTGAAAGACATATTTGTAATAATAAAAGTAGAAGCCTTTTTTGAATTAAAATTATTATCAAGGAGATCTAGTTAGCAATTGACTATTATCATTTATTATGGCTATATTTCTATTTTTAAAAATAATTTATTGAACAAAAAAAATAAATTTATTTATCTCTTGAAAAACAGAAATCTTTTTATACATCTGCACAAAATTGTTTATCTACGTAATTATTTTGTTTCTACTAATATACACATATCAGTTAATTGGATGATTAAAAAGTCATGTTTGAGGTATAATTGTGTCACGTCAATTATTGTAATTCTTTTGCAAAAAATTGGTACAAAGTTCCCATATCAAAATAAACAAAATTTTATTATATTAACTCGTATATTTAGGAGTGATAATTGGCCATATTAATTATTCAAATTAATTATACTTTTTATTTAATGTCTTGGATTGTGACAATAGCTTTTTATATTGTCACAATAGCTCAAGTGGTTAGAGCAGTGGCGTATGAGTGTATTGAGCTAGTGTGCTTCATTCAAAATATCCCGCTTGTGACACTAACTTTTTTGTCTCAACCAGGCATTTAGATAAAAAAAGTATAATTAATTGAAATAATATGGCTAATTATGACTGCTAACCGTTTAGGGATTATTAATGTTTCTTTAATGCCAACATCCAATTTGTATTTTTAATTGTAATCAGTATTTCACTTATTTCTTCTAACAATAATATTTTCTAACAAATGAACTTCTTTGTTAAATTTGGTCATTTTTCAGTATTTAGATATGGTGGAAGTTAGTTTTTTCCAAACAGTAAAATAAATTATTTTTGGTACTTTTAATAATGCTGTTCAATGATTATTTCTTTTACTGCTGTTCTGCATTTTTTGTTTGCTTACAGGGAAAAGTATTCTCTAAACATTGATAACACGTTCATAATAGGCTCATAAACTCACTTCATTCAGTATATTCACTATTCACTGCACATATTTGGAATCATGCTTGATTAGCATTTCTACCCTTTTAAAATAAACCAGCTTTAAATAATGAAAATAGTCTTTGGTTTTATTCTTTTCTCTGTAGTAACTATCTAATTTTTGTGAAAGTACTGTCAAACAAATATTCATAATTTATGCTCAGATAGTATCAAGGAATGAAACAAGGCCATCAAGATTTCATAATTCATTTTGCTTTCAGAAGATCTATTCTCTTGATTTTAATTTGTACTAACGATATTAAATTTCAAACCTCAAAATATGCACAAATATACTCACAAACAAACCAACAACAAACCAAACATATTCATGCATATATATGAATACAGTTATCTTGATTTTAATACTAGGCATGGGTGAATGTTACGCCTCAAAATGTATCTATACACAAATAAACAGATTAACATATTCCCACATACATTAATGCTATCCTTTTGATTTTCATTTGTATGATTACAATACTGATTATGATACTCAAACTTAAAATTGTCGAACAAGAAGCTCTATTAGCATATCAGATTATTATCACATTGTTTTTGCATTAGCACAATAAAGTAGACCCACAACTGTTATATTGTAATTACAAGTAATTAAAACTTTCTGAAAAAATTAATCTTATTATAGCCAACACCCACTGTCCGGCCTGCAAACCCGTTCAACCCAAGGGAAGATGCCGAAGTGCTACGTAAAGCTATGAAAGGTTTTGGGACAGATGAAAAGGCTTTGATCAATGTAATTGCTAACAGGACCAATGAACAAAGACAGAGGATAGCCTTTGAGTACAAAACTCTTTACGGCAAGGTACGAAAAACACACACAAAAAAAAGAATGAACTTTAAACAATTTATATTATTGTTATTATAATAAATTGTTATTGCCTTTAGGACTTGATTTCTAATTTAAAAAGCGAAATAAGTGGTTATTTTGAGGATGCTATTGTTTCTCTTATGACCCCACGACCTGAATTTCTTGCTAACGAAGTGCATCATGCATTAAGCGGAATCGGCACGGTAGAGGAGACACTCGTCGAAATACTCTGCACTGCTAGCAATTATGAAATCAAAACTTTGTGCATGGCTTATCAAAAATGTAAGGTATTATTCAATATCTAAATTTCAATTTACTAATTTTTTCACTTTGTAGTGTACGGCAAATCTTTGGAGTCTGATCTGGCTGGAGACACCTCTGGCAGTTTTAGAAGGCTTCTTGTGTCGTTGTGCCAAGTAAGTCATTAAAGAATTGATCTGTTTCTATTTATTTTTTTTTTCATTGTATGAAATTATGTTGTTTGTAGGGCAATAGATCGGAAATGTATCAAGTAGATCAAGCGGAAGCAGTAAATGACGCACAGAAACTTTTGAGAGCAGGTACATATTTATATATAACTATTGGGTTCTAATTATACTTATTCAGTGGGTTGAATAAAATCGATTTATTTGGAGAGTAAAAGTGTAATAAAGTCTCATTGACGTGTAGGTGAGCTTCGCCTTGGGACTGACGAATCGACATTCAATGCAGTTTTGTGCAGCAGAAGTTATACTCACCTCAACCAGGTTTTCCAAGAGTATTACCGGCTTACAGGAAATGATTTTGAACAGGCTATCAAAAGCGAGTTTTCCGGTGATATCGAAGCTGGGCTCCTCGCTATCGGTAAGTGCCTCATGAGCATCTAATTACTAAAAACAAAATCAATAAAACTTTATAAAATTTTCAGTAAGATCTGTAAAAGACAAGGCTGATTATTTTGCCAATGAACTTAATAAAGCGATGAGTGGCGTGGGAACAAGAGATAGAGCCTTGATAAGAATAATCGTGGGCAGGAGCGAGGTAGACCTCGGTGATATTAAGGTGGTGTTTCAGAGGAAATTTGGCAAATCTCTGGAAGAAGCAGTTGCTGTAAGTTTCGCAATCATATTACCTTTTGGAAATAAGTTTTTATTAATTATTATTATTTTTTCAGAGTGAAACATCTGGCGATTACAAAAGAACTCTATTAGCTGTTCTTGCTTGAATTAATTTATGTAATAATATATGTAGCATTACATATTATTAAAAAAAGTTAAACAACAATGTTATTAAAATAAGATGAATGAGCATTTAAAGAGCCTTGACATGTTGCATCAAAATGCAATTTGTAATATACAAATCTTATTAGAATTAAATTTGAAAGGCCTTTAAAACTGAGCTTATTTTTACATATACTGTTGCCAAACTGATTGTTCATCAATCTCTTCCTACTTTTACATCTACAGTTATGGGCCTTTAGTTTTTTTTAATGCTCTGAGTAAACTATATTTTGGAATTTTAATATGAAAACTTTGCTGTGTGTCAAATTGCCTTATTGTTTGTATTACAAAATCAATTTATGGAATTGTTCCGTGCCAATATGTATGTTAGCTTTGAAGATTTCAATTAAGGTTAACAAGAATAGAATATTTTATTAACGTTAGAAATTTTTAAATTTTAATGTTGTTTTTCTTGTGTAGTTTTAAGGTTGAGGTAAACCATTGAATTTTTTTTCTATATTATGCACTAATATTTACATTAATGTATTACAATGTACTTCAAATAAACTGTTCAAAATTAGCATGATTCAAACAATTTATTTTTCCATAATTTGTCCATGGCAACCAGTGTTATTTGAGCAATAAAGAAAACGACACAAAATCTTTCAAATACATTAAGAAATTACATTAACAATTACAAATTACATTAAGAAAATATGATTAGCGAACATGGAAAACAATTCACAATGATGTAAACATAGTCACAATTTGAGACTTATTCAATAATCAGAGAGTCTTCGATCATTCTCAGACACCCTGGTCTGCTATTTCTGTATTGTTTTGCTTGATAGGCATGTTTGGCAAGATGCCATCTAAAGTGGTTCAAAACCAAAAGTATAGGCATATTGACTACAGACAACCAAATTACCTAACTACAAATTAATTGTGAAATCCCTTGTTGATTTTTTTGTCTGTCTATTCTTACCGGTTGATCAGATTGATCATGGAATATGGTGAAATGACGAAACACACTTGTCAGACTAAAACAGGATAGGTAAAAATTGAACAAAATATGGGTAAGTTTGAACATCTGGAAAATAAAATTATGGGAAAAGATATTAAAATCTTTTCTGACAGTCTTAGGGCATTACAAAAAGATTTGTTAACCTCACGACTGGTGGAGGAAACTATAGATATTATCAATAGGATCTCTTTCAGGTTTGAGAACAAGGTAACCCTTATTTGGATACCAGCACATAAAGGACACCATGGCAATGTAAAGGCGGATGGCCTAGCCAAAGGTTCTAATACTGCGTTCGTCGGGCCACAACCGGTATTACCTCACTCTATGAGCACAGCGAAAGAGAGTATCAATAACTGGGGAATGAAACAATTCCTTAGGGAGTGGAATTTATCCCCCGGACACAGGCAATCGAAAGAGTTTGTTAAGGCGATCAAACCAGCTGAATCGAAATGGCTATTCTCTACCTCAAGGAAGGGAATTAGGAAGCTGATAGGTATTCTGACGGGCCACTGCCCATTGAGAAGACACCTCTTCGTAATGGGTATCCTACCAGATCCCTTTTGCCGCTTCTGCGAAATAAAAGAAGAAACAGCAAAGCACTACCTCGCAGAATGTGATAGGTATGCTAGGTCTAGATTTGAAATCTTTGAAGGAGAGTACATCACCAAATCACTCCCCGAGATAAAATGGTCCAAAATCTTGGGGTTTGTGAACAAGTCCAAGAGGTTTATGCAGGACACGTGAGCCGACAAAGTCCCGAACCTTTTAGGGATGGGGTATGAGTCTACCCAGGCATTTAACCCCTTGGGTGTTGGTCGCCCACCCTGCATAATATATATATAAGTTTGAACATCCTTTTAACTGTCATCAGATTTGATTTAGGACCAGATTGTACCATCTGTGACAGATTGAGTTTTTCATTTTTTCATTACTTAAATATGGCTAGAACTTATGTTTGAAAGAAAAGTTAGACCTGCACTTCAGTTCATGTTGATAACGATTCTTTGTTTATGTAGAGCATGGAGACCCCATTGGTTATGCAATGAGAGGAAGAAACACCCATACCATCTAAGAATGTGAAACAACTATTAATTCAAGGAAAAAACTTGGATACTAAAAACGTGCTTAGTACATTATTGCCTTAAGATACATTTTTAATTGATCAAAAAGAAAGTCAGCGAATTGTACTCAAAAGCCAGAAAAGTAGTGAAAACAGAAGAAGAATTTTCCCCACAGAAGGAAGGGACTACTACATGTTCTGTTATGCTCCTTTGTTTTCAATTTTGATATATCTATCTTCTTGAAGACCTTTGTGATTCCCATGAGTATGAAGGATTGCAATGGAGTAATAAAGAATCCATGAAAAATGTTTTTAATTCCATTAAATTTAATTCACGGTCACATACTTGAGTACAACACTGGCCTAATACTATTCACCATTAATTGGCACAATTCATAATAATGTGACATTTTGTATTTCAATGAAGGAATCATGTAAGCATATAAACAATATATAAAGAAGAAATAGCTAAAAACACAGAGCTCATGGTTGAAAATTATTATTAAAACATAAAGAATATGAGAAAAAATAAAATTGAATGTGTGGTGTTTAGCGACCATTAGTTAATGATTATTTGGAGGTCAAGAGATGCGATCTGGTGTGACGTAGGTTTTAGAACATTTAAAACATTTTCTTTATCATGCCAACGTTTTGATCTTTATTGAGATCAGCTTCAGGGCCTGGGATTTATAAACATTGTTTAAATTTTACAAATACATATAGGATGTGGAAAAAAAATGAATTTATACAATGCTAGAAAATTTTAGATTAAAAAAAATTATATAATGCTAGACAATTTTAGATTTAAAAAAATTATATAATGCTAGAAAAATTTTAGATTCAGGAAAAAATGAATTTATACAATGCTAGAAAATTTTAAATTAAAAACAAAATAAATGTATACAATGCTAGACATTTTAGACTCAATCAAAGTATTTGTACTCTCTCAACATATTTGTTTTCTGTGTAGAGTGTCATTCTTGTCTGTCGTGTTGAAAGTGCCAGTGAGATATTGCTGTTTTATGTATATATACATTGGATTTTGAAGGGGTGGGGAAGGAAGTCGGGATAGAAAGACATTTTTATATGAGGAGTCGGCTTCTTTGAGGTGAAAGGACCCGACAGGAAAAAACGGGGAATGGTTCAGCCGGATTATCTTTTCAGGATTATATAGACAAGGACTAAAATTTTCTAGCATTGTAATTTTTTTTTAAATATAAAATTTTCTAGCATTGTAATTTTTTTTTAAATATAAAATTTTCTAGCATTGTATATTCATTTATTTTTCACATCCTACATGTATTTGTAAAATTGAAACAACATTTATAAATCCCAGGTACTGAAGATGATATCAATAAAGATCAAAACGTTAGCACGATAAAGAAAATGTTTTTCTAAAACTTACGTCACATCAGACCGCATCTCACGACCTCCAAATAATCAACTATGAAAGTTAAAATGTTAAAATGTTAAAAATGTGTAATTATATGTAAGTTATATGCTGGGATTGATAACAACTTATTTTATATTATTATTACATGAAATACTTGGACACATAAAATAATAAGAGATGTTCACAACTCGAGAGATGGTCCAGGGTGCTTCTGAAGCCTGGGATATCTTGCATTTGCTGTGTCAATCAAATTTCTGTTTATGGTTGTAGAAGGTGTGGCCAGATGTGGCTGTAACTCCTCTACCTGTTGAGATGTTTTCTCATTTCATTATGAGATTATTTAGAATATCTTCTAGGCTAAGCGCTTTTAAGTCTATCTGACATTTCGAATGCGAGTGCTATCATAGTCCAAGTTAATGTTCGGTAAGAAAAGTGGTTTACCTGATTCTTGTATGAGGGTTTTCTCTTGGTAAATTAGTTGACCGTTTTTGGGATTTATCAGGATTGCTACTTGGAGAGGTTTGTCTTCAGTGATACCTTGATCTATGATTTTTATATGATCTTCAGTAATGACTAATACTGACTAATTTGTGGTATCCATTCCAAGTGGGTTTGGAAAATTCCAGTGTGGTGCAGCTGCAAAATTTAGTATTGTTGTTTTCTAGAAAGTCTGATTCATATTGAGTATTTTTTGTAAGTAAGGAAATGTCGATGACATGCTATTAAATTTTTATAGAAAAATGAGAGAAAAAAATAATTTCACAGAAAATTCAATTTATTGTTAACATAAAAATTTGATTTCAATCTTTAAGGGAACAGTTGATACATGTATAAAATAAAAATAAAAAGAATTACAGTTTGATGCCGTAAGGGAGAATCCTGAAAAGAAACCCTTCAAGCCTTTTAATTTAAAACCAAAATAAAATTTACTCTAATGGTTTGCTAACTGAATTTTCTAATCTTTACGGTCAATTAAACTTAAACGACAGGATTCACTTTCGGGCTGAGCAGAATGGCGACTGATGGTCTTTTTGAAATTTTCCAGCTGACCCATCCACGACCAATCAGATTTGTGGGGTTTCTTACTAATTTGAAAATTTTAGACGGGATGAGCTATCATCAAATACAGATGCAATTTTTTTTGCACAAGCACCTTTTAGAGTGCTTATTTTTATTTGGCAAGACCATTTAGCAGTTCGAGTAAGTATTTTACATTAAGGATTATGGTTACATAATTTTCTTCAACCTTGGTAGCCTCAGGGTACATTTCATGCAGTTGAAAATTTACATTTCGAACAATTGATAATTCCACGAAGTATACAATTTCAGTAGGTGTAAGGATGCAATTAACTTTGATTATTTCTTCATAGAATATTATCAATTATATTTAGTGGTCTATTGACCAAATTACTTCTTTCAATTAATTAATTTTTTTATGTACACTTTTATGCCACGGGCGGTACTAACTTTTTAATTTCAGCCAAAACCTTACATAAAAAGATTAATTAATCGAAATAGTATATAATGTTTTCAGGTTAATTTCAAAAGGTAATTTGTTTCCATAGTTGGCAAAATTTTATTTATTCATAGAATAATTCGGTCAGTGGAATTAATCTAGGGTGTAATGTTTTTGTTTTGCAGATTGAAATAGAGAATTTTCAATATCTTGTTATGTGCTCAATATGTTGTGGTACATAAAATGAATTTGATTTAAAATATCTTGTTGTCTGGTTAAGGCAATTCCGCTTAGTGAAATTTGTATGAATAACACAGAACACAAATTCAACTTTAGAGGATTGACACATCAATATTGCTTTATTGTTTCATAAAATAATAATTTCACTCATTAAAATAATTTTATGCTTGTTTTGTATATGTGTAAAATAATATACTGCTTGTTTTGACATGAGAGTAATACGGCGAGTGCGTTATGTTAAAA